GGGCAACCACCACGCACCGTGCTCCGGCCATTGTCCTGGCGCCTAACGCCTTGCGCCTCTTGTCACTTACCTTCATCACATTCATCCAATGTTTCTGCTATAATTCATCTACTTTACCCATGGTACCTGTTACTGTATCCTAAGACTGAAGCACCATATTAAACTGATGTGTTATTAAATGTAATTGCTTAATAAATGATAAATCTAAATTTAATTCATATTATAGGTTTTTAATAAAAATAATGGAATAAAGTACAAGTATTTTAAATTATAAATAATATCAGTATAAATAAAATAATATCAAATATAATCAGTAATCAAAACTTGCAATTATTTTGCTAATTATTTAGTAAATAATTAGCGAAACATACATACAACAGTATCTTACTATCAACCCTAATGCATTTAAATCATAGTAAACATCTGTCTGTTATACATATGTCTACTTGCATAATTTCTAGCAATAACGCTGTTTAATGTCTCCAAATATAGTATAATAACGTCAATGCTTAATCCTCAAAGCAAAAAAGTCCATAAAAATATATTAAGGTACATAGTGGAGAAATCAAGTAACACACATCATAATGTAGATCATTAAATTGACCCAAATACATATCTAATATACTGTCCTAACAAGTATTTTCCGAAGATAAAGCAAAATATCTTCAAGCATAAATATAGCTAATCATCAGTCACCCAGGGATATTGAGTGGTGCCAAAAGCCGTTATTTACTATTAGGTTCTCAAAATTTTCATGTATTTCGTAAAACTGATATAAGTGTTTGTCATATTACTCGTGAGGACGACCAGTGTAACTTCGAGATAACCCAGGTAAATTATCATAGTTTACCCAAATGATCGCGTTGATTACCTTCTCTTATAAGCTACAGTATTTATCATATCTTCCAAATCAGAATATTTTTTTTATTCAAGCGTACATGATACATAGGTACCACAACATTTTATTACATTTTATTTTTACCATTCCAAGAAATAATTTCAACCGAAAAGAACTGGTAAGAAATTGAAAATTTATTTTTAAACAAATTGTTACGTATATATACAAACTAGTTTTTTTTTTCATGCAGGTGAACAAGATTGTTTTTATATTTTCCCTTGGAAAAAAAAGCAATTATCCACAAGAAAATTACCTACTCTATGTATCGAATTGACCATTCATCAAATAAATAATAGTAGATACTATCCTGGCCATATGTTACCAAACCAAATTTTAAGAAAATCCATATCAATATGACTATAAAATCTAGTGACAGTTTTATTTATACTCAAACTTAAAGATGTCCTCAGGTCTCATTGAGTATATACGTTACTTAAACTGGCAATGCTAAAAATAAACAGTATAACCCAAGTCCTAAATCGGAATGTTGTTTTACAAGAAACTTACTAAACAGATTTTAGAGAAACAAGAAGATAATATGCATGATAAAATCTAGCAAGTAATAAACAGGCAAATGTTGAATAAAGGATGGAAAAGCTATGAATGCAATCATTATACCTATTATTGAAACTAAATTACGAATACGTCTTATGCTGTACCTTTGGGTCTACGTTTTAATATTATTTATTTATTGAAATGAACGAAAATGATTAAAATGTATATGTTAACTATTTAGCAATAAATGTTGGTCAGTGTTATATTGCCTTGATATTGTCAATGGTCCAGGTCACCACCCACTCACCAAACCTACACCAACTCAATAAGCAATTGCCAACAAACTTTGAAGCGCTTATAGAATTCAGCAATTAGTGATAATCATAAGCCTGTAATAAGAGGTACATTTAACAATTAAAATATTTATCATATTAATTTACTTAGGCGATTATTTGCTTCCTAAATAATACTCTAATATTTATTAAGTAGTTCTACTTATTACTTACCGAATAATTATAATATGACAATCTTACATATATCTAACGTTACTACAGATTATGTTTACAAAACTGTTAACTTTCTCCAAAAAAAGGTCGAGGGTTGGAATACAAAAAATAACAATAGACTGTATCCACTTCATACAATCCACCCGATCACGTGATCGATTTAGTATGAAACAATTATATTTTCAAAGGTATGTCAATCCATATTTTTTGTTAAAATTTGTATGGATGCTAGACATATATCTGCGTCTTATCTTACTAATATAATAAAATTATAACTAGAGGACATCTGTACATGAAATATGAATATATGAGATAATGATATATTAATCAGGACCAAAAACCCCAAAACTATATTTTCTAGAAATTTTGTCCATCTGTCTGTATGTTTGTTTCGGCATCACGCAAAAAGGTCCCATGATTTACTAATAACATTAAAAAAAACTCGTAAGTAATTCTCTACCTAATAAAATTTGACGTTTTAGTGGTAAAAAAATCATTGATAATGCTAATTCTTACATAATATATAAAAATATTAGGTAAACGAGACGCAAACACGGCGTATGGCACATGTTTTAACAGTCTCAATGTTGAATGAAGCGGGTGAGAAAGCGTGCTATGCACGAAGGCTTCGCAGCGGACAGCGGGCAGTGTGGGGCGGCGGGCGGCCGGGGGGGGCGGCGCGGGCGGTGGGCGGCGTCGGGCGGTGACGTCAGCCTCGGGGGGGCAACGCGTCGCGCGATTGGTGGATATGCGTGCGCCGCTACCGAATATGGGGACCGCGGCTCCATTGATAAAACTGCGACGCGGGGTCGCGCGGCGCCAGTCCCCTTCGCACCGGCCACGCGAGAGGCCGTCTTCACGCTGGCGTTGTTCGTAATTCCTTTCGGCCCGTGGGCCGAGGAGCAGGTGGTGCCGGACGGGATGGGCACGGATGCGGAGCCCCCAACCGGCCCGCACCTGCTCTCCTTGGCCGACGTGGGAGCCCTTAGCTTCGACTGCGCGCTCAAGCCGGTGGCGGGACCAACAATCTCGTCGGGCGGCACACCAACCGACCTGAATACCCCCGTCACCACATCGGATTTGCCCGCCTTCTTTCCGAGCCTGCTTGAACCACCACCTATATCAGGTGCGCATGACTCGAGCACAGAGTGCTGGTTTTCAATGCTCCAGCTCTTTACAACACCAGATAGATACCTACGCATGCCGACGGCACACGTACGCGGGACTCACCCCGCTGGCTCTTCGGAAATTACGTTGTAAATAAACAAGCAGTTTTTATAATTCTCACGTGTCTTTAAATATTCGAACGGAAGTGTCTACTTCTAAATTATTAATGCGCGTTTTATTAAAAAGTTTGTGATTAGTAAATTAAACTAGAATAAAATATTAATTTTAGAGTGTTATTAATTGAAGTGAAGCAGAAAGTTCACCGCCCCGCGTCATATGGTCGGATCGATACCAAAGCTGAATAAAGCTTTCATTGTGAATTACCGTCGCTAACTAACTTCTGATCAAGTGCTTCAAGTGTTACTTACGTGTTTATTTTGACAAAAATTTTGTCCGGTTTAAATTAAAAGTGACCATAAAAGAAATAAGTATACAGTGACAAACGGGTAAATATATAGCCATTAGTGTCAAAATAACTATCCTTATTTATTTATTCTAAATTAATATTTACTTTATTAGATAGGTACCTACACATAAATCTATAACTGAAACTTTGATAATTTTGCCACTTAAATACATAATACTTATGAACACATTTCAAACATGAATTTTATATAGGTAGGTTCTATATGTTTAAGTAACACATATAGGTATTTATTGAAATAGATAACATCTCAAGATAGAGAAGTTAAAAAATTCCTGAAACAAAGTTATTTACAAAATAAATATAAATAACCTATATATTAGACTATGCGTATTAAAGTAGGCGCACAGGAACTATTTATATTTAATCATAAACGACCTACTTATAAGCACATAAGCAATTACAAGGGCAAACTGCCCTTGTAATTGCTTATGTCATTCATGGCACAAATATATCCTCTTAGAATAAAGTTTTGATAATTTATTCCAGCACGAATAAAAAATCCTACTGATACATCAATAGCATCACTGTCATGTAGCATACCTACATTCATGTAGGTACGTCATTTGTGTCTTAAACATATATTACAACATTAAATAAGTCAGAAACAAATAAAAATCATAATAACTTGGAAGTAGACACGTCTAGATATATCACAAAAATTTTATTTTGATAAATATATCTAACTAGCATAATTGGAAATACCTTTAAATTTAATAATTACATATAGAATTAAACGGCATTAAACTGAAAAATATTATTTATATAAACGTGCATATAAATCAATATAATTATAAAAATAATTTCGCGTTTAGAGGCATTTAAAAACATAAATCTGCAAAATATTTACCCAACGTAAACCAATGGTCGTCCTCTATGTTCGATGAACACTTGCCCAGATATACAATTACGATACAGCTATCGGTTTCCGGTGGCTTATCACGGTACTGTTTCGCTGCCTTCCGGTGATCCTTCCAAACCAGAACACAAAAGCGTATTAAATACAATAATAAATGACCTATGCCATATTCAACTCTCTAGATGTTCGTATTAGTATACAACTAAATATCGTAAGTAGTTTTAAAAATAAATACATGTAAACATTTATATATCTTGTCACATTAACTTTGTATTTACGTAACTAGCTAAGTAGTTAAAGAAATAGTTGGAATTGTCACAGCAGTGGCTGTTACAAAATAGCAGTAATTACATAAAATTCTACGGGACTGTATATAACAGTAAGTAGTAAAAAATATCGAGCATAGGTCTATGAGTATGTATAATTTTTCTCATTTTACATATCACACTCTAAAAATCTAATAAAAAATATATACTTGAACATCACCAAAATTCAGCTATTTGTCGAGTTTTCAATAAAATAAAATGTATGTATATACTTCTTATAGTTGTCTAAGATCATGGAAATTAAGGTTTTACGAATATGTATGTTAAATGTGAAATACTTTTTAATACCTGCAAATCGCTAATAATATAACTCTGTTTGCTGCAGGTACATTACCAGGCGATGAACTCTCACTAGGATGTTCGCCGCGACGGCATAAACACGAGGCATCGTTGTCTCCAGGCGCACGCGCAGAGGACGCCAGTAACGCGTCAAGTGCGAGCGCCTCCCTATATGGCCCTCCAGCTGGAGGTATTGCAAAACGTGCCCCTTCACCGCCATTACAATGGCTAATACCACCGGGGCCAGGGCCGGGTAGCGTCGACAAGTACTTTCAACAAGATTACGAGGAGCGCGTCGAATTACTCCCGCCGGAGTGTCAGACCTCCTACTGTCCGCCTCCGCAGGCCTGTCCTCCGCCTCAACACTGCGAGTACCGGCCTCCTCCACCGCAACCGCAACCACAACAGCAGCACTCGTGGGAAACACAAGAGTATGCAAGTGCACCGCAGCCGACTCCGGGACCATCGGGTTTGTTGAAACGAGAACCGTACCCGAGTCCTGCTGGAGATAGACCCGTACAGCTCGCTGAGTACAACCCCTCTACTAGTAAAGGCCATGAGATTCTATCTCAAGTGTATCAACAAAGCACACAACCACTAAGACTTGTTGCTGTAAAGCCGCGAAAATACCCCAATCGGCCGAGCAAAACCCCTGTTCATGAGAGGCCATATGCGTGTCCTGTCGATGGTTGCGATCGCCGATTCTCAAGATCAGATGAATTAACGAGGCACATTCGTATCCATACGGGACAGAAACCGTTCCAGTGCCGCATATGTATGCGCTCGTTTAGCAGATCAGATCACCTCACGACACATGTTCGAACACACACAGGAGAGAAACCTTTTGCATGTGACGTGTGCGGCAGAAAGTTCGCGCGTTCTGATGAAAAGAAGCGGCACGCAAAGGTTCACTTGAAACAGCGATTGAAGAGGGAACGCGGCGGCGGCGGGCCTGCGCACCACCACGAATCGCATCCGCATGCGCCTGCGCCTCTCTAGCGATCACCAGCGCCCGCGTCGGCGCTCTCACCGCTACATTCGAGCGGCGAACCGCCGTCGACTCCCGGGACCTCCGACTCTTCGGATAACTGAACTTTTATATTTTCACGTTGAAGTTATCAAATAATTTCATCGCTTAGGTGTAAAAAATTGTCTTTAACGAAGCTTTATTAACTCTACATTTTGTAAATTCACTGAAATTTATATAATATATATTATATAGGTATATATATTAATATATATATATATATATCTTTTTATACGTATTTGTCATTATTATCAGGAAATGAACTCGATGTATTTATTTAGATAGGTAGGTTAATTGAATGAACTCGACTGGGAACAAATGTAAATACGAAGCGATGTGGCCTAAAGTGTCCAATGCACGCAACAATTATACGGTTACTGTGCGACCTCGTGCCCCGGTCATGTAGCAGACGATCTCAGCGATTGAAGAAGATTGCATCGCTGTCGTCTTCGACATAGTGTGAACACATATCTTTCTGTCTGATGGTAGTTCCATAGCTAAACTTAAAAATATATCTCAGAATGATATAGCACACTGGTGCGTTCAATGTGAGTGTATTACGAAGTGATTGTAAAGAAGTGATACACAATGAGCCTATCGCAGGTACAAACGAGGCAAAATAATGTTTACCACTAGCATGTTAAGAAACGGCGTGTTTTTGATACGCATCTTCGAGATGAAAATTTGTAGAAAAAATGTGGTAAACATTTATTGGCCACGATTACCTACTTAATTATTGTAGGTAGGTCTAATTAATATACTTTACAAAACTAACGTGAAACTGTGCCATTTATTAACTTTACAACATTACGTGCCACTGCAGTTTTTATTTAATACATTGTATACTAAGTGTAACACGACTGCTAAATAAGTGATAACTATTATTATTTTGTTTTATATTTCTAGTCGAAGTTATTACGAGCGCAAGAATATCGACTATTGTTTGTTTTATAAGATGCATACATTCACTGTAAAACGATTTATTTTCGACAGCTGCTGTCAATCTTCTCTTGCTCAATGATTTATTTAACAAAATTTGCTCAATTCCGCTTCTTTTAGATCGTACTCCATACAATTTATTTAGTATCAATGTTTTTTTCACTACTAACGCTATCAGATCTATGTGTATTGTAATTCTCTATGCAATGTTGCACTTGTTATTCTATTAATCACTGATTAATTTTTCTCAGTGGCATATATTTTTATAATATGCATATTATTTATCTAGACTAACCTAGTATATAGCGTATGCGGTAAATTATGATCTCTTAATCATTATTAATTATAATTTTCAAGTACCTTAGCGAGGTCCCCTAATTTATAATACTCATAAGTTTTTGTGTAGATATAATTATCTGTAAGTCTCGTTTCTAAAATTTAAATTTCATTTACTGTGATGATTGTTACGCAATTCCTGTTTTATATACATAATTCAAGTAGGTAGGTAGGTAGTCAATGTTCACCGCTGCGAGTGTTTGTCCCATTCGCAACCGTACCTATTAGATCAATTTGTTTATACGTACAGTAAACAGGAAATTAGAGTACCTATTCCTAATTTTAAATCTTAAATATATAATAAAAATTAGAAATGGTACCGTTTCTGCTAGTCGCAAATGATGTAGATACCCAACGTAGATACGGTATGGTTTTTACATTAGTACAAAATTAAGCACAAATATGTAGATGTTCTCTTTAAATGTAATATGTTATAAACGCCTTCAAGTTCAACTTATACCTATTTCTTACTTACTATTGTAAATCACTGATTCAAGTGGTTTTTAATTATATTACTGTTATGTACTCGCGGGTTACACTACAAATGTAATTTTATAAATAGGTATAAACATAAATTCCAGAAATCAAATAAATTGTAACATGTCACCGAACAAGCAGTGATAATAATACAACAGGGTGGGCCCTTAATAATCTTGGTCGTTATGAATTTAGGATACCAGACAATAATATTACCTACAAATTTTTGCGACTACTACTCTAACCGCAAATGGGGGCGGTAACAATTATAAATTCTTATGTCAAGAAAAAAAAAATAAAAAAATTGGCTTTCTTGACACAAAAAAAACACAAACTATTGTATTGCTGAGATCAAGACAAAAACAAAAAATTTGTAAAATCTACCTGTACCTAAGTACATTACCAGAAAAATCGTCCAGAATTTTCTCGTAAATTCACGTTCTTTTTATGTATATTATACAGTTATAAATAGCTGAAATTGCATTGTATAAAATGTCAAAACATACATAGCATTTTTTATACTAAATGTTAACAAGTTTTAACACAATCGCAAGCCAATGAGATTATAAGAAAAGTAATTTGATACGAAATTGAAAACTCGCGAATCTACTGTGAAAATGTTGGCAGGGTTAGTTTCAGTACTTGACTCTACTTCGGTATATATTTTCTACTCACCAGTTATATCTGAATTACAAAATGCTCAAACTTGTAATTAACTTTTGGTAATATTTATATAATAGATAGCAATGTCAGTAGGTATGTACACAGTGAAACCGTTCCCAGTTGCTCAGTTGCACTTTAAATAAAATTGCAAATCATAACACGCGTTCTTCTTAATGAGCGAACAAACTTGGTATAAACTAACGCGACCACACATTTGTATACACAATTAGAATGAAGTACGAGTTTATAATATTTTTACTGTTATAAAAGAGACAAAGTCTCCGATAGACAAGGCTAGAGTAGATAGGTATTAATAAAGCGTATTCATGTTAATCGAGTGACAATTGAAACGGAAAAGACTAAATTCTTACACATTTTACGTAATGTTGCATCGCGTTAACGTTATTGATATACGGTGTTTGTATTAGGTTACGAGTTGCGACTCGCCGATTGTTCGTAGGCCAAAACCGCGGCGCCCTAGGCGTCGGCGGCGACGGTTCTTTGGGCACATCGGACAGTGGGGCGATTTTACATTGTTAACAACTTCTGTTACATTACAATTCTGTTGCGGTGAAACGCGTCATTTTTAACATTTCACGTTACTACCTAGAACTTAGCGAATTTTACGAACAGAAATCGATAACTTTTATGGTGTTCACACAATACCTTAATGAATGGGTACGAAATCTTTACGAATTTTGTGTAAGTATGGTTATTATTTTAAGCTGTCTTTGTATTTCACCAGAGTGAAAGATGTTGTTGATGTTCTAAAATGTAAATTAGTTATAAGTGCATAGGTATTGTTAAATCCCACTAATTTTTACTAAATTCTATTTAATATATTTGTAAATACACTCTGACTAAATTTGAATTTAATGTGTATATAAGAAGAAAACAAATTTTTATTTAATATTGAAACCACCTAAGGTGCGAAAATACAAATTGTTGAAAACTTAACCACTGAAGTTTGCTTTAAAAAACCCTTTAACATAAGTAAAAACAGAACTAGAATAATCATAATTAACGAGCTCTATATTTATTTGAATACGCCGATATTAAATACAAAGACAACAGACAAAAACTAAAGAGTTTTAAGATCCAGAACGTACTATCTACGCAAAACATTATTAGAAAAATAACACTTTACAAAATGTTATATTTGACTCAAAAAATAACATTTTGAGATATTAAATTTGTATGAAATAAATTTGTATGTAGATAGTGTATGAATAAGGAAGTCACAATGGACGTGTATGTATTAACCAAATTATAAAAGTGGATAAATCAAGCAATAGGTACATGCAAGGATTTTTGCAGTTGCTTTGGTTTTAACCTACAATTATATTTAACCTGAAGTTATAATTAGACAAGTATCACCCTATCATCATGATGATAATAAGGTTTATCTACTTAAATATATTATTCGCTATATCGGTGATACCAGCTTACCATAAATCAGGATAAATACAATAGTTGGCAACAAAATGGACTCATTAGTTAATTTTAGCGATTCGTACAAATATTGGCACTGTTCTGTGTTATTTTTGTATTTTAAACATTCACTTGTCTTTTCGATCAGAAAATATCTTTAGCTAGCTAATTATCTCCATTGTTTAAAAATAACTACCAACCAATACCACAGCTACACTATCAGTCAAACAGTTAAGAACTGTCAAAATTTTTAAACAAAAAATATCAGTACTTACCCAATATTTATATTTAATAATTTAAAATTCTGTTTCCTAATAATACGTCTAAGCAAAACTACTACTATACTATATAACTATACTACTATAATATCTAGTAGTAGATTTACTTATATAGCAAATAAATATATTAAGCGATAATATAACTATGAAATAACATATCAACCATTTAATTTTTATTGTCGCTCAAGTAGATACCTGTCTATCACATTTTAAGCATAAATATAGACCAGAGCTGGAATTAATCACGATAATTTGTAAAGAGGACCACGAGAAATAAACCGACAGACAATAAATTGCAATGCAATAGGACCGTTAGACCCTATTACTAACATTACTTATAATATTATCACAGAGTTCGTATGATGAATTTAAAAAATATATTCTCCACCTAAAATTTAGAAAAAGTTATAAGGTTTCGGAAATACTGACCCTGAATTTCGGTACGTATAGCCACTCCGTTACATGCTGTGTAATTATATATCAGTAGGTATCTATTAGTAGATAAATAATATAAAAAGATCCGCGTCCTTCTTAAAACATCACCAAAGCCTAACTGTGGTAGTCAAACCGCTTGCCAAGCGTGACAATTACCTACTAGCAAACCCGCAAATAGGAAAAAGCATATGTTCAGCAGTGATCAATTAACAACAGCTATGATGATGATGATGATGAATGTAAAAAGCAACATTTATTTCACAATTTTACTGTAAAGTTATGTAAAGCGTAAATAAAAAAAATCATGCAAATCAATCATCTACATTTTTTTTTATAAAAGCCCACAAAATATTTATAAAAATTAAAATGCAGCTAATAATGCCAAACTAAGCTAAAATAATTATATTGTCAAAAACTCACCTTTAAAATATTACATATAGTAATATTAACGGTGACAAGAGCGGCATCTGTTGAAAAATGGATATTTCGGCCAAAAGCAAGAACATACTTAAGCAACAAAACAAAAAGGCACACAAGCGCTTAATAAACTGCAACCAATAGATGGCGAGCAAAGCGTCAAGAGAAAAAGCAATGTGGCGTTCTAAAAACTAAAATTTAATAAGACGTGCAAATACTATAAACAATCGGCGACAGAGGACGCTTGACAACTTCAATTGATATATTTATGCTAAACGTGCACTATAGCGGAACATCTACCAATGGTAAAAAGAAGATGAAGTCAAGTTCAACTTCAGTTGACCAATTATAGCAAATTCACTAGATATTAAGCTAATAGGCTTAAACTATTGGCTTTTAAATCGTTGTCTTATTTGCCTATATAGTCATGGGCCATCAAGTTCACATCTTAAAAAGTTTTTACTTTGTAAGCTTCGACTAAAGGACATTAAAATTATTATTTTTTTTATTAAAATATTAAAATATTATTTTTTTTAACTCCAAAAAAATATTTAATTTATATTTTCATACTTAAATATGTTTATATTTTAGAGTGATTATGTCCACTACTACGAGTATATTACTGATATAAGTAACACCGAATATGGATAATAAATTAATTCAAATTTCCCAAATTTTGCCCAACAAAAGCTTACATTAGGAATAGATTATATATTATACATATTTTAAGGTGCAATGTCATGTTAATAATTACTATAGAATTATACTGAATCTGTAATTGAAATATTTCAAGACTATTGTTACAACTGCTACCAATGGAAATATTATGTTTACATATAATCCATCCATTTTGGCTCTAAACAATCATTAAATATTGTTTATACAGCATCTGCATTATAATTTTTTAATTTGTAAGGTTCAAAAATAAAATCAAAACAAACAAATCATAATTTAATTCATAAAAAAAATATATAAATTAATCATAACACTAATATCATCAATCATAACTATGTCAAGATACATTAATTATGATATTATCACCATCAAATTTTATACAAAGTACTCTGAATATATTCCACATAGGCCTTATTTACATACAAACCATTTATTAAAGAAAGCGTAAAGATATAGCAATATATAAACAATGTTTTCTATATTAATAATACTTATTTTAAATTAACAACCCCAATTTTCTGTAAAGGAACTTGTTATTTGGATTTAATAGATACCAATATATGATCCGAAACTTAATGTCTCTATGTATTTCAGTATAAATATAGAATAAAAAAAAAATTAAGTAAAAAATATTTCTTGTAAAGATAATCTTGATTAAAATTGATTAAGACACCGTCTATAAAAAATAATTAAAAAGCATGTTTATGCCGTCTCTAATTCTAGAGCCCTGTGCCATAAAACTACTATTATTATAAATCACAGGACTTGTGGCTTATAATAATAATATATTTTGGTATCGAATATTTTGTTTTTTTTTTTTATTTATTTAATTTTTTATATTTAGAGCCCCTTAATGATACAATTTTGAAAAAAATATTTTTTACTTAATTATTTGTAACTCAACCTCAATTTTTCTTGGAATTAATTATATTATGCGATAAATTTCTTTATGTCATTGTGTTGTAGTACCATACTACTAGATATTAGCGTATTTTAAATTATTTTCCAAGTGGGCCTGAACCCTTAAAAAAGCGTATATTTACTCTTAGACATATCATTGCAAAGCTTCGCCCAGATCCTTAGGTGGGCACCAGACAATTCAGAGGTGGACACGATTTAAGTACACCTATGATACTAGAGGACCTTAATAATAAAAAGTGCAACAACGACAAAAATACAAAAATTCAATACACAGAATCAATCAGATGCTCAAAAACTTCCAGAGAACCAATAAATACACGTGATCATTATGGCTCACTGGAATGAAGCAGTTATTTACAATTTCAGCTACCAAATTATATAATTAAGTAGCGAACAACATTTTTTATTCGGAATCTGAGCGAATTCTAAGCACCCAAAGTGATATCAGTCTTTAATTTTAAACTAGTACCATGTAACATCTGATTAACGATATATAGGTAATGTAAAATGTTGGTTTTACTAACGTTTTAAATTCGGGAATGCCCGAATTTTTCGAATTAAATAAAAGCCCTTATTCTTGAGAGCAGTTCACCACGACCTGCATCGCGAGTGACATTGCGCGACCAACGCGCTTTTTGATTTGAGTATGATTCACTATAGTTATTGTTCAATGATATATTTGTAAGTTCCAATTTTAAGATTTATATATTCCGGATATTAGATGTCAGTGTAATAATTAATAAATTTCTGCTTAAAACAAGTAAATAAAAATATAATTTCGAAAGTCATTTTAGATTTTGTTGATGCAACTTTAAAAAATTAGTTAAGGATGACTTTCTTTCGAAATTTGTTATTAATTATTTGTTATTTTTTTAAAATGTAAAGACGTTTTTTATACCAACGAGGTGGCAAACAAGCATACGGCGCACATGATAGTAATCTGTTACTATAGCTTTTAAACACCTGCAATACCAGCAACATTAGGCGCTTTTTGCCAACCAAAAAGGGATATTATCAATTACTTTTTTATATAATACATGTGCATGACGATAGTTTTAATAATTTCTCAATGATTTATGTCTTAAGAACAGTCCGCTACAGTGTTTCTCATTAGTCGTACCACATATAAACGAAACAGGAAACTGATTATAAGCAAACTATTTCTTAAGAATAACTTTTAGTAACTTAAACGACATATTCAATTGAATTTTGATACATTTGGCCGTACGTGAAGTTTTGTTGATGTAATTCTCCATCACCAGGGCTACAAGAATTCCAGTCAAATCAACAAAAACTGCCCATTAAGTGAACATTACCTCCCTTGCAGAGTCAGTTCTTATTTTGAATTAGTTTGCTTTATTTCAACACAAACAAAACTAAGATATTATATTTGTAAATCTTGTATTTAATTTTGCTCTACAATAAAACACCGACTTCAGTCGTGACTAAACCAGTTCTTTTGATTTAAAAACCGAACTACACAACCGAATTTAATTTTTTTTTTATGGAACCAAAATAAAAGTATATCCGAAAGTATTTACAAAATATCGAACAAATATCGATTTGCAAAATTCTTATTGAGAACTCCTTCCTTTTTTGAGTAGTATAATCAGACGAAATTAATTAAAACAAAACTCAGATATACGATATTTGAGTTTTGTTTCAAGCGAACTAGTTGTTATTAATAATCCAAATATCCAATTAACAGAAATCTAAAGTCGGGGTTACCTGTCTTTTACAGCGAATCACAAAGTAATCACACATTGAACAATTTATTAAACTCTTTCACACGAATAATTTGAATAATATCTTTTTTAATTTAAAGTACCTACTCCCAATCAACATCGCTCTATATCCCAATATGGACTAGTTCAGGTATGACTAAGTGAATACCAAGCACGTGATGTTACGTTGCTTCGTCGAAATGTTCTTCGGCTTTAACTAAGTTAGGCTCGGATTCGGATCGCCGCTTGAGCCCGTCCGCGCCAGCGTCAGGTGAGTTCGGCCGCTCCACTGATTCCGGCACCTTGTCAGCGCCCGTGGCCGCTTTGATATCCGGGGCGCTACGGCTTACATCTGCCTATAAACAATTTTATTCAATTGTCATATTTATTAGCATATATATATATATATATATATATATATATATATATATATATATATATATATATTTATATATTATATATATATATATATATATATATATATATATATTTATATATATATATATATATATTTATTTATTTATTATAACCACATTCTTCGCATTCACTTTTCAATCGCTTGCAGCAGTCATTACAATTGTTAATCGGTTCAATTGTACCGAAAGATTCAGCAATTTCATTTTTATTATAACTTTTCGCTTATGTTCGCATTAGTGATTTCGATATACTTCCTTCGTTTGCTTTTTTATATCTATAAATTATATATTACACTAATATAACAAAATGTTATATAAACCATTTTGTTCCGAATAAGAATGTTGATTTCTCCACAAACCTACATCCCAAATAGGAAACTAGTTATATGTATTTTCAACTTAACAAAAATCGGACTTTTCAAATGAATAAATATTCTAGAATAAAAATGTACATGTGTATATAAAAATAGGGTTCGTTCTTTTGCTTAATGCAACAAATAACCTCTATCTATATAATCATAAAAACAATAAATCGTAGCCGCTCACCAGTTCCGGTTCCAAATAATCTCCACTCTCTTGTTTAACTTGTACGTTCATCTTGTCATTAAGATAACAAACGCCGTTCAAATCAATGGCGCTGTTAGAAAATATGGCCGCTGCACCCACCGACGCATCTACTAGGGGTTCAGTCTAAAATACACAAATTCTTATTTTATGTTATATTGTTTATCCTTTACGCAGCTTCACCCGCGCTAATTTATTATCTAAGATACATATATGCCTGTATCGTATGTCTGCCTGGTCCTTAAGCTAGGGTAACCTGTGTTATGAGGAATGTCTAGACGATATCCAACTAGTACATCAAACATACTTTTATTCGAAATTTCTAATTTCTAACATCAGCGATTTAAACTGTTCATTTATAGACCAGCCACTCATATAATTATTTTTAGAAGTACACCTTCGTACATGATATTTTACTTTATTATTTTGCTATATAGAGTTCAAAAACTTTTTAAATTATTTTCGATGACCATACACGACAATTAAAATATCTGTATACACATATCACTTTGTCCCGTACTTAGTACATAGTTGCTTGGGGACAGCTAGTTGCCGTTTTAAGGGTAGTGAAATCATTGGAGACTATGTTTAATTAATATTATCATACCATGATTACATCTTCAGGAATGAGAAACTTTAGTTGTGTTTGCTTTTTTGTTGTAGTTACTTCAACATCGGGAGTTTTGTGTGTACAAGATACATCTTTAATAATCTCCTTTTGTTCTCTGAAAAAAAAATATATATTCCTCTAAAATCCTACTAATATTATAAATTTGTCACCAGCCTTTGAATTTTGAATAAAATTTAGTATGCAAATAGGCCATATTCTATATTAACTCATAGGGTACTTTATATTAATCCTGGCGAGCAAACCCGCGGGATACAGACAACATACTAAATACTTTTACAAGGCTCTAAGTACCTGTCAATATTTAAAAAAAGATAAAAATATTTTCATCACATTACCTGCGCAGTGTCAATTATACAACCTATGAAATACATCGACTATGGAGGTTATTTTTATAATTAATAGTATTAATTTAAGATATGTATATGCCACATAATGTAACAATATTTATTGAAAAAATTTAATCATAATCAAAATGTGATTATAAGTCACTTGAGAATACATCAACAATCCATCTGATAAAATATTTAGTAAATTAGGTTTCATGATTTACATGTTTAAAAACCAAAAAAATATATTAAAGCAATAAACATATACCTTTTAGGTGTTGTGTGAAGAGACTCATTCTTCTCCATCTGATGTTGCGAAATTAAGTCACAAGCTTTCCCAAGTATAACTATAGAAACCAACACTCTAATAGATATTAGGCACAGATAGGCTAAAAATATAAGGAAAATGGCTGCAAACCTGTGAAAAAAATTTACTCTTTACATTTCTCTCTCTCTCTCTCTCTCTCTCTCTCTCTTTCTATCTAGTTATTGTAGTATAATAGATTTCTATTTATAATGAAATAATAAATCATGAATGATATTTAACATCGCCCACCCGATTGTTTCAAAACAGACGAAACTGCAGTATTGAGCAGTTATCTAACGGCTTTTTCGGGGTGAAAGAGATTGTTAGTAATGAAATTTAACAGCCCCATTGCTAGCAATACTATCAGGTCGATCTCCACGCAGTTCACGGATGGCAACCATCGTTGTGAATTATTGTTAAATTCGTCACGAGGGACTAACTGACCTGTTTTCATCCTCACCTCCATTTATCATCTTTCACTGGGACCCTGCCAGCATATACCGATAGCGTAGGTGGGGGTATCATTCCATTTCCATTACTTCTTATCAACTACACAACTATTTATTAATCGCTAATAAAACAAAATATATGAAGTTTACACCGCCCCACATATTACTACATACCTTACTTTAACAATCGCATAACTTTTTTTTTTTATACAACTTATAATGGCAAACAATCTGACGGCCCACCTGATGGAAAGTGGTAACCGTTGCCTATAGACATGAGCAGTACCATGGATATAACAGAGTATACTGTTTCGCCCATGATGCCCCCCATGCGCTGCTATTCCTGAGGACACAGCTGTTATTCCTCTGTACCCAGTAAATTCGCACCATATCCCACCCTTCAAACCGAAACACAACCATGCAAACACAACTGCTTCACGGTTGAAACACGAATGGGACAGAGGTACCCAAGCAATCGACTTTTGTACAAAGTCTCCCTCTGGTATAACGTCCCACTGTTGGACACGGCTCTCTTTATAAGAAAGGCATATTAGCCTATCATATCTACACTCTGTTCCCTCTGCCGTATTGAGCTCCATAGCCCTAGTCGTTACTCATAACATCTCTAGTATACCATAAAAAGTAGTGGTAACATTTACAACTTTACGTTACGTTACGTTAACAATACCAATAATTTAATTACAATAATATAGTATATATATATATATATATATATATATATATATATATATATATATATATATACTGTATTGAATATTGAATTCTATCGAAGATAACATTCTATTATCGTGTGCCATACATACCCGTCCACTTTAACTGCGTGAACCAACACCCTCGTAATAACAACGCCCAAAGGCAATGGGATGAAACCCATGCGACGTGCTACCAAATCAGAATGATCGCTGAAAGCATATTTCTGCCTAGTTTGCGCAACATCGTACGCCAAACTCACTGTATACTCCCTATACACGCCGTAGGGGATTTCATTAAATCTGTATAAATATAAAAACACTTTTTAAGCATTAATTTAACACATACTTAGTTTAAATGATAAGTAGCAATATAACAATGGATAATATAAATACACACCTAGTGATAAAGGCGTGCTTGACCCAATCAATTATGACCTCAAAGGTTAATACGAGGACGCAGTCTGGCGCTAAAATCCAGAAGCGCTCTTCTCGCCACATATATTCTTTCATAGTTTGTAACACTACTATAAATAGCAGTACTGAGAGATGAAGGCGTTCCCTTACATCGCTACATGACACTTGGAATAAATTGTTTTTGTCAAATTTCTTAAATACACTTCCTTTGAGTTCTACAAACTGAAAAACAGTAAATAAACAATAAATAACTGGACTGACATTTATTTTTGTCATTACCTAACAACTCGTCCGCAGAGCATATAAGTATAAATAGCACAATACTATAGCATACATTCAATAATTTGACTAAGTGAACAATTCAACATGTGACAGATTTGTAACTATCATAATTTAAGGTTGAGTTCCACAAAAAACCGACTTTAATTGTGGTAAAACTAGTTATTTTTATTTCAAAACTACTGAACCGATTTTGATAAAATTTCTATGGGATTAATTTGTAAATACATATATCCTTAACAAATATAAAAAAAATACAACCGAATTGAGAATCTACTTGTTGAAGTCGATTTAAAAAACACTGCTATGCATATGTACTAACATAGCAGAAATAAGCAAGATGTGGTAGAATATGCTACCACATGTTGCTTATTTCTGCCGTATTAAAATAGTCTTTAACATAAAAGGAATATTACTCTTCGGGATTGGCAAAGGGCGGTGGAAATCGCAATTTAAAAACGGACGCGTATGTTATTATTCACATTACAACCATTCTACTTCCTCTGTGATGGCTTCAATATATTTGCCATTGAATTAGTTGTACGAGACATTTATAGTATTTTTTTCTATACAAGGCTAGCACATTTCGGAATATGATGTAATACGCAACTTAATATTATTAATATATTTTTATCAACGTAGACACGCATTTTTTTGTCCAAAATAGAATTGCATAGGTAGCATAGCTAACACGCACGAGATATAGATACTGGCGAATATAGTATGAAAAGAAATATAGTCCATTGTTTCTATTGTGACTTCTTAATAGAATTATTATATCGATCACATTATTTAAAATTCTCCTATTTGTATTTTAAAGATGGAAGAACAAAATGCAACAACAAATGATATTACGTTTTGTTAATGTTATAATATATGCATACCCTTATTAATCTAACTACAGACAAAGAATTAAATTAATTGAGAAGAGCTTTAATGGAACCGATTAAAGCTCTTTTTTAATTCTTACCTACCACTACTCTTTATTTACTTACATTGTTTGACATCATAATTATAAGAAGACTTTTATTGTTCGAATTAAAGGCCACATTAAGAGTTGTTGCTTGAAACAGTACTAACAAACTATGAAGAACTGGACACATGAATTAAGGAATATTACATGTACAATAAAAAAAAAACTCGTTTAGCATATGTCTACTAGTAGCAGAAATAGTGTTGTTAAAAATAAATATTGTTTAAAAAAAGGTAACCTGTATAAAGAATAGAACGTTGCAGTAATATTGTCATATTTCATTAATTTTCAATGTTTCTGACTGAATATTGAAAAAGTTCTTTGCTAGCAAATTAGAAAATTTTATTCATGCAATAATATAGTTAATAAACTTTCAATGAAAATTTGGATTTTGATAATAAAAATGTATTTGACAAATTCCAAAGCAAAATATGACGTAGATGCCACTACAGCTTGTACAACAGACTATACTCAGAGGAATAGTTCAATATGATGCCCACGACCACCTTCTACCATCATACAGCTCGGCATCGACACAATGTTCACCCCGATACCATAGAGTATTGACGGTAGTATATAGCATGGTTTCAGAGACATTTCTTCCCATGAACGCTCAGGTTATGGAATGAACTCAAGATTTTTCCAAGAAACTACAGTATGGGGTTATTAAAAAAAAAGTTTCTTCAGGGTCGGCAACGCGCGCATAATACCCCTGGTATTGCAGGCGTTCATAAGCTATGGTAACCACTTAATATCAGGTGGGCCATATGCTTGTTTGCCACCTCAGTGACATAAAAAAAATTTTAGTGGTAGATTCATATGCAATATAGTTTATTACTATTACTTATTTTCAGTAGAGAAAGAATAATCAAACAGAAACATTAAAAAATGTTAAATTGTTTTGTTCTTGAAAATTTACAGATAATTGTGACATTGCCATACTTCAGTAAGCTAAAGTAGAAATACTCTTAAAATGTAATATTCAATATGATGACAAAGTAATTCATCTTTTTAAACCCCTGAATAATTTAAAAAACCTCTTTACTCCTTTTTTAAAAAACTTTTAGTCTCATAAGAAAACCTCAACAAAGAGCATTCCATAACCTGAGTGTTAATGGGAGGAAGAATGAAATGAATAACATTTTCAAATCTATTTTAGGTTACACAACATAAAATTAAAGATAAAATTACTAAAAAAAATAATCTAAAAAAGAAGATATAGAGGAAATAGCCATCTATCTTATACTATGTATATGAAAAGGATACAGACATAGGTCATAGCGAATAACAGATGCGGTATCAAACCCAAATGTTCTCGCCGCCGATCTCTGGGTTCTGTTGCAGTCCAAAACAGAGCATCTATAGTGTCCTGACCAAAGGCTGAGAATAACCTATCACCAACTTCTAACATATTGTAAAAGATATACAACTTCATAACACTCTGACTCTTCACTAAGTGGTACATCATATTTGTGTCTATATAACACATTAAAATGCTGCATATTACTAAGATAAATCCTTTCAATACATCACAAGTTTCAGCTGGTTTCAATATGTTCTTCCGAGAGTTGGAATAAAACCTGAAATATATAAATGATACTTTATTTTTTTTAATCAATAGAGGTTTTTCAAAAATGTTCTCTTAAATTATGGTTTAAGATTTACTATGAATTATGACTCAATCCCCATTTTGTAAAATTTCTTAATATTATATGAAATTATCCATATAACCAGAATAAAAAAAATATATGTTCTTCTATAAGATACCTTAGCCAATGTCTACATTTGTTAATTATACCTATGTACAATTTAAAAAGAATCTGTAATTCAGTAACAAAGGGTATTTTTATTGTTGTTCTATGTTCTTCTATTTATATACTTTTCTGTGTGATGTTCAAATTTCCAATCCAAAATGTATGTTGCTTATTTTTCAGTCCTTATAGTGTTTGGGATAGAAACATTGTATGCAGGTCGAATTTTATCACTATTGGTTGAGTCATGTTAATAATACAGATTATCATATAAAAATATTAATAAGCATTGAAAGATAGACAACATAAATTTAGAATATTACATTTTGAATTGGAAATTTAAACATCATACAGAAAGGTATATTCAATATACCTTTAGACTGATGAGATATAGATATTCACTATTGGAACTGTAAAAAATACTTGGAACCTAAAACCTTGTTTGATATTACCGTAACTACCTATTTAGAGCTCCAATATCTAATGAAACAGAACTAAACAAAACCAATATCAGGAACAAATAAACTATTTACTAAATAGATAATTTTTACAATTATTATATATCTAACCAACAGCCTACCAAAGAGACCACACAACCCCCAAAGCCTGGATGATAAATTTATAACCAAATACACAAGATTAAGTATAGAAATAACTAGTTAAACTACTTAATAAATATAATACTGCATAGGTGGGGGGGAAGGGTTTGTTAACAATGGCGTTTGACAGCTCCATTGCTAGCAATATGCTCTATTAGGTCAACCTCCACCTGGTTCTCTCTGGAAACTACCGTGAACAATTCTTGTTGAATTCATCATGATGGGCTAACTGACCTGCTTCATCCTCACCTATCATCCTTCACTGGTGCCCAGCCGGTGTATACCTATAGTGCGGTGGAGTTAGTTTTCCATTTACATCCATCAACATGAATTACATGTTTATTAACATGTAAAGTAGGATATCTAAAATAATTCTTTTAAATAAATGATAATTTCATTTCTCACACTTACCCAAAACACTTCCTAAATAACCTATTAAGGAAGGACCAAAATGCCATAATAAATCTTAATGGTAAAAATGTATATACAAACAACAATGAATCTGCACATTGAAAAAATCCATATGCCATGAATTTCTCTAACTCCTGTGGAATTTTTATAAAAGAATAAACTTTTTCCCTTCGTGCAGAAAACCTCTCTTCATCATGCTCAAGTAAATAACCTCGTGTAAGTTCAACTTGTAAAAATGCGAATAAAGAGGCTGGTTTTTCTCCATCTGAAATTAAAAAATTTGTCAACATTCATTTGACAGAAAATTACAAATGTAATATAAATAACAAAAACATACCTTTGTTCTTCATTTCTATAGTAGGTTTAGAGTCAGTGCTTGTATCAGCAGAAAAATGTTGAACATTACTTAAAGGCATAAAACGCAACCTTTTAGTATGCTCTTGAAACTCTTCATTTTTCATAATAATAAATAGAAAATAAATTTATAGTAATAAAACATAAACATTTATACTCAATGGAGACACCAAATCATATGGTCCATATTATTTCTCTTTAAGAGTATTTATTATCGAATAAAATTATTAAACAATCAAAATTATCGCAAAATTAACTAATAATCACTAATCTGATATCTTTAAAGACAACACAGACGAAGACAGAAACTAAAAAATACAGATGTTACGAAACAAAACATCAGTCTGACAGTGACACAAGATATTACACAATGGCAGTTCTTGAGTCGAGGCTCAGAACATAACTTCCGCCAGCTTCAATCAGCTTCGACCATAATTAGACCTTAAGGTTTATTCTGAGGAACTGATTCTCTAAACCTATCTCTAAAAATGAAATTTCAATTTGATTTCACAGCGAAATCTTTATTTAAATGTCCTATATAAATTACTTTTCTAATAGATTTAAATAAAAAATATTATAATTTTGGTTTATGATGGTTTATAAAACAGTCATCATCATCATCATCTCAGCCTAATTATCAAATTAAAATATTATAACTTTAGAGTAACAGCACCTTATAGTCGGCCCAATAAGTGCAAACTTATATCCATTTGTGTACCTCACTCATGTATACAGGTCATAACATTTTCTTTTTACATTGCTAAATCTATAGATTTCTTCATCTATGGTCCAAAAAACTAAAAATAAAGAATTACAGAAAGGAATGATGAAATAAAAACTGTAAATTGTATTGTTGTGTGCTTTTTTCTTATACAAATATAATTCGTAAGAAGAGGACGAAAAATAAACCATCAGTTGCTATTTTTGTCAATTCATAGCAGGCTAGTGTATATAGAAAAAGTCATACGGCCGTATAACACTATCAAATTCAGATACAACCTGCTTACATACTTTCTACATAAACTGTGTCGAATAATAAATAATAAATATGTAATCAAGTAATGTAAAATTTGTCATTGACAACTAACTGACATATCAAACATTTTCTATGCGATACCCTGCTATGAATTGACAAAAATAGCACCCATATGATTTACAGTTTTTATTTTATCATTCCTTCTATATAATTCATTGTTCTTAGGATGGAGTATCTTTTGTCCTCTTTTGTCAAACTGTTACAGAATAGATAAGTACTTGGTGATTCATTTGAGGCAGTGTTACCAACCGTACTGTTTTAACAGTAGATTTATCTGTTTTCACATTGATTAACCTGTTTTATGTTCCAATACAAATTTTTATTGTTTTTCAATTAGGTTCAGCTCCACCTATTACACTATACAAATCGGAACCAAATAAAGAATGGTAAATGTTAAAAAATGACAATTTATCTTTTGATCGAAACAAAATTGCTGATATCGATTTTTGGAAACAAATACACGAATTGAAAAATAAAGACTAATCTCAAGTATTTGGCATATTGTGTGAGTTGGTGAAGAAACTTTTGTCCTTACCACATAGCAGCGCCACCGTGGAAAGCTTATTTTCAACTATAAATATTATGAAAACCAAATTACGCAACAGAATAACAACTATTAAAGGGGTATTACATACTAAATTCGAAATAACCGATTGCTACTCATTTGAAGCCACGGAAAGAGACATGAAAAAATTTAACCAAAATATGTATGATTTCATTCCTTTTTTAAATCATACATATTTTAATTTTAATGAATATGAAAATACTGAAGATGAGGCAATTGACAATGAACGTGGAAAATAATTTTACTTTGATTATTTTAATTATATTGTAATTATTAATATAACAATGTATGTGAGTTTTAGTAATTAAAAAAATATATGTATGAAATCTGCCTTTTTTACTTTACCTATTGTTTTCTCCTGTTTTTTTTATTGGCAAGCTATTGTGTTTTACTTTTTTGAGGTTGGCAACACTAATGTGAAGCTCAGATATTGTCATTAATTTCTAAGTAGTCTGTGGTCACTAACGTCATAAAAGTGAACGCGGCACGCATGGATGAAATAAAGGAAGATTTCTCATCTTAGCACGCCATTAATAATCTCTCAATATTGTATTATCATACGTGTTAAATCAAAACATTGTCCATAATTAAGATAATACCACAGTAATTACTTATTTCTTTGTAGTTAAAACGATAATTTTAAACCAGCAAAACAATGGCATCGACAGAAGGTCGTGGAATTCAGTCAAACTTACATCAGCAAGATTTATCTAAATTGGTTAGTAATAATAATCTATGCTTCATTATTTATTAATAACATTTTTTTTATTTATTAATTGTATTTTATCTTACTGTGGCTGTATGTCATTTTACTATAATTGTTCACATAACCTATATTTTTTTTATTAGATGAAAATGGAATGGTAACCCCGCCTGCGCTAACGGGATACGCTGGCGGGGCACCAGTGAAAGGTGATCGATGAGAATGAAAACAGGCCAGTTAGCCAATCATGATGAATTCATCAGGAATTAACCATGATAGTTTCCAGGGGGAACCACGAGGAGGTCGACCTGGTTGGATATATTGCTAGCAATGGGATTCTCAGTCTCCATTACTAACAATCCCTGTCCCCCCTAACCTATATTATTAACCAAAAAAAAAATTATTCTTAAACCTATTTTATTTTAGGATGTAACAAAACTTTCTGCCCTATCGCCCGAAGTTATTTCTAGACAAGCAACTATCAACATTGGCACTATTGGCCATGTAGCTCATGGAAAATCTACTGTAGTGAAGGCAATTTCAGGAGTTCAGACAGTCAGATTCAAAAATGAACTGGAGAGAAACATTACCATTAAATTAGGTATGTTATTTGAAATTACAATGACTTGTTAGATGGATTTAAATTAATTTCAAAGATATAAAACTTTCTAGAAACATTTAAGTGTCATTATAAAGTTTCATAGGTAGCAAACTATTAATAGTTTGCCCATGATTTCATCATTATTAGCTATTATAAGAAAAATTTTAAAGAATAGTTTTGTTTTCTTTACTCTATCTCAATATTTATTTTACATATTATTTATTTACTTCATATATTAGATATTTTAACAATACACAAATTAACTTATTAATGTAGAATAGTTATACTTAATACTAAATTTCATGCAAATCCATTAAAATCATTGAGTAATAAGCTTCTAAACACCTTTACAAAATTTTACATTTATTTAATCAGACAATATTGATAATGTGATGCAGGTACTCTGCAATATACCATGTGAAAAGTAAAATAACTACTATCATAATACAGCACCATACAAGTCAAAGGTTTTATATGTTGATCCTGTTTTAATCAAACCACATGGTATGTTGCAGAGCCCCTGTCCGAATCGGTTGTGAGAATGTATCGTGAAAGGGCAGACGAGAAAGATGAAAAAATTTTTCATGACAAATTAAAAAGATGTAAGAAAAGAAACTTATCTATTGATTCTGAAGAAGAACAAATTGTGTCTGTTGCCAAAAAACAAAAGAAAGGAATAAAAACTCAAGAATTCATTATTGAAAAAATACTTGATTTTAAGCATGAATCAGGAAAAATCTATTTTTTTGTAAAATGGAAGGGATGGCCCAATAGTGAAAACACATGGGAACCTATTGAGCACCTTGATAATTGTCCTAAAGTATTAAATGAATTTTTAGCAAATGAAGAATTAAAACACTGTAATAAAATAGAAGAACTAAAAAATGAAATTTCATTTGGTAATCTTTTGTCTAATGAAGTTCTTCTTGAAAGGTTGGATGAAGTGGAGGAAATTGATATTACAAATTTGAAAACTTCACTAATAATAAAATTGTTGTCAATGATATATCTTCCAGAAAAAGATGAATGTTATGCTTTTGAGCTTGTTCAAGATGCTAGAAATCTTTTACAAATGTATGTATTAACAAGAAAAAGATGTCGTCAATTGATGAAACTCAAAGATTGGGAAGAACATTTAAATCAAGTAGATAAATCCAAAAAACTAACAGTTGAGAATAATGTAGATCTGGATGGTCCACCAGAGAATTTCACATATATTAATCAGTCTATACCTGGCTCTGGTGTTACTATTCCTAATGACCCACCAATTGGTTGTGAATGTTTAGCTTGTAATTGCCGTTCTAAATCATGTTGTGGTATGCAAGGAGGTATATTTGCTTATACAGCAAAAAAACGATTGCGGGTAGCACCTGGTACACCAATATATGAATGTAACAAAGCATGCAAATGCTCTTTAGATTGTTGTAATCGAGTTGTACAAAATGGACGAAATTTAAAACTTAGTATCTTTCGTACATCTAATGGATGTGGTTGGGGTGTAAAAACGGATCAGACAATAAAACAAGGCCAGTTTATTTGTCAATATGTTGGAGAAGTTATAACCTTCGAAGAAGCAGAAAAACGTGGCAGAGAGTATGATGCTAGAGGACTTACCTATTTATTTGATCTAGACTTTAATTCTGTTGAAAATCCTTATGTGGTAGATGCAGCACATTTGGGCAACGTTTCACACTTTATCAATCACTCTTGTGAACCAAATTTGGGAGTATGGGCTGTATGGGCTGATTGCCTTGATCCCAACTTACCAATGTTAGCATTATTTGCAACACGGGATATTGATGCGGGTGAAGAACTTTGTTTTGACTACTTACAAAAATCTTCAGATAGTGATGATAATGAAGCTAATGTTTCATCTCAAAATCAGGTAGTAACAACAGATGATGATGAAATCAATATTCCAAATGGTTCTGAAGGTGGTATGGCTACATCTCCAATATCACCTTTGAAGTCTAGATTTGAAATTCAGCAACAGAATATGGCTATGCTTAGAAATCGCACAGAATGCAAATGTGGAGCAGTAAAATGTCGAAAGTACTTATTTTAAAAATAATGCAATCCTATTATCCTATACTTATTTTAAAAATAATTTTATCCTTGTTTTCTTGGACTATGTTTGCAAATATTAATTGTTTGTATTGAATCTCTGTTTCATTATTATTATAAATGATGTAGTATTTTTTTAAAAGCAATTTTAAGTTTATTTAAATGATTTGCTACAAATATGGAAAATGAAGCTTGCACAAATAGAAAATAAGATAATGTAGTAAGTTGATAATTAGAATTAATGCATTTTTTAATAATAAATAATGTGAGACCTCTTTGATTGTTTATAGGAGTAATGTATTAAAATCTTGTTAATTTTAATCTTACTTTAGCCTAATTACCATTTCCAAGGAAAGATTGAGATGAAATCATTATTGTTGGATTTGAGTAGAAGCACATTATCAACTATATATATTTCATCAAAAAGGACCACGATTTTCTTAAATTTGTTGTTATAGTAACAGTTTAACTGTTTTTATACTTTTTATTTCTTTCTATAACATATTTAAATACACTATCGGCACTTAATGGATGAAAGTTTAAAATTAACTAAGTTATATATAATTTCTCTATTAGTATCATATAATGTTATATATTATTTTTGAATGAATGCAGAAATGACTGGGAATAGAGAAGAATGGAAGAGGAAAACATATTACGCCGACCCCAAATAATAATTGGGATAAGGGTAAGAAGATGATGAATGTTATATATTATTATTAAACAAACTTAACTGTTTCTGAATACGCTTAGCCTACCTATATTTTTAAAACCCGATAAAATATGAACCCTTATGTAACACATGGGTGTACATAACTCAAATTTGCCAAGTGTTTGTCTTTTTTCATTGCCTATGGTATTGTTTTGTATGTAATACAGATTTTTTAAAAATTTCAATACAAAGGGGACTACACGTCTAGACAAATGGCAAGCAAATTCATCGATGACGAATCCGTGAGTTAGAATGAGATAGCAATTTCGGATGTCTTAAACCAATTGATGGACTCTCTTGCGATAATGATTCCATCAATGAATTAGCTTGCCACTTGTCTAAAAGAGTTAGTTAATATCAAATACCTGTCGAATTAATATTGTCTTTAAAAACATATGCCTTATTGTAAAACTAAGTAAGTCTATATATAATTTCAAAAATTTAAATTCATAATGAAATTTATCCATTAAAATAAATATTTAATACTTTAATGGTGCTAAATTTTGTGCCTTCAACTAACTCCATGGACTGGATAATATAAATAATAATATTAATAGACAATATCACATTCTATTTAAATTATTCTATGAAGTATGTTAGTAATATTAAGGATATAAAATTATGTTGTCTATAAGCTTTACTGTTGCACACATAACTCACAGATAAGTAAATATAATATCCATAGGAAAACCAAATTTGTTTTATATTATTAATGTACAATGATGTTTTAAATTAAATGTATGGAAAGCTGTCAATCAGTATAAATTACAACTTATTATTAGAAGTATTTCATTATAATAATAAAATCATAGTTAATGTATATTCCTATGACAGTACAGTATAATGGGAAAACAAAAATTTTAAAACTAGAAATGATCATGGATGATCCAAGACCATTCACCACTTTGAATTGATGAATAGTTCACTACACTATTTTCCTACCAGCTGATGAAGCTTTCCTAATATACGAATATTGTCTATGACGCTATTTTACATAATTACTATGTATGTTGGAATAATTAAAATTGCTATAGAAACAACATTGTTTCAATAAATTACCCCGCCTATCATTATATTCCAACTATTTCAAATATTCATATACTCGTAAAAATATTATTTAATTATTTTTACGAATAAAAACGTAAAAACTAAACAAAAAAAACTTCATAATGACTGACATTATAAATGTAAATGTTTGTAAAGGTGTTTTTTTTTTTTTCTCAAACATGCTTTGACAACCTATTTTGAAATTTTTTTTTATTGATTTGTGATTAGGTAGATCACATCCAATTTTGTGCAAATAATTTTTATACCTTTTTGAAAAGATAGACAGTCTAAAACCACAGCCAGCAGGCAGTTGTAAAAAAACCTTCCCTCAATTTTTTTTATTATAATATGAATACATTAAACAGAAAATGGCTATAGCATTAAGTTCATCTTTTATACCACATTTCATTGGTGAATTAAATTTAAATAAGTATCCTTTTCACTATATGCGATTTAAAACCTAATTCTCGTATTTTGCACAGGTTACGCTAACGCAAAAATCTACAAATGTGACAATCCGAAATGTCCCAGACCCAGTAGTTTCATATCGGGCGGCTCGTCGAAGGACGATAGTTTCCCGTGTCTACGAGCAGCGTGTACTGGTCGTTTCCAGTTGGTGCGACACGTAAGCTTTGTCGATTGCCCCGGGCACGACATCCTTATGGCCACCATGCTTAACGGAGCTGCAGTGATGGACGCCGCATTATTACTCATCGCTGGTTTGTAAATCATTGAATTCTACTTGAAAAAGTTGCGTTTTGTACAAAAAAAGAATCGGCGTAATTTTTTAAATATTTTTTAAGTTTTTTTAATAAAACTTAAAAAATATCTATAATAAAATAAACTTTATAAGAGAAATCTTCTGTAATAACTGAAAAAAATTATAAAGTGGTATATTTTGATAAAAAATTTTAGGTAAGCTTTTTCTTCTTCATCCCCGTATAATTAATTATTAAAAACATTAATTCATAATTAATTAAATAATTCTAAAGATGTTTCATATAGTCAAGTTATATTACAAAGGACACTAAGAAGTGCTTACTTTTCAATCAGGTCTCTTATTATTTTTCAGGTAATGAATCGTGCCCCCAGCCGCAAACAAGCGAACATTTGGCAGCCATCGAGATTATGAAATTAAAGCACATATTGATTCTACAAAATAAAATAGATTTGGTGAAAGAAGGACAAGCTAAGGAGCAACATGAGCAAATAGTAAAATTCGTCCAAGGTACAGTTGCTGAGGGTGCTCCGATCATCCCAATTTCTGCTCAATTGAAGTACAATATTGAGGTAATTACTTTTCTATAGCATTCATTTACGACTGTCTGCAATATTAATTTATTTGCAAAGTGACGCGAAGAGCAGTAAATTTGTCACCAACCCAAAAACCACGCCTTGCCTTCGTGTGAATCCGAGAACCGCTGCGAATTGCAAAGTAGCTACAATCAACTATTAAATTTTACTAGTCTTTTCTTCGCCATTTTGACCATCGGCGATGCCACTTCTATGAATAACACCTATAATAACAGTAGCACCTTTTTGTAGAGATAATGCACTTTTGTATTAATATAATATTAAAATTACTTTTATTTTTCATTTTTAAAACAGTAGATTCAGTCCCATGAATAAGTGTTTCGTGTAAAGCTGGTGGGCGTTGCTAGTTTTTATACATAAAAATCCAATATTAAATGTTATTTCAAATATTCGTTTACACTAATCTTTAATTCTCTATACGTAATATGCAGACATAATAATGTATAATTCGATAATTTTATTACTTGTCCCCAGGTGCTTTGTGAATATGTCACTAAGAAAATTCCAGTGCCATTAAGGGATTTCTCTTCAAAGCCTCGTATGATAGTAATTCGTTCTTTCGACGTCAATAAGCCAGGATGTGAAGTTGACGATCTAAGAGGCGGTGTTGCAGGTGGATCCATTCTTCAAGGGGTTCTTACTGTTGGAATGGAGATCGAAGTAAGAAAGATAGGGGAAACATAGAATTCTAGCATACGGGAAGACAGCATCCTCGATTGAGATGTAAAGCTCTACTTGACAGAAAAGATGCCAAAGTTTTTCACTAAAATTGATTTTAACAAATAGTAATATTGCGTGGAAAAAGGGTTTGTTAGTTAATCTAAGAGCCCCATTAAAAAAATACTCTGTCATGTCAACCCCTGCATGGTGCTCTTTAAGAACCAAAGCTTTTAATTCGTGGTGAATTTATCAGGATGAGCCAGCTAACTTCATCTTATATAATAATTACTATTCTATGTATTTCCCGTTAAAAATAAATAATATTAAATATATTTGACTAGAATATTATTTAATAAGATTTTTGTTCTGTAGGTTCGGCCGGGATTGGTTAGTAAAGATGCCGACGGCAAGCTGACCTGCCGGCCTATATTCTCGCGCATCGTGTCATTGTTCGCAGAACAGAATGAACTACAATTTGCAGTGCCTGGTGGTCTTATAGGAGTTGGCACCAAAATTGAGCCCACTTTATGCCGTGCTGATCGTCTTGTCGGTCAGGTTAGTATACCTAATTGTTAATTCATTTCATTTATTAAAGTTAACAATTTTTTATACAATATTTAAACAAAAAGCAAATACCAACAATTAATTTACATAAAATGAAGAGTGATGCAATAAACACCAATAACTTGAGATTATCTTTCTTCAATTCAAAGTTCTCACTCGTATTGTTTACGATTACTCTCTTATTAAAAAAATAGCTTGTTTAGTTTGTAAAACCGAGAACACAAGACCATGTTTTACAAAATATTTTACAATTGTATAATATAATTAGTATACTAACTCACTGTGTTATTTCATTTTTGTTTATTTTTATTCTTTAGTGTAAATATACTATTTTTTGAATCATCAACCTTTTACGATAGCAATAGATACGATAGGGCATACATGATTACAATTATTGTTTTATAGTCTTTTAATACTGTATTATTTAGGAGTAATATCATGGATACTTAAAAGATGTCTCTTCTACTGTAATGCTAATAGATAATGTCGTTCAACACCTAATAATACCTAATTATATGAGATATCCCAAACAACTTCTATATTTCTTATTTTCGGCAGGTGCTTGGCGCTGTTGGTGCTTTACCTGGTATATTCGTGAAACTTGAAGTTTCATACTATCTACTGAAACGTCTTCTAGGCGTACGCACAGAAGGAGACAAAAAAGCGGCTAAAGTACAGAAATTGACAAGAAATGAGGTTTGGTCATATCCTATTTATACAGCTCATTATTATATGGGTAATAATAAACTGCTTTTCCTCATTAGGATCAGGTTTTGTTTTATAATGCAATAGATCATAATGTATGTTTTACATATATAACAAAAGACAGGATATCCAAAACAATCCTATTACAGCTTACTCCATAGGTATTATTAAAAAAAATATTAATTAGTATTGTTTTAACGAGTTAATTTTATTAAAATTATTTAATTGAAGGGTGGTGTACTAGGTATGTAAAAGATATATTCGGATAGAGAATCTTATCTGTGCGCCGTGATTAGAGGCAATTCTAAACAACAGAATAATCATATGCATACAGGCATGAGGGTATAACATAATATATGTGTATAGACATCGTTTAATAAGCTCATACTTTTTTACATTACTCTTTTACATTTTTTTTTTCTAATTCTCTAATGTGCATACACTTACGTATATATTATCATACACGTGTTAATTGTGATTCGTCGTTCGATTATGAAATCGTAGATGTATAGCAATGTCGCGTCTAATTTTTTAATCAACGAATCGCAAATCTCAATTACCAGCAATATTAAACACTTTTTAGACAAATTGGCAACTTTTATCCTAGAATGTGAATTTTAGCAACTTCTTGAAGTCATTTAGCATTTTTAAAGTTCATTATTATTATGAACTCCAATTTCACATCATATAATATTTACAGTCATTTACTTGTTAATTTGGATTCCTAATTATAAGTAAAAACAGTCAGAAAAATCTCTTATTCTTAAAAACCTTCCAGTAAGTATTTTATAAACACGAATTTCATATTCCACTCTAAACTTAATCATTACAATTATAAAACCATTCTAGTATTTTTTCTTATACAACACAAACATTAATATTCATCTTTTTGTATATGAAAAACGAATCATCATTGAAATTAAAATTATAATTACAGGTGCTTTTAGTGAACATCGGGTCTTTAAGTACCGGCGGCAGAGTTATCGCTACTAAAGCCGATTTGGCGAAGATCGCCCTCACTAATCCTGTATGTACGGAAATTGGCGAAAAAGTTGCTCTAAGCAGAAGAGTCGAAAATCATTGGCGGTAAATATTTTGGAAATATCAGTATAAATTTGAATAGAATTTATTAATTAACCCTCTGACCGGGCATCCCGCGATTTCCGCGTGCAGTATCTACTAGTTTAATTTTACATATCCCGCGATTTTGACGTGCTCGCATTTTTTTTGACGTTGTTATCCCACGATTTTTGTTTTCGTAGATTGACGTTTTTCTCAGAATCTCGCTAGATGGCTAAATACTCATACTGCTATTTGTTGTCAAAGCGATGTGCCAAAATAAAGCGAAAAAAAATACGCGGTCAGAAGGTTAACAAGTTCGGAATGCATATATGCATTAACTCTAACAAAATGTATATATATATATATATATATATATACATATGGAAGAAATCTCTTTTAGAGATAAGTTCGCCTTTGCTAACATTGTTATTAACTTATTGTTGTTACTGTATGTTTTAGTGCAATAAAGAATATAAATAATCTACTTCCCCTCGCCCGAATAGAATTGTCACAAATATACAGTACGTATTATATTCCATCGTCTGTTGGATTTTACATCCAACATCTATTTATTATTTTAGAACCCAACCCCATTAAATTATTTGAAAATGATATCCATTTCGAAAACAATCATCATCATCATCATATCAACCTTTAACTGTTCACTGCTGAACATAAGCCTCCCCCTTAGGGGGTTTTGCCAATAATTGCCACGCTTGGTAGACGAATTGACAACCGTAGTTAGATTTTGAAGATGTTTTAAGAGGGACGCTGTTGCCCAACCCTCGCCCTTCCTTAGTCGCCTCTTACGACACCCACGGGAAAGAAAAGATTGGCCTATTCTATGCCGGGACCACACGGTCGAAAACAATATAAATATTGTTACATGCGAGGTAAATAAGAATCGTGAAGAAAGAAATACGTTTATTCACTAAGTACCACCAATTACACACAAAGATCCCAAATTAATAGTCCGAGTCTTCACAATCCTTGTTGCGGCCTCTTTGACCGGTTTTCTCGCTATGACATTCAACATACAAAACTGACGGCCTATAACAAAGCAAATGACTAGGACGAAAACCGAAATAAGACGGACATCTTTTTAATACAGAAATTTTATTTTTTTATTTTAAATAATTTAGACGACCAAATTTTGACCCTCCTCCGACCTTTGAGCTTTCAAGTGGTCCTTCGACATTTTAGTCCTTATTAACTCGCAGGAGTTACAGTTGACTATTCTTCTTCGCTTCAAGAAATATTCCGATTGCTATCGCTTGTAAACAAACTGTTGTTTGACCGTGAGTGGTACGCGTTTTATTCAATGAACTTAATTCTCACGAACCACTTGGATATTGACGGGAGTGTCACTTCTACCTAGTCTTTATTCTTAGGACCCTATCAGTTCATTTTAAGATTCCATATTGAAATGGTACAAAGGGTCCCTTATAGTAAGGCTGTCCATCCGTTCATATATCATAGCGTTTTTTATAGCAATTTTAAATGCTATCCATTTGAAATTTGGTATATATTGTTTGCTCAAAATTTTTTTTATTTTCTTTGCTAGAGGGTTCAAAAAGAATACTCAAAATCTCTAAATGATCCGTACTAGTGATATATCATCTTAAAGGGCTTTATTTATACATTCTAAAACATTTTTTATGCTACGTAATTTTTTATAATAGAAAATTTTAAAAAACTTCAATTACAAAATTAAATTGAATCAAAAAATCGGTAATAATTACAATTTATAAAGGTAGATGTTATTTTTACAGAAAAAAATAAATGAGTGTTACCAAATAGCATAGTTTTGGAAAAAATATTAAACCCTTCGGGGGTTTAATATTTTTTCCAAAACTATTATATTTTTTCCTAAACAAAATTGGCACTGTAGTTTTTAACCATAATTATAGCCTAAAATACGAATATCAGTAATAATAACTATTAGGTGTCAGCTTTATATATCTATGTACGTATAAATGCAACTCTCATCTAGTAGGTTTCTTTCTTGTTTAAATAAAAAATAACCTAGATCTCACGCATACAATATACATTTAAAGAATTTCATTAAAATCGATTATGCGATTTCGGCTATCACGGCGTGAATATCATTACATGAAATTTTTTATTATAATTGTTGTTTTAATTTTCAGATTAATTGGTTGGGGACAGATTCAAGGCGGCGAAACTATTGAACCTACAAAAAATTAAGTCATTATATTTTAATTTTTATACATACAAACTTGTAATGTTTACTATACATTTAATAAAGCTAACATTAATATGACTTTATTTTATTAAGTGCAAAATTAGCACCGCACCACACGCACCGCAAAAAAGGTCTGAATATTATCTTTTTTATTTACATGACATTTAGTAATCATATTCACTATGAATGATATAAGAGGTTAAATTGAAACGAAAGAAAAATCATGAGTAAATAATTTATTTTGATTTGTTCATTTACACTTGTGATAAGGAATTTTAGGCCATATATATAAACGTATTAATATCTTCATCATCCCGTCGCATGTACTTGTGTTCAATCAACCATTCTAATTGCTCTTTTATCATCTTTTTGGAAGGCAAAAACATATTCTTTAATATTTCCACCAATTCACTCTGGAACAAAAGACATTTATTTCACGAGATGTACAAAAAGACAATAAAAATAATAAAAATTACTATTCTATAAATAATCAATTACATATTACTATTTAAAAAAAAAGTAGTAATAAAAGAACTATGTTTCACATTTTAAACCTAACCATCCAATAAATCAGTAATTTATTTGTGATACATAGGTGAAAATGGGTTATTAAAATACATTTAGCACACTCTCTGTTAACATATAATATAGACATCATTAAAAATGAACATAAAGGTTTTAAAATTAAAAAAGTCTTCATTACTATGACAATACCTCCTATGAAAAAAAGTTTATAGTTTAGCTAAACATATTAGTACTATTTTTTTTTTCAAAACTATTCATACTATATGCTACCAACTATACAATACTATTATAGGCTTTTCTCAGGCGAAAACGCTCTCACAAGAAGAAATTCAATATAATCTATACTGTTCAGGAATAGCATAGCTTGCTATCACTAAAATTTTATAAAGAAACTTAAGAGTAACTCCAGTAGATTCAGCTAAACAAATTTGTTAACCAAGACTTATTACAATATTTATGTATTGGAATAAAAAAAAAACAAATGCCAAAAAGGCCTTACATACATCTTTTTGCTTACTGCACTTTCATAACTCATACATGATAACTAGTTCTAGTAACTCTCAACTCCTTCATATAAAACATGGTCTATTTGATTATAGTAGGTTAGTCCAGATCTCCCCTACATCCATAAATATAAGTCTTCATTTTGTTTTTCATACCTCTAATTATAAATCAAATATATACTTTTAATTACTTACCTGGAGTGCAGTATTAGTTATACGTTTTCGCATCTTCAGTATCTTTATAATGGCTTCCTGAGTTCTTAAAATTCGAAGTTGTACTATTGAATGATTGTCTTCTAGCTGGGAACGTTCAGTACTTAATTGAAGCCTTCCAATTAAATTAATTTTACCCCTTCTTTGTGGTTTTCCATTTTTGATCAGTGCAAATTCTTGATTGACCCAAAAAGTAGTATTTTCCATAAAGTCCTTAGGATTCTGTACTACTGGTTCATAACACAATAACTGTCTCTTAAGTTTGGGAAAGGCTACCAAAGACCATAAGGTCCTCCTCAATTCTGGATCTGGAAGTTCAGTAGCAAGTCTCAAATTTTCATAGCTTATCTTCTCCAGCGGTCTTTGATTCCATGCAAACAATACCGCCATTTGAAAAGTAGTAACATCTAGATCAAATCTACCCACAGAGTTTGCAAAAGTAATAGTTCCATTACTCATATGATGATACCATTGCAATTTACGTCCAGAATGTTTCTTTTTATAAAACTCTTCTACTTCTGGTATATAGTCTTCTAATTCTAAAGGAAGACTTACAGTAACTCTTTCAGATCCTCTAGCCCATGCTCCAGCATTGAGTATTTTTATATTGATAGCATCATGACGTGTAGTTTCTCCTCTAAATTGTATATTTAGATCTTCACTGACTTTAATGTCTTGGAACATTCGAGCTAGTTTATTAACATAATCTGCAGGCATTCCCACCTCTCGAAGCCACTCAACCATATCTTCCTCCTTTTCTGAATCAGCACTAGAATCTAATATCAACCTTCTAGTTAAATGTGCTTTATGATACCTCATAAATACATCTTTATTTTCAATATATTTTAAAACTAACAGTACATCTCTCAGTCTAGATTCTATTTGCTCTGTAGTCAAGCGTTTACTTAAAGGTGTTTTCCGTAACAACATATCACAATAATTTGCCAAAAGTTCAGGACACTTACTTTCTGGTGCTGTACCTTTACTACCTCGTATGAGAGCTGAAGATGGTAGTTCCAATTTAAAAACTGTTGTATCATTAACAACACACTTGTAAGCTTTGTCTCTGGCAGTTAAAAATCTGGGATCATCCATAAATGCATCTTTTACAAGAGTACTGAATCTTTTAAATAAATCTAATAAACGCTCAACATATTTTTCAGAATCTGTTGTAATAATATCTGCTGAAGCAACCATATCTGCCAATCCAGCAGAAACAATATGAGCCTCTAGGTCCCGAAGTATTGGTGTAACCCCTTCATGTACTCTATCTAAAAGGCGAAACATAAGTTGCAGTTTATCTGTTTCACCAGCTTTAATTAATGGTGCACTTTCAGCCAGTAGTGTTGGTAAATGCTCTCCAATCAATACTTTCTCACAACATTGTGTAAGTGCAGCTACACTACCACTTCCAGGTTCCAAATATCTGTGAGCTCTGGCTTCTTCCTCTTTCAATCTTTGGTCTGCATACTTCATATAAGACTGTACACCATTTGCTAACAGATGTTCATTAGCTTTCAATTTATAAAACTCTTCAGTGGCTTGCATATAAGCTGCTTCAAAATTATCTCTGTATATTTGCAATTTATCAATAGAATTTGAGCATAAATTAACTGAAATAAAAAATAAGTTGTATTTGCAGCTTTATGTATGACATTTTAAAGTAAAAAAATGTAAAGAATGTGCATACCACACTTACAGGATAAATGCACTAAAACACATAATAACAAGTAATTGACCATCCACAGATGGTCAATTAGTTATTTCCAGATGAATATATAAAATATTTCAGATACTAAGTAACTAAGCCAATTCTCAGTTAAACCTTCTTGAACTATGTGATTTAGACTTTTTACATCAAATTTTAATATTATAAACTGATAATGAAATTAATAATAGACAAATGTACCCTCACATATATTCAAATTATATATAAATGATTATTCCAAATGATTTCATGGGTTATCAGAGACATTTATTAACTGTCACAGCTGTGGTGAAGGTAATACATAAATAAATTAAACAAAACTGAGAATACCATACCATAGGATTCCCTAACTCCTATAACAAGTTGTGAGTCAAACGATTCACCATTGCGTTCAGCTTGTACTAATTTCATAGCAGAATCTTGCAATCTCTGTTTAATATCCATGAAGATACTCTGATTCCAAGAATCCAGCATCAATTTACGTACCAAACTGTCCTCTATATTATTATTATTATTCTTTTTTTGTGAATTTGATGTATTGGAACTGGTGACTTTACTTATATTGTTTATGGAGTTTTCTAACTGACGAAATGGCGTAGGTAGATAGTTGCACTGGGTGAAAAATTTTCCCCATTCTGCTATATAAGCTTTCAGTAAAGCCTGATCCTCCCGCTGAGCTAAAACCCGTGCTTGAGCTTGTTTAATATACATCATTATGTCTTGCTGAAGAGCATCTCTTATTTTGTAAGGTCCTCTTTCGTCCCAAAGACAAACAGAATGTACAGCTACAAAAAGATCTTGCCATTCAATTTGAGTTACCGGCTCTTGTTTCAAAAGCTTGAGGACTATAGGACGCATAGATGGCCATTTATCCTCGAAAGTGACTTGTCCTTTATCCTGTAAGTATATAATAATAATTATATACAAACCATGTTAATTATTTAATAATGACATTGATAATAAATATTATACCTTACCTTTAACATGACTAACTAAACAATTAATCTATTTTAAATTTATAACAAAGCACTTAATTCTTCATAACAAATTGATATTCTCAGTTTTCTGACGTGACGGAAACGGGATGCACAGATAATATATGAGCACAGATTAGATGTCTCATGTACTAAGAACGAGGAATAACAAAGACTGAATTTTAAAATAAAAACAATAAATCATATAGTTGCCTCCTTTCTTCTTATGCAAATATGATTAGTAAAAAAAGGACGAAAGATACACCATCAGTTACTATTTTGCTCAATTCATAGGAAGCTACTGTATAGAAAATGTTTGATGTGTCAATTTTTAGTCAATGGCAAATTTTGTATTACTAGATTATATATTCGACACGTTATATGTAGAAAGTATGCAAACAGGTTGTACCTGAATTTGGTAGTGTTATACGGCCGTATAAAATTTTCTATACACTAGGCTACTATAAAATGACTATTTTATCACTCCTATGTAATTCTTGTTCTTAGTACAAAACCTAAATCTTTTCTACAAACTCATTGTTTATTGTATATTGTTGTCTCTTAATCTGTGTTTTTCACAGAATAAGGTTTAAATCAGTGTACATTATTTTTATTATACTTCACTGTGTAATAATATTGCACAACTCATTGAATAAATGCCTACCTAATATACAGTATACTAGCTAAATATTATTACGACTAGAAAAATGACCACTTTTGGAGATATAACTGAACCTATTAGTCGAACAGCCTGGGAAGACTGGGATGAAATTACGGAAGAACCTGATTTACCAGAGTAAGTTAACTTTATAGCAATCTAAAAAATATATTTATGAGAACACGCTAGAAACAAATATTGTATAAGTTGTCTATTGTTCAGATGTAAGTGTCAAATTTCTACACCACTTCTATTATATTTTACGTAGGAAGGAGTCTATTTCAACCTATTGAGCCTGCTTCAAACTAAAAATTAATTCTATTTTAAATATTTACTTGCCCCTTACTATTAATTATATCAATAAATTTATAGTATCTTAGTCCCTATATACTATATAACTCTATTATTTTTTCTTGATGGGTAAAAATGGTATGGTAACCCCGCCTGCGCTAAAGGGATACGCTGGCGGAGCACCAATAAAGGGTGATAGATGAGAATGAAAACCGGCTAGTTAGCCCATCATGATGAATTCATCAGGAATTAACCATGATAGTTTCCAGGGAGAACAGCAAGGAGGTCGACCTGGTGGGGTATATTACTAGCAATGGGATTCTCAGTCTCCATTATTAACAATCCCTTTCCCCCCAAAAAACCCTAACTATATTTACATTTAATTTTCTTTGCAAATATTAGATTAATTATACATTATTTAATATACTTAGAAAATTATTTTATTTTAAAACAGGGATAATTTTTTTTACCACTGAGGTGGCAATCAAGCATAAGCCCCAGCTGATGGTAAGTGGTTATCGTAGCCTATGAACTGTAGCTTGCAATACCAGGGGTATTATGCGTGCATTGCTGACCCTGAAGAAACCTCTCTTACCTACCTTTTGAAGAATTCCAATCCGTAGTCTGGGAAAACCGCATATGCGTGACTATTTAGGCTGTAGGATGTGGGGATGAACTCTCTGTTGATGGCAAGCCATATGATAGTAGAAAGTGGCTGTAGGCATCATATTGAACCATTCACCTGAGCACAATCTGTTGTATAAGCGGTAGAACATGCAGAGTGAGGCAAAATCTCTCCTAAGACTTAAGGGTTTGATACCACTTGTATGTAAGCCTGGGATCATTGACAATTCTCATAGCTCGTTGTTGCACTGACTCAAAAGGTTCAAGCTGGTATTTATATTTTTATCTATTCTAAATATATAAATGTTGCTACTATTCTGTTATTAATTATAATATTATTTACATATGCAATAAAGCCTAAGTACTTATGCAATTTCCTTTTTCAGATTACAATGGCAGCAAGATGTTGGAGTTTTAAAAGAGATAGAAATGTTAACTATTTTGGAAGGCAAATATTTGTCAGACATAGTTGCAACTCAGACTCAGTATAAATTAGAATATGTTAATTCAATTAAAGAAGCTAATCTGATGTTATCTAAATCAGGAAAGAATCTTATTTGTTTCATAAAAGATTACAGATTAGTACTTAGCAGTAATATAGTTGAATTATTGAAACCATATCTCTCTGTAAGCAATAATGTAATATCAATACAGACAAAGCCCCTTGCAGAATATCAATCATCTGAATACTATAATCAAGAGTGTTTATTCAGAACAATACACACAAGCAAACCATCAAAATTCACAAAATTCAATTTTCCAAAATTAGAACAGCCAAATTTAATATCTGGTGTATCTGCTGGAGGTAAATTATTATTTATAAAGCAATCTTATTATTATTTAAAAATTTTAGAAAATGTAATGATAACTGCTTGCATTACGAGGTTTGTCCGGAAAGTACGTATAAAAGTTTTTTAAAAATTTTATTTTACAATTATTCAGGTAAATCAATTTTATCCCCTTCAAAGTACTCCCCCTGTGACATAATGCACTTGTGCCAACGCCGTTTCCACTGTGAGAAGGCTCCTTGAAAGTCCTCTGGTTGTAGGTTTCTCAGCTGCCCCGTCGTAGCTTTTTTTATCTCATTTATGTCCCCCAAATGCCGCCCCCGAAGTACCAATTTGGTTTTTGGGAACAAGAAGAAGTCACACGGGGCCAAATCCGGCGAATAGGGGGGGGGGGGGTGTTCGGTCACCGTAATGGAATTTTTACTCAAAAACTCACGGACAACAAGAGAGGTGTGGGCAGGGGCATTGTCGTGGTGAAGAATCCAACGCCCCTCTCGCGCCAATTCTGGACGAACTCGTGCCACACGAGCTTTGAGGCGTCTGAGCACATCGACGTAGAATTTTCCATCAACAGACAGTTGATGGAAAATTCTACGTCGATGTTCGGCCTGGAGGGACGAATTCTTGATGGACAATCCCCCGAACATCGAAAAAAACAATCAACATTGTCTTGACATTTGAGCGGGATTTTCTTGATTTTTTTGTTCGTGGTTCCCCGGATGTCTTCCACTCTTTGCTTTCACGGCCATTCTTGCCGAGTTTCGAGAGAAACTTGATTACGACGCGCTGCTCTTCAACGGAAGCGGGCTCCATGCCGACGGGGTTTCGTTAAGAGGTAACTTCACAGATGGCGTGACAAGCCAGTTCGCACCGCACGGCGGTCAGACCAGAACTGAAGCATTGTTAGGGACATAAGGAAGGGGTCCTGCGCTTACCTGGCCTCCCCACTCCTCTTTCTCGCATTCCAGAACACTTTTATACGAACTTTCCGGACAGACCTCGTATTGATATGATGGCTGGTTACCAGAAAGGAATGATAGATGAGGATACAATGAAGTCATTATAAACTTAGCCCATTATAAATAATTCATCAGAAAGCTAGTATCTCTAACAATAAAATGTAAGTTATGGAATAAACAGCTATTATATAGCCATAATTTAAAAGGCTACTGGGGTTATTTAATACTAGCTTTTACCTGTGACTGTTCATTTGACTGGGACAAAAAGTAGCCTATATTCTCCATTTCATATAGTATGTGTATACCAAATTTCATAACCATAAGTTAAGCTGTTAAGGCACAAAAAGGTAACGTTATTATAGGCACAATTCATTTTGTGTTACAGTACTATAAAATACAAAAAGAATTTATTTAAAAATATATATAAAAATAACACCATTTGCAGTCATCAAGATTATCTATCATGATGACGGTGCTTAAGGTGCACATTAAATATATTTGTCAATGTAACATAATGTGAACTGGACTCTCATTTTCATGCTTAGCATCTGATTTGGGCTATTGTATGAGTAAGTTGCGGCTAATACAGCTAGCCAAGCTTTGCCCATAATAGAGATGGGTGTTATATGGCTATATCTATATATGTTAGTTACAATATCTATATATGTTAGTTACAATATCTATATATGTTAGTTACAATATCTATATATGTTAGTTACAATATCTATATATTGGTCCAATAATAAATATGTTAAAAGTTTGTTTTCGAATTCATAATATTGAAACCTTAACCTTAACATATTCGAAAATAGATATCTGACCGATACGGCAATATCAAAATAGGTAATAACCTTTTTTCTGCCATCAATGTCCAAATCAACCCAATAGATATCGAATCATATTTATATACCCCTATTACCCATATATGGATAGTACTTATACTATTCATGCCTAACCCATAAGCTTTCTGGTATGTTCACAGGCTTCACAGAGTGACCTCACTATTTGCGCTTTCTGTGTAAATTAGTTAGTTCGTAAACTCCAGATTAATCTCTTTCCTGTTCTTTATGTCATATTTGTCAATAAATGTTACTATAAAAAATATTTTTATTTCAGTAATTTCTTTACGGGAGCATTTGGGTCAATCAGGAACAGCAGTGATTTCTTATATTGAATATCCTGAAGATTATCAAATCGAAGAAATTCAAGTACTACTTAAACAACTTGATATTATCCAAACTGGTAATGGAAAGCCAAGTAATATATTAAATTCTAACTTGTATATTTGATGTAAAAAATAATAAAAGTTTTGAAATTTAAAGATATATTTGTGTCACTGAATCTCTAGGCTAGGATCTGGTGGAGCAATAAGTATATATTATAGATATAACTAGCTTTTTACCTACTACTTCGTATGCGTGGTTTTCAGAAGTAGAAAAATTAATGAAATATACTTCTAGACAGCATATAAAAATAAAACATATACCACATTTAAAGTTAGAACTTCAGGAATCATCATCTCAGCCATTATTTGTCCACTGCTGAACATAGGCCTCCAACATAGACTTCCATGCCACTGCCACCTGCATCCGTTGACTCCCTGCAATGCATTTAAGGTCATCAGTCTAGGTTAGTGAGGGGTTGTCCTACCAAACAAACAAACGCAGTTGCTCGTACGGGATCGCCACTCAAGTACCTTCCCCATCGATTGTCGGTTCTTCGAGCTATGTAACCAGCCCATTGCTACTTCAGCTTGCTTATCCTTCGGCCTATGTCGATTACTTAGAATGCGAAACGAGGATATCCGCAAATGAATCAATCAAAAAAAGATACTTCTAACGTAACCCTCTCTATAGTCCGCTGAGTAATTTGAAATTTTTGCATACGGACCAACCGTGTAGGACCATGTTTCGGTTCCATAAGTCATTACTGGCAACACGTACTGGTTAAAGACCTTCGTCTTCAAATTGAGGTATTTTGGATGAAAATTCTTCAGGAGTTCAGGAATACGACTGTAAAAAAATTTGGTGTGGTACATTTGCATCATGCTAGAACAAACATACAGACAAAATTTTAAAAAAATATTGTTTTCGTTTCTATGGGTCTTATCAAGACCTCTCATACATTTTTTTCTTAAGTGTCAACCATGTACATACATCTTATTACTATTTTTTTTTATACAACTTAGAATGGCAAACAAGCTGACGGCCCACCTGATGGAAAGTGGTAACCGTCGCCTATAGACATGAGCAGTACCATGGACATAATAGACTTATTACTATTTTACTATATTACCTAAATTATACTGCGCAAAAGATATTTTTCAAATTGTAAAATGCCAGTTATAAGAATTAAATAAATAAATATCAGATTGTGAGTTATAAAATGGGTAGTAAATTTAATATTTATATGAACTCGAGTTATAACTTTGAGTATAATTATGTAACTCAATATCGGGCAACGTGGCGCTTTATGCATTTTGTCATATATTAATATCTTGCGAATGATGTTACGAACTTGCTGCGTACATGACCGTATCTGTTTATACTAGAATTATAAAAATAATGAATTGAAGAGGAAATGAAGTAACATTAAAAGAATTATTTACCTTAGTGATTTATTTAACATCAATATGCACAAATAAAATCAAATCAGTATACAGCTAAAGCCGGTAAACAGAAGCTTTTCAGTAATAAACTTGTGTGCAAAACTGTCTTGTGCTTTGACTGTAGGTTACCGTCGCTTTTACTGATTTTATATCTATGTTATTTCTTAAGTATTCCTTGAAAACAAATTATACATGAAACTTATTGAATTCATACAAATAAACACAGCCTATTGATCGCAGACCAGTGTTGAATTTGATTTATATACAATTATATTTTAAGCATTTAATATTCTTTCATTATTAAGGAAATTTTGTTAACAGCTGTTATTAAAGACAAAACCACTATAACTTATTAATCCGTCTGTTGTGCATTTGAATATCTCGCATACTTATACCGCGTGGCATGTGTGGCATGATGAGGAGATCTAACAAAATAAAGTAAATCTGATGAAATATAACCCAATTATTTTATTTAAATCAGCTTCCGTTAATATATATGTGACTATGGTAGCGGAATTAAACAAAATATTTCTATTTAAGATAATACTACCGGTTTAACTTACGTATAATTAGGTCGAGAAAGCTCGCCTAGTTTCGGAATCAATTGATCATGAACGGTTATGACGCGAGTGCGAACCTGAATAACACAAAGCCGCTCATGACTAAGAATCACGAATTGATCCGCCAAATAACAATAAAATATATTTATTAACAATAAGATAATTATAATCAAATAACCAGTGATATGGACTTCTGCGAGATAACGCCTAATTTAATTAGGCTTTATTATAATAATAATTTATTTGCTTAAACACTGTTCAGATGCTAGTAACAATATGTTATGAACATGCGTGAATATTTAGTAAAAGATTAACTAAAGCAAATATTGTACGTGGGTTCTTATTAAATTTATATGACTACAATGTCACTATCCATACATAGCTAGTCGTCGCAACGGTAGGGAAATGAAAGTACAGTAATCCCCCCTATAACACGGTAACGCGCTTGTACAACCCCGTATAATGCGTTATGTACAAATGATTCACGTTTAACTTTTCTCGTTAAAGGGGGGGGGGGGGTAAATGGAATATTAAGAGAAAAAAAACTATATTATGAACGAAATATGTGTGTTTTATTAAAATCATACTAAGAACATTTTAAGTAAAAAACTTATGCAGATGTAACTAAAAAACAGTTAATTTCAAGTGAATTAAGTTTTATTACATGTTTATTCGCTATCGGAGCTTTTTGAAATAACGTTCCACCGACTTTTTTTTAATAGAACGTTCAATTACCGCGTTATATGGGGGAATAACCGTGTATTATACGAGGGTTTGAAATCACATTATAAGAGTACCGTATTATAGGGGGGATTACTGTACCTAAATCTAACAACTTTGTTCTCCTATTCACATACTAATATTATAAATGTGAATAAGATTGTTTGTTACCTCATAGTGCTAAAGCACTTGGTAAAGCATTAAAATGCTTAACCAATTACTATAAAATTTAATATACATGTATTACAAGGGATGGAGAAGGATATAGGCTATTTTTTTATTCCGGTCAATAAATATATCCAATTCACGTGGACAAAGTTGCGAGTAAAATCTAGTAGAATTAAAAAAATGTTATATAAGCTGTCGTACTACTAGATGGCGCTGCAACAAATTAACTATTTAGCTATTCAACCAATCCCCATAAACTGAGGGAAATAAATATAAAGAAACAGAATAACGGCAATAAGGTTTGCCAGGTTATGCTAATCTCCTACATCTATAATAGATACTTTAATAAATCATACGAATTAATTTTAAACTGGCAATTGCCAATAAAATATTTAGATGTCAATAAATATGAAAAATATTGTTCTCAGACAAATGTCCAAAGTTATAAAACTAAAACGTCCTAAAAATCTATCAGAGTGGTTTGTTCCTGTCTTACATCTTTCAAATGTAGAAATCAGTGCCAAAGACAAAACATTTCAATAGCTTAAATAGGTTTTTAAGAGATTTGACGTTTTTATGAGTAAGGGATAAGTTATAGTGGTAGTCTCTAGAGTGGTTTCTAAACTTAGATAAAGGATAAGCAAGGTCGTCTTTAGTGTACCTAGCGCCCTCGGGCCAAGTTTTAGCGACGAGACGGCACGACTTCCCCTATCAATGAAAAAAGTTCTCAGCGCCTCCAGAAGCCGTCCGATCACGCTACACTCGAAATGTTGATACACCGACATACCAAGGACAAGTCTTTTATCTAAATTTGCTTATGGAATTTCTCAATTTATATATAAAAAATGTGTAATTTAGAGTACTTTTATAAAATACAATAAATTTTATCACCATAAATTACACTTAGTAACGAAATAAAATGATAAGTGTACAAAATCATGAGTACAGATAAATGTCTAAAATAAAGCTAATAACTAGATTAATTTACACATGGCAAAATGCTTAATGGTCATTATATTATTATGGTATACATCTACTAATTATCAATGAACTAACATATTTATTATTCATGTATGTATATATAGAATTTATAAATGATACATTCTGAACGAAAAAAATAAGCAATCATAATTGTTATGTTTAATTTCATTTCACAGTATATAAATTTATATAATGCGTAGTATATATTATTATATTCAATCGTACAATATCAAGGTAGCACTCCTAAGATACTGGCAGCAATATTCCTCTGGATACCTATTTTCTGTGAATAGTATCTAAAGTTTAACTACCACCTCTGGAGGCACTAGGAACCTCGATAAGACATGCTATAATTGTCGAGTAATAGTATTAATAAGTAGCTAATTTTATACCTACTTAAACTTTAATTTTTTTTTTTATGAAGAACTTTTTATTTATTATTTTTGGTCAAATGTTCCATCACCTCAGAATTTATATAAATTATTATTAGCCACTTAGGTACTGTGTACTGCTAAAAATAAGTTAATATATATTGAGGAGTATCTTCATGATAAAGTAATATATTACTACTACAGCTACTTGTTTCCGCAGATCTATTCTAGAATAAAACCTATAATATCATTACATACACGTTATTTATTGTAATCAGTAACCTATAATACCTATAGTTAAACATTCAAATAGCTACGTAGCAGATATGACAGCCTAGTCGTGACCCAGTCTCCTCTTCAATGTTCCTAAAGCTACCAAAACTAGTTTTTATTATGAATCGATTTCATATCTGCAGTATCAGTTATATTAAATTTTAAAGTTATTTCTATATGTATTATTAAAAAAGACTACTTGGGATCAACTAGAAAATAAGCCGATTTTTAATCTCGGTCGAGTTGAGGCTCATGCACTGAGCATGCAATAGCAAAATTCCTTTTAGTAATGGCGCGGGGTAAACGTCAGAATTTAATACACTTGGCATAAAAACAAAATTTGAAATTATGAACAGGTGTGTAATAAAATATTTTTTTTTAATTACATTTATGTTCTAATATAATTATGTTGCAGCTTTTAAGATGTGAGATAAAAACTATAACATCGTGAACACATTAAATAAAATTGCTATAATAAGCATTTGTTGAATATACGATTTTATTAGTAAAACACTGAGACTGTCATATCTAAATATGTAACAAGCCCTTATATAACTAATCAAACAAAAACAGTAAAATACATTATGAAGGTAATCACAATATCTATACCGTAATAAAATGCCGTATGTTAATATTTATTTGATAGAAAATATTTCTAATGGATGATATGAGTGTATTAGTTTTAGAGTAGTCTAACTACCTAGTCTAATAACAAAAGCTGAATATGTTCCAGGAAAATTTGATACTTATTTGTTATAATAGTATAATGAAATTAATATAAGTGTTTATCGACTTTATTGCCGATTGTATTATTCATGATTAACTAGTGCTACAACTTTTGCATTACTACAATATTAATTACATACATATCGAAAAAACCTAACTCTCCGTTATTTCCGTGTTTAGGCATACATTTCAATAAACAATATAAAAACGATGTAATAAAAAAAAACTATGACAACAATAAAAGATTGTTTTATCGAAATAAAAAAAAAACATATAGGTATTAGATAAATTTTAAAATGATCCTCTAATATATATATTTCTCGAAATTTTAAAAAAATTTTAGTACAATTTAAGGTCTTCACAATTAAAATAGAATTTTAATTTTTTAGATCTGTTTTTTTTTTAAACTTAAAAATATATCCATTTCATAAAACACAACACAGAACAAAATTATAAACTATTAATTTAGATTCTTCATTAATGTTTGATTTTAAATAATTAAGTAAATAAATAAAATACCTTCATAAATCAATAACATAAATAAGGGAGACTTGCAAATATCTAACTTCCCTATTGATAAATAATTGTCATTAAAGACACGGAAATAGCCAAGCGCATGTTACTTTTTCGAATAGGTACTATTAAACACTTACCCATTTTAGGATAGCTACTAATGTGCTGTAAATTTTTAAGAGAACTGACACTAAGCCAGCTTTGGAAAAAGCAAATACTAGTTATATCCTATTGTTCCTACAGTTTCAGATTAAAATGTTACTCATATATATATGACAATAAAAACTTAATATAATTATTTATTTGCAGTCAGCAATTGAAGGGTTAAGAAGACAACGGTGTTATCTGACAAAATTGAAAAAAATATTCTTATTGTTTAAACAAAGATTTTAGTTGATAATAAATGGCCTCATGATATGTAAAACTATAAATATTCGTTGTATAAAAAGTTAGAAAATATAGTAAAAATTTTAACTATCATTTAAGGTAAATTTATACATTACAAATGTGGTTAAAACGCGTAAGAGCATTTTAGAGCTATTTGTTAGTTAAAACCTTTGACTACTTAACTCTTCAATTATTTATTTAAACATCTAATACACTTAATTTATATACATGTATAATATTATATTTATGATTTATATAATTCTTTGATTTCATCTTAAACTATGTACTTACAATATAATTTCATATAATCTTACCTATATTTACATACATAGTGGTATCTACATAATCAATTTATATGAATGTCACAGCCAAATTATGTAATTCTCTCCAGTACGAAAGCTCTAGCCATTTTGTTAAACATGTATAAATGTTCCACCGGAATGTATTCCAGCTAAACAAAGGTACTCATTGTAAAAACAGTCGTTTTAACTGCGAGTTGCGCCTTAGTTTTTTTTGTCCGATGACTACAACAATACTTATACATGATAGTACATCATGCATACGTATTACCTACGTCTACTAAAAATAACAAAATATAATCATAGTGAGAATACTTAGATTAAGTCCAATGCTTAAATAATAAAAAAAATATTAACAATACAAATTACACCGTTTGGCTGTGATATAGATATCACATGTGTACCGTTTATAAACATTATACCTACAATAAAATATGTCACACACTATCAGCTAAAACTGCCAATTAGTACTGAATGTGTGCCGGGCTGAACTTTGTAAGTCCAGTACCTATTTAATAATTATAAAATTAACACACGATTATCAAAAAATATCTATTTTGTAATAAAAATTACAAATAATTTATACGAAAATTTGGTGTCTGTAAGTTTCTAATTGCAGGTAATTATCACAGTTAAAAGAAATACATAATATATTATGCCGCTTTTATCAACTCTTAGAATCGTTAGTTATCTAGTGGAGTGTTAATATTAAAAAAAAAAATATTTTGTAAATAAACAATAATATTTCGTTTTTAATAGTACAATAATATTTTGTTTTTAATGTAGGTATCATAGACATGTATATATAATTTAAGTTCCAATTAAACTTTGTGTAAATGCGGTAAATTTTTAATCATATAATTACTTTGAAATTTACTCTTTAACTTTAACCTTTCTATATTTAGCAACAGAATGTTATAGTTATTGATTAACTTCTTGTTAACTTAACGATTTGGTTCTAGTATGCAATTTGCATTACCGCTGTCTTTGACATACTAAATTAAAAACAAAAAACAGTATAACAGTAAAAAAAATGTATAATATAATTGTAATAAAATATAATAAGCAATAAATTTTATTTTAACAAAACAAAACAGTAACCAGGTAATTAAAATATTATATCACTTTCTTGAGTACATCCAACTTGATAATAACAATTATAAAGATTTTTATTTCTTTATTATTTGCGAAACTTTTACAGTTCATTATTTTTAATCGAAAAAATATAATGATACGTGCATCATGTCATATTAAAAAATGTCTCATTTTGCGTGTACATATCTATTATTCATATGTATAATTATACATTTAACAAAAAATACCAACTGCCATATTGTGACGTATTAATTGTAAAAAACTGTTTAGGTACATACATGTAGGAGAGCCATTGATATATCTATAGTGGGAACAAATAATTTTTGGAAATAAATATTTATTTACAAAGGAAACGTGAACAATTAAAAATCCTTTGTAATCACAAATTTAATTTTCCTTGTATGGTGTACTATGTTGTGGACACATTGAATATACAGTACCTACAATATTATTATCAATTTACTGATACACCTCAGTAATGAACAAAAGAAAGAATTATAATTATGGGACACCACAAAAATATAATGTTTTAGTATTTTATGTATATCTAATTCAAAAAATACTTTCACTAATTTATTTCTTAGTTTTCTGTAAGCAAGTGCCAGTCGTATTTGAAAAACTTCAATTGAGCTTTATAAATATTGAAAAACCACAGTAACAATTGACAAATTGCTTCTGACTACCCAATTCAAGATTAGTGTCTGAAGTCATATTAATTGAATATTTAGAGTTAATAAAATTTGATGTTAACATAAATATAAATCTTGTAAATATAACATGAATATACAATAATTCATAAATACCTCTGACTAGCTCGGGGTATAAAATCGTGAGCATCTCATTTAATGTAAGAGTTATTAGGTTTTATTTCATTTTAGAATAAATAACCATACAGGTCGAATTTGTTAAAAAATATTTTAAATATTAAAATTTCCTTTTTTTGTATTTAGTATGGCAACACATTTATAAACTAGCCCAAGTAATAGCAACATCAATTATGTGTATAACTTCAATATAATAAAAACAAAAAATAACTAGATACTATTATATTCTTCTTAGTTGCCTTATAAAGCTTCTAATGACTAAATTTATTCTTGATACCATATAAAAATAACTTGTCTTGGACAGTTAAGCTTTTAAAGATAGACATAAAACTCTCTTTCTAAATAACTTTGGAGGTACATAGAACAGCCTTTCGTTTAATAATTCACATCCATTTATCATTACCTCTTATAAATCATTCAATCCACCATTACTATGACCAGCTTTAACATTATCCAATATTTTGTTGACGAATTCTGATGTTTTACCAGCTATCTTAACCTCTGTAATAAATGTCATTTGAGCACTTTTAATGATTAAGGAAAATATGTGGAATAAGTAAACATTTTTTATGATACTTAGAATTGCAAACAAGCCGACAGTTCACCTGATAGACAGTAGTAACTGTCGTTTATAGACATGAACAGCACCTTGGACATTGCAGAATACACTATTATGTCTATGATACCCCTCAAACATTAAACCTTAGAAAGCTAAATAAAAGACCGTCTCGGCCGTAAAATCGTCAAACAAACTGCCAGTCGCTACTCCAAAAATGATTCAACATTATGTTACAATAAGAACCAGTATAAGCTGAACCCTATATTTAGGCGCGAGCTAGCGTTAGAAAGCTCATTTGATCTACAAGCTGTTGAATGAAACATGTCTTAGGTAAAAATTATGAGGGATTAAACGATGCAATCAGACTGAATTGGCTATCTTTTTTTTTATACAACTTAGAATGGAAAACAAGCTGACGGCCCACCTGATGGAAAGTGGTAACCGTCGCCTATAGACATGAGACTATCTAATAGATGACACTTATTAATTCTGATAAAATAAAATAACTGGTCACGTATAAGTTGAATTCAAATGGCGAGGATTTCGTACACAAATATATGAGATAAAAGTGCGATCCAGTGCACTTTGTTTTTTAAGATTTTTAATAATTTCTCCACATTTTTCGCTTTCCGAACTTGAAGTTAAGGGTGAAGGGAATGGTGTTTTTCCTCACATTTATGATAAAAAAAATTATGCAGCATAACAATAAATAAAAATCAATAAAATTAAGTAAAAAGTATCAAAATATAATTAATATTTTCTTACAAAATTGCATTGATTTATTGTTTACAAACTTTCTAAGTTGTTAATATAAAGTGATTGAAATAATTCGGTATTGTAGGGCTAATTGAAAATTTCTATTTTGATTTAATTTAGATTTTTCACACTACTGTAAAAAGTAAGGGTGGAGATATAAACTACAATTTCATGATCATTTAGAGACCTTTAATTCACAAAGGTGTTTCTCTATTTAAAAGTGTTATATCTAGGTACCTTAATAATAGTATACATTTTTAATCAAATTCAAAATGTATTAACCATACCTCAAAAAAATCTAATGTTTGATGTATAATGAGGTTTGTCAACAAAATTCTTGTACCTATAATAATTTTTATATAGTGATGTTGGAGCTTCTTCCACCAAACATCTTACCATATCAGAAACAGTTAACTTTTAACAGTTAAATGACCACTGCTGAACATAGGCCTCCATCTTGGCAGGCGGGTTGGCAACTACTATTAAGTTTTAGCTGTGTTTTAAGAGGGACGCTGCTGTCTATCCCTCAACCATTAAACTAAGAAGTACCCCCTTTTTTGTTTACTGATACGTACCTGTAGCGGTATTAATAATGCCTTTGATATGGTTATTCCAATCAATTTTGTTCTGATTTTGATTAGTTACTCTGTTGTTTAGAACTTGTTTCATCTGAGCAATTCCATTAAGAAGACGTCCTAAAAGCACAAAAAATATAGTAGAAAAAATAGATAATGTCCAAATTTATATATACAACATAAACTTGAAAAATAAAAGCTGTTTGTGATGTACAAATTTATTTAAAGTGAGAATTTTGACTGGACTATTTTTATATAGATTACTACATTACTTCTAAAAAGTATAAACTTTTTGTCTTATCTAATAACATAACATATTACTAGCTGACTTTTGAGTAAATGTTTTGCCCCCTCATGGCTCCATTTTTTCTACCGAGATAGACACTATCCTAGCTTTGAATAATAAGATTTTTTATAGTGTACTTTAATACAAAAACAAGTTTGAAAACTTACTGAAGGTAATTTAAATATTTTTAAATATTAACTATTCGTAAGTAAATAATTAAAACTTTTAATTTATTTTTTGTTTACGATTACGCTATTTATAGAAATGTTGACGTTGCTGAGATGTCACTTTGACAAAGACAATACACAATTCTATGGTCGGCTATAGAATGCATAATTTTAATAAAACCAAATATATATTACTTGTAGTTGTGTATTTACTTTTAAAAGATATTTTTCATGTACACCCTATGGTATCACTTCATAACAAAACCACTTACTATGTTCTTGTTGCAAACCGTAGAGTTTTAGTTTATTGGCTTCATGTTGTGCTTTTTTCTTTAACCTGCAAGCTCTGGAAGCTAGTTTATTTTTTTCTTTCCTTGTTTTGGGTCTGATATTAAATGGTAGCTCACTAACGGGAATCATGTCATTAATAACTTTACCCAAATTATCCAGTTCTTTGCCAATAAGATATAATTTCCTCGGATTAGGTGTAAGATCATTTCCATCTCCTTTCCGTGCTTTTCCACTATAATTTAAAATTACCTATTTTATAAATAACAATACACAATTTTTACACATTATTTATATTTTATTTTTTATAAATAAACTTAACTGTTTCCATCTCTCTATAGTTTCTCTTAAACACTTAATGATAAATGTTAAAAATGATTAGTACGCCATTGTACTCATTCTGTTTTTAAGAACACTATCCTTCTGAACAATAACATTACAATATCAAACATCTGGGGACACAACAAAATGGGAGGTTTGATATGCTTTAGCAGAATTGGTCCGGTGAATTTATGAAATACAGCTTGACACATTCGTATTTTAAAATTATATATAAGGGAAAAGTCTCTGTTAATTACCCAAAGGAAAAATCGCCTCTCAATATCAACAATGGCGTAGTTGTGAACTAAATAGCACACACGCAAAAAGATATTATTATATATTTATTTAAATACTTAGCATAACTAACAAACTGAGGGCCCACTTGATGGAAAATGATAACTGTATTGTATCTATGGCATAGAACATTATATATAATCAGTCTGGCTAATACGTGAGATTTTTTTAATAAAAACAAAAATCGCCATTTTTAACCTACTTCAAAAAGCAGAAGATTTTCTATTCAGTTGTATTTTGTTTATGTTTACTATCATAACTCTGTCAGTTCTAAACCGATTTAGGAAATTCTTTTCTTATCTGAAAGGATATACTTATAAAATGAGTCCCATAGAAATTTTATCAAAATAGGTTCAATAATTTTTCAGATAATCTACAAAGTAATATACAAAATAATTATTTTCACTGCACTTCTATTATTTGCTTTTTTTATTCAGCTTACACAATACAGGCTTAGCCTAGAGTGGGTTATAGCTATATTGTGTTGGTTAATCTTGTTTCATGAAATAAAGTTATTTGATAAAAATAAAAAGTGAACAAAACCATCATTATGAATTACAATACTCTACCATCTGTATATAGACAGATGTAAAATTATTCCAATATATTTTTAACAAATTATCTAGACTAATATTATAAAGAGGAAAGATTTGTATTTTAGTGTGTATGTATGTTTGTAATAAATAAACTCAAAAACTACTTTGCCGATTTCAAAAATTCTTTCACTATTAGATATATATAATGTAGCTTACATTCACCCTGAGTAACATAGGCTATATTTATTGCAAAAAAAATAAGAGATCCTTACTAAAAGATATCTTTCGTCGCATGCGCTGCGGAAACTATAGGTGATAGAACAAAAGTATGTTCTACAATATTGAAGATAATATCAATAACTACAAAAAATTTCAGGATACTATATGTCCAACTATTATCGTTATGTCATAATAAACACTTTTTACATTTTAAAAGTTGATAGAAATATTTATCATATACCAAAATTACTTTTTGAATTGTTCAAATCGGCTATTCCATTTAATAGATATTACGAATTTAATAAGTCATAGAAATAGAAAAAATAACGCTGTCGCGTTCTACATGTTCTTCATACCTATTTAGTGATACTTATCCAAATAAATTATTTTGTATTCAAGCCAGGTAGGATCAGATAAAAGTGTAAAATGTTAAAATGTCCACCCCTGCGAAGGCATGACAGGCCGCTAGTTCATAATAAAACTACATAAATGTACAAAAAAAATTTACATAAATTGTTTTAGTAATGCTTATTTTTAGGAATGAGAGGAAGTACTTTATCAAATAAATAATTTACCTGTGTTTTATACCTCTAACACTGCAGCTAGGACTAAACACTGGGTCTGTGACAGAATTTAAAATGTGTGGATCTTCAGATTTCTTCTGTAAAATGAGGCGTTGCCCTTTAGGTCCTTTTGCTTGCACATTGTATTGCCAGAAAAATCTCTCCTTTTTTGCATTATTCCTGGCCTGTTTACTTTCTGAACACTCATCATTGGATTCTGAAATTAAAAATTGTAAAATTATGATTTTTTATTTAACCTATTAAGCCTATAAATTCTTCTATGTGATATTGTTATAAGATCACAATAATGATTGATAATATTTTTATTATCGAGTATCACTCAATACTAATACCATTTAGAAGTTTTTATAAACAAAGGAACCTATTAAAAATACCTCTACATTTTATGTGCCTATAAAGGGTATGAAAACCATGAAAATTAATCAAATTATATCTCATGAATTGATCAACTGATTCTAATAACTATATTAGACATCTTTATTTCTATAATAATTATAATGACTTAGCAATTGGACAGCACCATAACTATAAACTAATAGCCAAACACAAAATCTTCTAATTTTTAATAAATCTAAACAATGCAGTTAGAAAACTTTATTAGTAGAACAAGTTGCCATGCCAAGTCATTATAAATATTATAAAAATAAAGATGTCTAATAATATTGATAATTTGTCAGTACAATTTGTTAATTTTATTTTGCAACATTTATTTTCATTGTGGTAAAACTGGAATTACATTTTAGAAAACAGACAAACACACCATATTAAATGTTTATAATATTAATAAGGTCAAATCAACTGAACTCCACTGAGAAAAGAAACAGCTATATACGAAATCTGAAAAAGAATCTAGCACAATCACATGACTCACTGATTAATTTAGAAGATGTACAGGCCTTGAGCAACAAACTGGAAGAAATAATATTAGAAAGTTTAAGATTTGATAAGAAAAGAAAAGCTGGCCAACATAAAATCCTAAGCAGTGAAACATTGAGTCTAATCTCTAGAAGAACTGAACTAGTGACTGAGAAGCACAAAACCAAAGAAACTAGAGAAAAAATAAAGAAGTTATTTAAGGAAACTAATAGAGCAATTAGGAAAGACCATGATAATTACAGAAGAGCAGTTATTGAAAGAAACATGACAAAGTTCCGAAGTTCAAAAAGAGCCTTCAAAGAACTTACAACACATAAAAAATGGATACAATCTCTAAATAATGGTAAAGGCGAAATCAGGGAAAGAGATGACATAGTCAGAAGTGCAACAGCATTCTACACCGACCTGTATAAAAAACCTTTAGAAAAAGAAACATATAAAGATGAAGACATTGTGTGTAAGGAAAGCAATTCAGAAGCAGCACCGAACCAGATTACAGAGTACGAGGTCATAAAACTTATTAAAAAATTAAAACCTGAAAAAAGCCCAGGTTCAGACAACATTACCAATGAAGCCATAAAAATCGGAGTGCCTATTTTAATCACATATATAGTGAAAATTTTTAACCTAGTTTTGGAGAAGCAAGTGGTACCAAAGCAATGGTGTGAATCTGACATTATACTGCTGTACAAGAAAGGCAACCCGCTTGATATTGGCAACTACAGACCTATCAGCTTACTATCCACAGTTTACAAACTCTTTTCATCCATTATTTTGAGCAGAATAGCAACAGAAATTGACAAATATCAACCAATAGAGCAGGCTGGATTCAGACCACATTACTCTACAATCGATCACATCCACACAATAGAACAGATAATAGAAAAGTACAAAGAATTTAATAAATCACTTTACATAGCATTTGTGGACTACTCCAAGGCCTTCGATAGCATTACACATTCATCCATATGGCATGCTTTGGCTGACAATAACATAAACAGCACCTACATAAATATTATAAAAAATATTTACTCTAATAGTACAAGCAGAGTCAAACTGGAGAGGCAGGGTGAAAAGTTCACAATTGGAAGAGGCGTAAGACAGGGAGATCCACTTTCTCCAAAACTTTTCATAGCAGTACTTAACAACATCTTTAAAAGTATCGATTGGAGCCATGAGGGTATATGGATACTGAACAAAAGACTAACACACTTATGTTTCGCAGATGATATAGTACTTTTTAGCGAATCGGTTAGCAACCTAGAAAAAATGCTACAAGAACTAGATTTGGAAAGTAAGAAAATTGGGCTAAATATGAATGCAACCAAAACAAAGATCATGACAAACCACAGCAAAAAAATTATCACAATAGAAGAGAACCCTATAGATTATGTGGATAGTTATGTGTACCTAGGTAAAATGGTCTCTTTCGAAACGAACAGTGGAGAAAATGAAGTTGATAGAAGAATAAACATAACATGGAAGAAATATTGGGCTCAAAAAGAAATCCTTAAAGGGAACTATAGTCTCAACTTAAAAAAGATAATTATGGATTCCTGCATCCTTCCAAGCCTAACATATGCATGCCAAACATGGACCTATACAGAAAAAATAAAGAACAAAATCCTATCATGTCAACATGCGATGGAAAGAAGTATCTTAAAGTTAAGAAAAATACAGAAAATAAGAAACACTGATATTAGGAAGAAAACCAAAATAAAAGATGCTCTTCAGTATAGTATGAAACAGAAGTGGAGATGGGCAGGTCATATAGTGAGGTACAAAGATAAAAGGTGGACTCTCCAAACAACAAAATGGCGAGGTCCAGCAGGAAAAAGAAATGTTGGAAGACAAAGAAAGAGATGGGAAGATGACATAATAAAGATAGCAGGAAAGAACTGGACGGGTATTGCTATAGATAAGGAGAAGTGGAAAAAGATGGAGGAGGCTTTTATCCTTGGGGACCACGGAAGTGGATAAAAAAAGCTATAATAATAATAATAATATTAATAAGGTAAAGACAAATAGATAGATTGATTCTACAGAGAACAAAATTGTGTTTTCCTACATTGTTTAATTCTACTTGTTTGATGTCTTCATTAATGTCAATCTAAATCCAATTAAAAAAATGAGCCGTGTTTATAGTAAATAAGGATGCCCAATAGGATTTTTTGTTATTTTTTTATAAACTACATAAAGTAATTTATTTTGTTGACATGCTAATCCTTATGTTTTCATTTCATCTTGAATCTAATTTCAGACATAAGCATATTTAGATGGGGGAGTGGGGAAGCAAAGGGACCTTTCCCACATATGTTATATTTTCAATGTTATTTTAATAATATGAATCATGAAAAGAATATTGTGTTGTTTTTATAGGCACACAGAAACATGACTATATAATATAATCAATATACCATCAGATGATAGATCCTCATATCTGTCACTATCTTCATCAGACTCTACATCTCTTTCATCTTCATCTTGTGAAATATCTTCTGTACCAGGACTGAGTAAACCACCAGAGAGGGAAGATGCCGAGCCAGCTTCTGCCAGAGAGCTGGTAGATAATAAGTGCTTACGAGGTTCACGACGTTGCCAGATCTGATGATAAAATTATTATAGAAATGTAAAATTTATCCATATTGTATTATCTTAGTTGGTCAAATAAACATTATTTGCCTTTACCAACAGAGTCAATTGTACCTTATCTTTGTAAAAATTATCCCATCTCTGAAATTGGAGCATTGAATACACATTTATAAAATTTCATTAAATTGGCGGACAGGTTTTAAAAAAAAAACTTAAATGATTGTTGTGACACCTAATTTTTGTCTAATACCATAAAGCAAAAGAGTTTGTTTAAATGCATTAATCTCTGAAATTACCTGGTTGAATTTGAAAATATTTTTTTAATTAGATTGCAAATTTCTTGAGAAAGAGAATATTTAATATCACAATGGGACCATGATCAAAGGGGCAAATCTTATGTTATAATACTAATAATTACAGTAAATTAAAATTTTAACCTGTTCCATTGTAAGATGTGTTGGTGCTGATGAGGAAAGTTGAGTTTGTTGTGGTTTCACTGCAATGGGAAATGGTGGTAATATACTGGAAGCTGGAACTGACTGTCCCAATGCTATTTCACCACCATAACCATCTAGACGAAGCAATAATTCTGGCAATTGATTCATTGGTTGTGCAAAACTAGATGATGCCGAACTGTGCTGACTTGAAGGTGAAAAAGCAAGCTGTGCTCTGCTATAAGGGCTGCAAGGGCTCTCCGCTGCCAATGTGTTTGAAATCTCCACAGTGTTTGGTGTATGGCGAGAACCACTCATGGCCCCTCCAATTTGTATGCAATAACCACTCTCTTCTGGTAGCAGTAAATCATCAAAATTCAAATCCTCCAACAAAGTATCAGGATTTGCATTCAGTTCAGCTAATGTTGGGCCTAGAATTAAATCTGCTTTGTCTACTTGAAATATATCATCATCATCCATTTTGTTTAAAATTTCCATTTTACAGTTTTCAGATTCATATGCTAGTTTATTGTACTGCATTGAAGGTACATTGTGAAAAGAACCAGCTAGATTATCTTGCAAGCACAGATCTAGATCGGAGTTGAAGTCTCCGAGCTCAGTTCGTCGTTGAGGTATAGGTACAGAGGCAGACATGGGACCGAGCTCAAAGGGAGACTCCTGTTTTATCTCTACTCCTGGCTCTAGAAGAAAGTCATGTGTGTAAATAGAATCAGACATTGCACGTGTTGTGTAGAGTGACCTTGGCGTATAATCGTCTCGTTGATAGAGACTAGCGCACGCGTCTTACACTTCTATTGATTTATTCACTTATACCCACGTGTCCCGTACAAAATGACAATGTTTATTTATTTCTTGTTGTTTCAAAAACAATAATATTTTGACACATTTAATTATTTTAAAGATATGTCGAACTATTATACTTCATATCCTTCGATTACATAACAAAATAAAACACTATTAAAAATAAAAATTTGTAAGCACTTAATATTCACAATGACTTTCGATATCGAATTTATAGACAAACATTATAAAGCACATGTTTAGGCGAATATAATTCAAGATAATATTGCATATTATCAATATCAAACGCGATCAAGTATTAAAAGCTATAATTTGCAAATAGACTGAAAATATTTTCACACACAATAACAAAAACACTTCGTCAAGATACGAGTATAGAAGTAAACAAAGATTTTAATAATATTATTCAGCAGATTCAAAGGTCATTAGAGCGATATAAACATATACACAACAACACGAGAAAAAAAGAGATAGAGTGAATTTGCACAATGGACGTCAACGGAAGAGGAAAAGGGGCAACTGGGGCCTGGGGGGCAACGATAGTGATGTCACTCATATCTTAAATAACTATATATTTCGTTGTTTAATAACGTACTACGATATTAAATCACTTTTAGATGCTCATCTTAATATATTATTATTTCCATGTCTAATCACCAACCAATTAACCGATTTTAATGAAATTTTGCAAACATTTATTGTTTGCTCCAACTTGAAGGATTGATAGGATAAAATTAATTTGTTTTGGTCGGTAAAACCAACCTGGTAGATGGCGGTAGTGTGAAAAATAATATTCGCTGGTTTACCAGTTCCTATAAAATACTTTAAAAATAATAACAACATTCGCAAAACGCTAGTTATAAGGGTTATTAGATATTAGATGTCATTATAATTATGACTTATCACTACATAGTATGAAACAAAGTCGCTGTCGCTGTCTATCTGTCCCTATATATGCTTAAATCTTTAAAACTACGCAACGGATTTTGAAGAGATTTTTTTAATATATATATATTATTTTTATACTACTTAGAATGGTAAACAAGCTGACGGCCCACCTGATGGAAAGCGAAAACCGTCGCCTATAAACATGAGCAGTACCGTGAATATAACAGAGTATACTGTTTCGCCCATGATATCCCCCATGCGTTGAAATTTCTGAGGACTCAGGTGTTATTCCTCTGTACCCTGTAAATTCACGCCGTATCCCACTCTTCAAACCGAAATACAGCCATGCAAACACAACTTCTTCACAGTAGAAACAAGAATGAGACAGAGGTACCCAAGCAATCGACTTTTGTACTAAGTCTCCCTCTGGTGGTCCCTAATAGATAAAGTGATTCAAGAGGAAGGTTTATATGTATAATACATGCATAATATTGTAGAGAAACACTGATAAATTTAGACGTTTCTAATGTAATGTAAATAAACATTTTTTTTGCGCTTACATTGCAAACGTTGGCTGAACCCCACGAGATAAATCAAAATAATGTACTACAGTATTGTACACCTTAAAAAGGTCAACAAAAAACTCCGCGATGGTATATGTCTATCTCTTAAGGATAACCCACAATAACCAATTTGTATGCTTTACTTTTTACGGGGAAAAAATGGCTTATTTACGAAGTGATTTTAAACATTACATAATTAATTTTTATCCCACTAAGTAACTTAAATACATTGTGCATTTAGTATAGATCAATATAGCCCAGCCCATATATTAATTTAAATTACAGCATGTAATTTAAATTAATATTTCCGAAGATACTATAGTTTTAAAATGCAGAGACATAGCGGTGCCACGGTACCGGTTCGGCCAGCGGGGCGTGCCTATAAGTACCACATCGCTGGCCGCGCTTTACCCTATAGCACTTTATCATGTTTGTATTTTCTAATGACAAAAACGCTGTAAACGTTGTTTATAAGGACATTCTGTAGTAGGTAGGTATATTTAGTATCAGCATTGCACCCGTGCGAAGCCGGGGCGGGTCGCTAGTTACTTATATACACCAATATTTTTTAATACCATTAAAAATTTAAGGGCATATGCTAAAAGATTGCACTAATTAATATGTGCTCTTGAATATTTTGTGTTTTAAAATATAACCAAAATATTTTCGAAAGACTTAGTAAATTTACGACTACAATGTTCTACGGTTACAGGCGCGAATGATGTAGCTAGCCTAATATCATTATCGTGATTAACTGTGATTTCTTTAGTCTCTATTTTTAAAACATGGCGAGTGTCGTAACAGCTGAACGTCAAAAGTGTGACAACTAATAATTCAAATATTATTATTATGGGTGACGATAAATTAAATTCTAGTAAAAAATGTGATATAAATAAATTTAATGTTATAATTATCGGCGGCGGAATAGCCGGGCTTTCCGCTGCTAATTATTTTATGAACAACGGCATGGAGGACTTTGTAATTTTAGAAGCAAGAAAACGTATTGGTGGTCGCATTATATCGATACCATTAAAAAATCACAACATCGAGTTGGGGGCTAATTGGATACATGGGGTATTAGGTAACCCTATATTCGAAATTGCTATGGCGAATAGTCTTGTGAATATCATTAACATACCCAAACCGCACAAGGTTATAGCCGCCACCGAAGACGGGAAACAAGTGCCCTTTGGTGTTCTTCACGAAATACACGAAGCCTATGTATGCTTTTTAAGGCGGTGCGAAGAATACTTCCTTTGTCAATATTTGCCTCCTCCTGATATCCATAGCGTCGGCGAACACATAAACTTAGAAGCAACTATTTATTTAGAACGTTTACCATCATCAGAAGAAAAGAAACTACGACGACTTATATTCGATTGCTTATTGAAAAGAGAAACTTGTATATCTGGATGCAATAATATGGATGAAATTGATTTATTAGAAATAGGTAGTTACACAGAATTACAAGGTGGGAATATTACAATACCATCAGGTTTTAGTTCAATACTCCAACCAATGACAAAAAAAATTCCTCCTAGTAAAATATTATCACAAAATCCTGTTATTAAAATAATTTGGGATTCTGATCAAAACAGCTCATCTAGGTCATTGGATGATGTTGGGGAAGAGTCAGAAGATTCTGATCAAACTGTTATAGAGGATATTTCTAAAGTTTCTAATACAGGTGACAAAATAGTGAATACTGGTGAAGGTACATCTATTACTGATGACCACAAACCAAAGAAAAAACACAATTATGTAGAAGTAGTGAGTGAAAATGGACAAAGTTACTATGGCAATCATGTGATATGTACAATTCCATTAGGTGTTCTCAAGGAAAATGCTTCAAATTTGTTTGAGCCATCATTACCTCAATATAAAATAGAATCAATAGAAAAACTTTTGTTTGGTACAGTAGATAAGATATTTTTAGAATATGAAAGGCCATTCCTAAATCCAGATATAACTGAAATCATGTTATTGTGGGAAAGTCCAACAACACCCGAAGAAATGTCTAATTCATGGTATAAGAAGATATACTCATTTAGTAAAGTTTCAGAAACTCTCTTGCTGGGTTGGGTTTCAGGAAAAGAGGCAGAATATATGGAGACATTATCTATGGAAGAAGTAGGAATCACTTGCACAAAAATATTAAGAAAATTTTTAAATGATCCCTTTGTACCAGAGCCACAAAGATGTGTTTGGTGAGTATTGTATAATATGATTCATAGTTTAAGATTAAGAATATCAAAATATTTAGTAAATAAGAAAATCATTAGATATCTTAAAAAGATTCTTAAGGACTGTTAGTACTGAATTATTTTTTATTTACTCATTGGCATATTTAAGATTATTATCCAAAGGAGGTCTGGCCCCTTAAAAAAGTGCATGAAAATCTCAAAGCTTTGCTTCTGTTCCTGGGGTGGATACTGAAATGAACTATCCCCATTTTGTGGTTCTGGTAGATAATTGTGCAGTAACATAAATTTTTCTATCATATGGGTATGTGTTAGTAGTTGATTTGTTGTTTTTGAATCTATATATTTAATATTTTATATCTTATAAAAAATATATTTATATCTTAAATTACAGTACAAGTTGGAAAAAACAACCATACACACAAGGATCATATACTGCAATTGCAGTAGGAGCTAGTCAAAGTGATATTGAAAGTTTGGCACAACCATTATTCCGCAATGTTCATGACAAAAAGGTATAATAAATTGTTATAATATATTTTTTAACAATATTTTAAATGTGAGCTAAAGTTTTAAAGTAAAATTAAATATATGTGTGTATAGTCTAGTTCTATAGAACTTAATGAAATTATAGTTAAGTTTTATTGAAATTATTACAAAAACACTGTCTAAATTAAATTTGTACAAATATAATAAAACGGAAAAGTTTCTTGGAACACAATAATCTCTGGAAGTACCAGTTGATTTTGCAAAATTATTTTTGCATTTGATAGCTCATTTCTTGAATAAGGTTATAAACTCTTCAACATTGTATATTTGTACAAATATGATTATTTTCCAGGTGGAGGCCTGGCCCCTTAATAATTTAACCCCATAATAAATTGGCACATTATGTGCCTTTTTAAGTTATTATGTACTCTCATACATGTTTTTGCACTTAGTTTAAAGCTCCACTCGCATTCTGAGGTGGGCATAGAACTACCTAAAATTAAAAGTATATATTTTTTAATACTGAGGAAATGAATCCTAACTGATAATTTATCGCCCAGTTTAAACTACTGGTTTAATGGCACTTAATTACAGAATGTGAATGTATTTGATAAAAAGCTCCTCAGACAATGCTATGTCAATGATTTATGTACAAAATTAATGTAGAATTAACACAGTAAAATCATGAACAAGCTGTATTTTAGATCTGTACAAGATATACAATAATAATTTCATCAGTATTTACAATTTATAGGTACAAATGACTCAAATTAATTCTAGAATTATAAAACTTTTTATTATATAACATTTATAAGTATATTTAATTAATGAGAACTATACAAATATATTTTTTTTATACTTTTACATATTATTTTTCAGCCTGTATTGCTCTTTGCTGGAGAGCACACCCACAGCAGTTTCTACTCAACAGCTCATGGTGCTTATCTATCTGGTCAAACCGCGGCGCGACGTTTATTGGCTTCGGACGAACCTTCTGAAAATAGTATTAATTGTCCTGGTGCAGCAGACCTCAACTCCTGGATTCAAGGTATACAACTGGAAGAATAACAGTACTGTTTAAGTTTTAATATTTAAAAATTTTAGAATGCAATCTAAGTACAAGCTTATTGCATTCAAACTGTGAAATTTATGAACAATTTCCAGGCGTATCCTTATCCAATCTTACTACACTCGCAAGCAACCAAATCGACTCAACCCTTGATGGCGCACATATGCATTGATTTTACTAAAAGGACAAATGTCAATTATAAAAATTATCAGCTTTAATTTGATATCATTATCATTGAAATCCATCAAATATTTCTTAAGTAAATGATGTCTGAACGTAAGAGTAGGAAAAATGGGAATTTAGGAAAAGAGCTTAGGTCCCGTATTTTGGAATTTAAACAAAAAATGGTGAAAAAAATAATTATTAAATCAATACTTCGTATTGCTCCATCTAGCCCTTATTACATTACAATATTATATTAGTTGATTGCGCAGCGAGGTTGAGACAATGAAGCGGTCGTCTCTCTCTGAAGTGCACCGGTAGCGGCTCGTTCTTGGTCTCCGATTGAAGGCACCAGTCTCTTGGAACCATTTGTATGCTCGGGATACAGCAGACTGGCTCAAGTAGAACTGCTCGCTGGCTAAACCCCTTAACCTTAACTTGTTGCAACAAGGCAACAACTTGCGCGGCTTCTTCTGGTGTGGTATCCATGGTTTCACGAAAACAAGGAATGCAATTTACTGAGATGTGTACCGGTCAACTTGTAATAAGCGACTGATGAGGTAAACCGAGTGTGGCCTAGTTTTATAGCGGGACAGGTAGTGCAACTCGTGGATACCTTATGGAGCAAATTTTCCCTGACGCCCAATTAAAATGCGTCATTACATCAGCGCTTAAGTTTTTTTTTTTAGAGTATTGATGTTAAATAAGAGCATAATTCTTCAGCTTTCGAATGATATATCATTTTTATAATTGACATTTGTCGTTTTAGTGAAATCAATGCATATGTGCGCTGTCAAGGTTTGAGTCGATTTGGTTGCCCGCGAGTGTATTATAATAAAATTGTACCTACACAATGTCTGTACATGGGAGATGTATAAGAAAAATTAATATGAAGGGTCTTATTGTGAACAATAGATAATAAACAATAGTTTTTATAAGTTTTGTCAGTCTGTATGTTTGTTATAGCCTCCCGCAGAAACTACTGCATCAAATTGAGTATAGTTTTAACAGTTGTATGTCTGAAAATCTAATTTAAAAACCGATGTAATTTTTATTTTGATACATCATTTTGTAGTATCTATCTCATTAGTATTCCTACTTCGGAAATCTACGCATATGAAGTAATGAGCAAAAAGCTAGTGAATTATAAAAAAATAGTATTTTTCATTACCATTTACTAGAACTTCTTTCTAGTATTAATAAATATTATAATATCTATACATGATTATAATCTCTTTACAGTTCATATTATAATGTAATAAAGTTAACAAATAGTTTTTGATCTGAAAAGTAATAAATTATTTTATTCATTTGAGAGAGAAATAATGGAAAAATATCTCAATTTTAATCAATCGGTGCACAAAAAGTGATTGCATTTTTAACTAACTACACACTTGGTAAAAATGCAATTGTTACACGCTTGTGAAGTTTATGGCGTAATTATTCATATACATAAATATGTAACTTACACTGAATATGATTTTTAAAATTTTATATAATACATATTTCTCATGCAACTTTAATGTAGAGAAATACTTATCTGTTTACTCTTAGATAACTTGCTTACTTCTTCTTCTTCTTCTTTAGATAACTTGCCTACATTTATTGAAAATTGAAATTTCGGCACTTTTATTTTCATCTTGAGAGCTAAAATTGTAAGATACTTTATGAAATTTATTAAGAGTTTTGTTTGTTAATTACACCTATTATTATTGTTTAGGAAACAGTGATACAAGCCAAAAGAAATACAGTAAACATTTGTGATTAATTTTATTAGGTTAATTAAACAAAGAAATAACAATATTTGTAAGTATTTCAATTTATTGTGTATTTAAATTTTATACAACTTCAGTATGAAAAAAAAATATAGTAGAACCTTTAATTAAGGATTTACTTAATTAAATTAGATTTAACATTAAATCCTTGTTTTGTTTGCATTTATTATAGTACATTTTAATTTTGCAATGAATTATAATTTTAGTAAATTGATGACTAAGTGATAAATAATACCTAATGGACGGAACTACCATAAAATGTCATATGTAGGGTACATTAAATGGCACAACACACTCTAAAATCTATAGGTCGCTTGTATATACATTATTCATTAGTATGTATTATGTTTAATTCCTTGTTAATAAGATTTTAATGTATAATTAGATATAAATAATAATATCCGATAATCATCTTCCCCAACTAAGCCTATCAAATTTGGTCAAGCATTAGATATTTATAATGAGCATAGAGTATTATTCTGTATACCTACCTACAGGTGTTGTATTAGTTAATATTTGAATTTAAAATGGCGGCTGTTTAGTATAGTCTTCTTTTCATTTAAGAGTTTCCTCTTGTCGGTGCAACTAATTCATGCATCTTCTTCCAGCCAGCTCTATCCCCAAGATATCCATGACCTCCCCATACAACATGACACCTAGTGTTTCTTTTATCTGTCCCATGTACAGGGTGGGCCTTAAAGGTGTTGGCAATTTAAAAATTAAATTAAAAAAAAACCTCAAATCGTGCAACATTTTTATTAGTAATTAAAAAAAAATACAAATGTTGAAAATTTTAAGACTAAAAAAAATTTTATCCAGGTGATGTCCGTCTTTTGTACGGCACTCTTGAAGGCGAAGGAGCAGATTCAGGTAAACTTTGCGAAACATTATTTTCGGGATTTTGTCGATTTCGCAAATAATGTTTCTGTTGAGCTGCTCTAAATTGCTCGGATTATTTTCGTAGACTTAAGCTAACCTCGCAGAAAATGGGGACATGGGGACAGATCGGGACTGCGTGGTGGCCACTCAATATCGCCCCTCTTAGAAATGAGTTTTCCGGAGAAACCTTTTTCAGCAGCTCTATTGACTCATTAGCCGTATGATATGTGGCCCCATCTTGCTGGAATCACATCCTCGAGGTATAGCCTCGATATTCCTATAAGGCTGAGAACTCTCTAATCATTTCACAATAATTATGGGCTCTAACAGTCACCGCTCACCCTCTTTCGTCCTCAAAAAAGTATTGCCCAATGACACCCGTTGATGTCAATGCGGCGTACACGACGAACTTAGTACTGTGCAGTGGACGTTCATGTAAGCGCTATGGATTAGTCTCGGACCAGCACCTACAATGTTGTATATTCACAAGACTTTTTAAATGGAAATACGCCTCGTCACTGAACATAACGTTGTAGAAGTTGTTAAATCGGTCGAGCATCTGATTGAAAAAATGAAGTTGATTATTCGCATCTTGTGGTTTCAATTCTTGGACAAGCTGAATCTTGTAAAACTTGTATCTTAAATGCAAATCACGCTTTAAAATTTGGCTCAAAATTGTTCTTTTAATGTCCAAAGCCTAAGACCTCTTACGGGTTGATTGTTGTGGATTTTCACGTACTGAACGTTTAACTCGCTGCACAATGTCGGCCGTTCTCGCAGAAACCGGACGTCTGCTAGGCTTGATTGGTAGTGTCGATCCGGTTGTTTCAAACACTTTGATCAATTTCCATATGGCATTGTCACTTAGAACTTGACTCAAGACGCGTAAATCATGTTCGCGTCAATATAACCATCTGGCAATAATAATTGATTTGTTGTTTTCGTAAAGCGCTCGAACACAAAATGCACGCTCCGCTCCCGTGTACCGCTCCATGGCGACTGAATTTCCGCAGTCACGCACATAACATACCCCCCCCCCCCACCGCTCCTCGTCTCGCGGTTTGGAGAAGTCAAGGATTCAAATCGCCAACACTTTTATAGCCCACCTTGTAGTTATTTCTCGGTCTTCCTCTTTTGCCCGCTATTTTTCTTATTACTATGCTCTTTAAAAAATCGTCATGTCGTATAAGGTAGCCCAGCATTTGCCTCTTCTATTCTCTATTGTTTTTATTAATGTTCGTTTCTCATTTACCTTTTTCAATACTTCTTCATTCGTTAGTTTTTTGTCCAGCTTATCCTTTCCATTCTCCTCCATGTCCACATTTAGTACAGTACAAACAAAAAATTATATTTATTTATTTCTTGCTCATAAACCTTTAATAAATTTAATTTAATTTTATTTTTATATTTGCAAATAAATAAAAAATAAGTTAATTCTGTTTTGAACCAAACCTAAGTACTATTAAAACTAATTAGCAGCCGTAACTTAACTTACCATTACCACCGCCCCATTACTTTATTTTTGCAGTCGAGATAATATGTCCGTAATTCTGCTATTTTTTATTCTAATATTTATAATGATTCCTAGGACATTTTTATTTATTCTACCTACTTGTACAAGTATAATCTATAAAATGTTAAAATAATGAAATTGTAAATATGAGAGTAGACATGAGAGTTTGAACAATGTACACATAAATTATTTAACTATATTTTGTAATTAATAATAACAAATGTACTTAGTGGATTTGTTATTAAACGCCTTAGCGTATAAATTTAACTGAAATTGTTAGTGTGTGTACTTCTGCACGATGACGTACATATGAATTGCAGTCTTTTTTAGTATACATTAAAGGTGTGTGTACACGTTTTTAACCCTGCATTTGTTTCTTCGCGGGAATACCACACACGACGTTAATAAGGCTGTCTGTAATACTGATTGCCTAGTGTGAGTTCTACAAGGATTTACGTGTCCACTGTGTTCTCGTTTACGTCAATAAGTTTGCATTGAAAATTTAATTTCGCCTCTAGCGGATTCTTTTAGAAACTCAGATTTTCATACAAACTTATCGATGTATAGGTAAACACAGTCGTAATGTAAATCTTTATAGATAGAAGTCATACTTGGTACTGGTGTCATGTAAACTCTCATACATTAATGAAATGAAAATAAAATAGACAAAGTCTTTAGAATAGCATATTATATATGTTTACAATCTTCACTTCAAGTAAAAATGTAGTAGGTACATGCAATTATATTAAAATGCATTTCCTATTTAATATTAATATGGATAATTAGGTTGTATATTCGATTTATCTAGTCAGTGCAAGGTTTTTGTATCGCTTTAATAAATTGTTTGCAAAAACAAAGTGTTATTTGATTGATATTACATCTTTTTTAAATAATTTATTTTAGGGAAACTGACATAGTAACTCCTTATTTATAAAAAACTAAGACATTTTACAAACCTAATATAATATATTAATTATTGAAGTATTTTGTCACTTTCTCAATATGAGAAATTGGTAGAAAAGAAAAGGACAAAACACTTCAATAGCTTAATAATAGATTTATGAGAGGTTTGACCTTTTTATAAATAAATGATTATAGTTCAAATTTTAATAAATAGCCTCCATTAATTAAGAATTAAATTACTGCACGTAAGTACTCTTATTACATAAAATATTATGCTAAATAACCAGATGGCACAGCAGATGATGAAAAGCCGAAATAAAAAGCAGTAGCGGTGAAAAGCGGTAGCTGCTACAAAAATATACGCTGCCCTATCTACTAAGGGCAGTGCAGTACCCAACTCTGAATTGCACATTTTTATTACTATACGAATGGATTATACACTCAGGTCAAACTTGCAAATATTCTAGCTGGCGTTTTGTCATGGCCCACCATCCGAATTAACTTCTTCCACTTTTCTCGTTCTTTAACATACTTTGTGAAAATACCATTATTTTTCATATCTTGTCATCCACGTTATCAGTACCTATCTAGACAGTATAAGGATCCGAATTGCTACTATTGATATATTATTGATTGACTATTACAGGCCAAATACTTGGTCTGTTCATGTATGTACGAAGATAAAACCTTAGATTGTAAAGTACAGTATATACTAAGTCTATGGATAAAACAGAATTTAAATTATTGTTACTTTACTTACCTATCCCATTCAGAATCCTATGGATTTCATTCTTCGATTTAGTAGTTTAAAAGTAGACATAAGAAACAGATACGCATATACATATTTTCCGTAATACTAATGAATAGCGCTGCGCGACATACATTACACGCTGGTTTTGAAACCCCTTAACAAATGGTTTGGTGAACCCTATTACACTTGGTATCATTACTCGGAAATGCAATGAGTGCTTCTATACTACCGGACATGACTTTTTTTTAATAGATAAAAACCACTAACACCGCTTATGTACAGCTAGCCCGCCAACGATTCCAATTTCATCGACTACGGTCGACCTCTTTATGAGATGTTAGTAATGTGAACTACCAGTCCCATACGCTATCAGGTCGACCTCCACGTGACCCCCCCCCCCTGGAAACCAACAACCTGCTGATTTCCAAGTATGCATTACGATGAGCTAACTGACCTGCCTTTCAAGGGGATATAATGGATTGTTAAAAATGGGAATTAGTAGCCCCATTGTTAGCAATACACCCTGTCGACCTCCTCGCGGTCCCTTCTGCAACTGTCGTGTTCTTTTTTTTTCGTGGGGAAATGCTTCATGCAGACCCATAAGCCTCGGGAGGTTTACGGGTACTGCCAGACTCCTACCGGCTAAAACCACCACGGCATCCCTCGCCGCGCCATAGTGTTGGGGACCTGGGTTCCCTTTTGAAATCCACCGAGCCCCAACGGCGTTGGCCCGCACCGGCTTGCGAGCCCCGACTTACATATGGGACGGGCACCTGATGTTAAGTGCCCGTCCACTCTTCAAAGGAAAGCACGCGGGGATACCCGCGCAACTTCCCAGGGCCATTTTGTGTGGGGTGGGGCCGCCCCGCGGTCGTCACCCCAGCCCTTTGGCGATCGGGGGCTAGTCACCCTGATCGCCGGGATGGGACGGACCTTGGTCCGTGTCCATCTCTTCTCTCCCACGGCTTGTAGAGGGTGCCTGAGCGGCTGGCCGTTTCCTCTGTTTCCTCTTGGGCGGGGTGCAACACTTTGCCCCCACCCAATGATCCGCTGGTCGACCTGCAACCATGCACACCACGCAAACTGTCGTGTTCTATTTCAAGTGAATCCATCTCAATAGGCTAACTGACCTGCCTTTTCATTGCCACCTATCATCCCTCACTGGTGTCCCGCCAGCGTATACCGTTAGCACAGGCGGGGTTACCATTTCATTATTATTCATTAAAAACTGTTTATGAGACGTTACGAAAGGCAATTTTTTTTTTATAATTATGAATAAAGAGTAGATTTTTTTAATGTGTATTCTTCTTTTAAGCTTACAGTTTAAGTAAACAAATTAACTGAAGCAGAAAGCACTGTGCTTGCTGCTTCAGTTTGAAAATAGATTATTAATAGTTATTAGATAGATTTATGAAACTATAATTTGAAGGGTAGAATGTGAAATTGCAGAATATGGACTATGGAGGCATAACAATTTGGTCCTTAGTAATGGCAACGCATGAAATGTGGTAATGTTTATAAATAACAATTACCACTTTCCATCAAAATGCTAAGTGCGACTTTTTACACTTATTTGATCTCGAAATACATGTAGGTATATAAATAAAATATTAGTTATATAAAAAATATATATTTTCTTTATATCTATTGTATAATAATAATCATTTTATAAAAATAAACAATCACCCAACAACAATTAAGTACTTATACATTGCTAAGCAATAAAATACAAATAAACAATCTAGTATAAATACCGTTGGTTACAATTTAAAGCCCATAAAAATATGATTATATAATTAACAGGAATGTAGAATGTGCATAAAATATTAGTAAAATTAACAAATTATTGTAAAAACATAAATCTTAGAAAAGTCCAATGTACATATTCATAAACAAGTGTTAACCAAATGTTAGTTATAACTCATAAGTATTTACCTAAGTTAGTGAGATTTTAATGTTTACTACAACCTAAAACATTATTATAACACTGTTTTTTTTTCTGTTATTATGAAGGCTTACTATTATTAGTTAATATGATTACTCATAAAATAATCAAAACCTCAACCAAATGTTTTCAGTTACTGATTTTCATACTTAGAATATTTAGCAAAAGCTTTTAGTATTACATTAAAGTAAGTAATTACTTTCCAGTAGTTATAATAAATGATAATAGAGCACAATGATAATCATCAAAACAATTTTGTGTTGATTATATTGTAAATTGTCATTTCTTGCCTGTCTTGTTTAAAAAATATTAATCTTAACACAAAGACAACCAGATAGTTTACTAAATATGCCAAGTAAAAAAATAATACAATTATATAGTCCAATCTATAGAGCATAACTTAAAAAATACTTCAGATATAAAAAAAAATTCATTATACTTCATATCCAGTATATATCTCCATAGCACAGCAGTAAGCACATGACTTTGCATAATGAGTTCCCAGATGTGATTCTCAGTTGGGCTTATTCTAGAAAAAGACTTTTCTAAATTGGCTTGGGTCTGGGTGTTGTGGGTTGCAACCTTTAAATATTTATTGCCTGGTTATTATGAGTACATATATGTACACAGACTATCCAAGCACAAAGACGCAATAGGTGTGATTGTGTAGTGCTTATTATTATAATAAATTGTTTGAGTTTATATATTACATGAATAAATACATTTATAGTAGTTTCAGATGTAGAGGCATTGGCTAGTAGCTATTTATTATATATGAAGCTAACTTCATTTTTCATTTTAATCAATTTATAATATTAAGAATTTACACACATTAACTTTTTATATCCTCAGTAACAACATCAACAAATCTGTTTGTTTTTGTCTTAAATTTTTTTAAAGAGTTCAAATTTTAAAAATTTATGGAAGTTATAATACAGTACAGAAAGTAACAATTGATACTAAATAAGCTTAGGTGTGCAAGTGCTTAATATTAATAAATTAATAATTGGACACAGATCTACATTTTATCAAATTAAATATTGAAATAGATGTATATTTACGTTTATCACATATCAAGTAAAAATATTTGAGTATTTTCAAATTTATAACAAAGTGGCTACTTTCCTTTTCAAAATTTAACGTATTACATGTAGCTCAACAGTAGAATTTTTTGAGTTGATCATGGATAGTAACTTTTTTTCACTATCTTGAGATACTTCATGCCAGGCACATTTACTAATCAAAGGCACTTCTTCAAGTGGCGCTCGAAAAGCAACTAGTAAAGTGAGACAACAACCATCATATATTGGGTTTGCTTCTACATTGAGAAGTCCCAGTGGACGATGTTGGCCAACATCAGCTCCAAACATCTCAACCATGAATCTTCTTAATGTAGAATGTACACTTTTAGCTGGATTTATTTCACACATGGGAAAATGCAGTGATGTTTTTTCATTTAGTAATACATGTAATTTATTTGTACTTCTCTTTTTGATGACAATAACTAATCGCAACAGATCCTTTACATGAGGAATGGATGCAGGTAAGACATCACTGTGCCATGATCCACTTATACTGTTCTGTTTATATAACTGTGCCTTTTCAATAAGATGCAGTATATCATTTGATCTGAGAGATATTTCTTGAAGATTTGATATCCATTTTGCTTGTAGTGACTCTTTGTCTGCTTTAGCTGGAGTTTTTAATTCACCACCAACAATTTCTCCTGTTAAAACAAACCTGTACCACATGCCACCGGCCGTTTCTACTACTAACAAAGTTTTAGGTTCACATTCTAAACCAGTTTCTTCCAACACTTCCCTTGTAGTAGCTTGCACAATAGTCTCGTTTTTTTCCATGCGGCCTGCCGGCAAATACCACTTACCAGCACAACTTTCCTTGGCTTCTTGCATCATCAGCACTTCATTTCTGTCATTTAAAATAACACAAGCTACAACATAGGTAACATTGTTTCCAAGTATTGGTTTAAAATTTGAAGGTGTCGTGGGTGTTATACCTTGAGATTCAGCCACAGAATTTTGATCGGCTATAGTGAAATCACAAAAATCATTCTCTTCACCTTCTAGACCGTGCCCCTGTAGCAATAGAGCAATATTAAGATCTACTTGATGCGACATAGTTATCCACTTATTATTATACAGTTCTAAACGTTTATCTATGCAAATGTAATATATTTGTAATCAGCAAAGTGATAAGTTTAAATTGGTTTTGATTAATCATATTAAAAAAAAACACATTCCTAATTCTAAATTGAATTAAAAGTGAATTTTAATATTTTATGTTAACGTCAATACGTCAACATAAGTAGCTCGACAGCAAGTAATTATTATGTTAGAAGAGTTGGCATTGCCTTTAAATCCAAGAAACCTGGATAATGAAATGTATGTTACATTTACGAAGCAACAACATAGTTATGGTTAGGATATTTATTCTTCAAAAGAATACAAGTATTCACTTAAATGAGATTACAGCTAACTAAAAGTAATTATATTATTGTAACTGGGAGCTTTTGTTAAAAAATTTCTAATAAAAATTGGCGGTATATGCATTAAACAGAGAAACAACTGATTTATTACGTATCGTCAGTCGCATGAGTTTACAGCAGTTTACTGATAACGTGTCATTTATGTTTTATTTTTTGCTATTAAATCAAGATTAATAGTAATATACATGTTAACATTATGCTATGCTATAAAGCGTAGGTATAAATGCGTTTTGTATAAATTTCATTGAATGTTTTTTTATAACACAAGAGCAAACGAGTATGCGGCACACTTGATGATAAGTAACTACAACGGCCCATGATCACCCGCAACTGTGCTGCCGGCTTTTTTTAAAAGGAATATGCTCTTTCCTTGAAGGTTATTATGCCGTATCGATTTGAAAATACTGCTGCTAAAAGTTTATTTCAAAAAATAATTGTCCGTGGAAAAAAGTGCTTTGAAAAATGCATGATGGAGAACCGCCACTCATCTAGATAGTTGAGATAGGTATCAATTCGAACATTTCCTCAGAGCACTCCCCATGATATATTCGGCAGAAAATGCACAGACATGCAACCTCTCTACGAAGTTTTATGGGTGGAGTCGAACAATAAGGTGCTGCTCGTCAATAATTTGAGTCGCCTGACTTTGAATGCGGTCTAACGGGAGAAGCTGGTACTGTAGCGCTCCTGCCCATAGCTGAGAACAGTATTCCATATGTGATCTGACTTGAGTTTTATACTATTTCAAGCGGTGTTCCGGCGTGAAATACCGTCTTACTCTGTTGAGCACTCCTAACTTTTTGGAGGCCATCTTAACCTTTTCCTTTAAATGATATCGCGACGTTCAGTTTTGTCGCGGATATATCAACGCCAAGGACCCCTAGACTTGATTTATCCTAGACTTGATTTATTATCAAAGGAAGAAATAAGATAGATAAATAATATTTTTATTTAAACCATTTATGACACAGGTAAATTTACAAATGAGTTTATACAATCAAATTACTTATACTTTTTTAAATAAAAAACAAAAGATAAAATACGAAATATGGTTTCAGTCTCAAAAAAAATTGAGATGCGAGAACTTTAAGAACTTTACGATAATGTATTTATCAAATAAACAATGATGTCTTTTTTATACTATACGAGTATAATAATATAATTTGGTATACCATTCACCGACAAAAAGAAGCTATTTCATCGCATGGTCTCACTTTTAGGGCACTTCCTAAACCACCTTCCAAAAAACCTAGCTTGCTTTTTGACAGTAATTTGCGTTTTGAAAACCATGTGTTGGGTTTGGTTCTGAATTGCTTTTATCGACTTAAAATATTATACAAGATAAGAAATTTGTTGACAGAAAAATCACGAAATATACTCTGTGAATCTCTTATATTATCTAGATTAAATTATAGTGATCTGGTCTACGGGCCTCGTCACCTTTCTTCATCTCATCGAATGATACAAAGGATTCAGAATGCGTGCTGTCGCTTTTGCTTTGTTGTTTCTCCTCGTAGTCACATTACATTATATTTGAATGAAGTATCTTTATTAAACATGGACTCACGTAGACGATTATACCTTGTTGTATTTATGTTTGATCTTCTGAAATTTATATCCCCCGAATACACAAACCTCAAATTTTCGACTTTCAGTAATTATTATGGATGTAATGTGTTTCGATTAACACGGCCCCCATTGGCGGTTCATATCCATAGGACAGTCGCTTTTACTGGATGTTTTCACCACCAGGTGACTAAATGCTGGAATAACATACCCCTTCCAATGAGACTAGCTGTATCCAAATCAATTTTTAAAAAGTTATTAAAACAGCATTTATTAAATAAGCAAAAACTTGGGTTGGTCGCCTAGTAGCAACTGCTTTCAACATAATAATTATTGTGGTGAATTATTTATATTGTATGTTTAATTAATTAATGAAATATTTTATTTATGCATTATTTATGTAAGTATGTATCTATATAATACAGTTTTATTATTGGCTGTTAAATTGGTTACACAGGTTACACTCTGGGTTTGTTGTACGCGTCCGTGTAGCCTAACTTCAGGCTGTAGTTGAAAATCAGTGTTTTGCTTTTAAGCAAAACTATCACTGAGCTGTAGCCTATTTGGATCACTGCAACACACATGACGAATCCATATTTTCGTATTTTATCTTTTGTTTTATATTTTAAACACTTTTTTAATTTGTTTGTATAAATTCATTTGTCATTCACGTGTCATAAATGGCTTAAATAAAAAGTTTATTTATCTATCTATCTATAAGAGAAACAGTCATATTCGTAGGTATAATATTATTACAATTCCATGTAATTATAATTAAAATCATTTTTAATTTAAAAGGTGACATTTTTACGGAAAACCGCATACTAAAAATATAATTATTCAAATATCAATTAATAATAGTATTAAGTATCTACTATTTATCTTCATGTACTATATCATCACTACATAGTATAAAACAAAGTCGCTGTCGCTGTCTGTCCGTCTCTATGTATGCTTAAATCTTTAAAACTACGCAATGGATTCTGAAGAATTCTTTTTTTAATATATATAGTACAGTATATATTACAGTATATAGTACTACAGTATTGTACACCTTAAAAAGGTCAACAAAAAAGTCCGTGATGGTATATGTCTATCTTTTAAGAATAACTAACAATAACCATTTTTTATCCTTTATATTTTACGGGGGGAAAATGGCTTATTTACGAAGTAATTTTAAGCAATACAGCATTATTTTAATCCAATTAAGTACCTTAAATACATTGTCAATTTAATATAGATCAATATAGCCCCTTACAGCATGTAATTTAATATTTCCGAAGATTTAAAATGAAGAGACATAGCGATGCGGCGGTACTGTATTGCTCCCGAGCGCAGCCGGGGCGCGTCGCTAGTTACTTATAATACAATTTTAGTTCATATCAATAAATAGTAGGAACGGCATCATATAATACATGCAAACATTTATACTTCATTGTAGTAATTTTATTGTATATTACTACGTAATTTATGAAAACGGATATTAGTTACTTTAATATTTAAAAAAATATGTAATAACAAGTGTAAAAAAATCTGAAGTGGCGTCATAACTCTCAACGTCATGGCGCCTATTCAAGATGACCATGATTCACCATAATGAAATACGATTTCTTAATATTAGCTGGGATGGTAATATAGTTTCATAGAAAAGTATCATTATTTCAACTGACACAGGCCATCCACTTCTTTGTTCTTAGATTTACATTAGTGATGCGCGATTTTACTAATCCGATTACTAATTATTTGAATGAGCAAATCAATCGGACTATTTGGATAATTATCAGGACTTTCGACTATTAATTACAAATTTTATCCGACTACTAATATTATTCATTAGTAGTTGTTGATGTACGAGTCGACACGAACATAGCCGAGTCGACCTGATCGTTGGTTTATTTATTATTATTTTTTATATTTATATTGTTATTATTATTAATAAATAAGAGTGTTGGCGATATAAATTCAGTAATGTAAATATACAAAAATTTTACATACACATTTTTTATACACTAGCCGGCTATGAAATGAGAAAAATAGCAATTGATGGTGTATCTTTCGTCCTTTTTTACTAATTATATTTGCATAAGAAGAAAGGAGGCAACCATATGAATTAGTTTTGATTTTATTATTTCTTCTATGTAATTTCTTATTCTTAATTCTTATCATATTAAAAAACAAATGTCAATGTCAAATGCTTATGTGTCACACACTAAAAAAAAATCGATTATGACAATAATTGAAGCGACATTAGAAAAATAAAATTCCAGACAAATTATCTTTTTGAAGACTAGGCAGCATGGTCTCCGACCTTAGCCTGTTCCAAACGGAACAAACGTACTAAAAAAAAAAAAAATAAAAAAAAATCTGCTGTAGTTATCTGTTCACTTCAACCTTCAATTTTGTATCGCCCTTGTGTATTTGGGGTATTTGGTCCTTTCATCAATAATTCTCATAAATTATCATGTCGATCTTCAAAACGAATATGATGGTAAGTAAAATTACCAATGTAGGTACTTGACTTTTTTCTTGTGTAATTTAAATTGACTTATTACGTAACAATTGCAGATACGTTCGCTGAGCACCTCTGCTACTGCTGCTCAACTTGTCAAACCTCCCGTACAAGTATTTGGTTTAGAAGGTAGATATGCATCAGCTCTATATTCAGCAGCTTCAAAAAGTAAAACATTAGACGTTGTTGAAAAGGAATTGTCCCAATTTCAGCAAAACATTAAAAGTGATGCTATACTCAAAGAATTTATCATCAATCCGACCTTGAAGAGGAACTTAAAAGCTGATGCTTTAAAAGCCGTTGCTACTAAGGTAAAATAATACACATATATCTATATTACAGGTGCTATAAATAGTTCTCATAATAAATGACTACAATCTTCGAAAACTATTTTAATTATTAATAATTTTAATTTACAAGGACAAGAAACGTTTTAATAGATATCAAAATATATTATTCTAACTTTTGTTACCTATTAAAACTTTGAAATATGCACATAGATTTAGTCTAAGAAGTGTAAATTTATATTTGTATGCAGTTCAAAATAGAATTCTTTTACCTGTGGCTTTGCATAACCAGAATATATTAATGAATCTGGATAAAAAATAACTTAGTCTTCTCCATCTCAAATACTTGACAATTAGTTAATGTGTTACGATAGCCCCAAGAGGTCATATAATAATATAAGTAAAGATTTTTATATAATGATTTATATTATATAGGCATTAAACTTACTATAATTCTTTTAGACCAATTTATCACCCACAACAAGCAACCTGCTTGGTCTTCTTGCTGAGAATGGCCGCTTGGACAAATTGGAATCTGTAATAAATGCTTTTAAGATTATGATGGCTGCACACCGTGGAGAAGTTACCTGTGAAGTAGTCACTGCCAAGCCTTTAGATCAAGCTCAACGACAGAACTTGGAAGCTGCTTTAAAAGTAAATTTAATATTTTTTAAACTTAATACTATATTCTTAAGACATATATTTGATTAACAACAACACTGTATAATTCTGGACCATATAATTTTTGTAGACAGAAAGATATTGTTAATATATGTCAGGGAATTTAACAATTATAATTTTTGTTACAAAATCTTTTTGTTCTTAAAGAATTTTGAATCATACACTTGGTCTTCTATTCTTCATGCCTAACATGTTTCAAATATTTATGAATGTCATTGTGTGGTTGACTAAATGAAATCTTTTTCAGAATTAAGCTCACTTTTGGTCAAAATATGTATAACTACTGTTTTAATTTTTAAGTGTGACAAAATTTTTGTTTTTGTCAATGTTTGTTATACATCGCAAATGTAGGGGAAGAAGGGATTGTTATTAATGGAGATTAGTAGCCCCATTACTAGCAATACACCCTATCAAGCCGACCTCCATGCGGTTCCCCCAAACCATCATTTTTAATTCTGGTGTAAATCGTCATGATGGGCTAATTAACCTGCTTTATCATCACCTATCATCTCTCACTTGTACCCCACCAGCATATACCAATAATGCAGGTGGGGCTATTATTCCATTAACACCCATTAAAAAAAAACAGATCACAGATGTATCTTTATCTCATCATCTTTACAACTTTCAAATAATATTATCCTACTAATATTATGTGAAAGTTTGTAAAGATGTTACTCATGTTCATATGGCTTGTTTAGCCATATGAGTATGAGTAACATCTTTACAATTCAATTTGAATGTTTGGTGCACAGGTAGGTTAACTCTATGGGCAAATGATAAAAATACTAATAATGAAGAGGTATCTTAACACATCAAAATTATCATTAAGAACAACTAGTTATATATAAACTAGCTTTACCTATAATTGTCTATATGTACTTAGAATAAAAGTAGACTGTATTTTTTCCATGCAAAAAAGCTTATTTTTATATGTTTAAGGATTTAGGTTTCATAACTTTTTTGATTGAAGTATGGCAAGTTACAATTAACTGTCAATTTTAAAATTTAACATATTTAAATTTTTCTTACTTATTTTTTAAAAAGTACTATGCTAGGAAGCTAATATGTTAATAATTGTAATATATTGACAGAATCTTTGAAATATATTTTTGCTATCAAAATTCAAATTGTCAATGACAGCCTAATAATATATTATTGCATGATTAATGTTTTAATTTGCTAGCAGAGCACTTTTTAAATAATTAATCAGAAACATTGGAATATATTCAACTGTCTTTGAAACTTGACTGATAATTACGATGTTGCCATGCTTCATTATCAAATATTCAAATCTGTTCTCAATATTCTTTTTCAGAAATTCCTCAAAGGCAATGAGACTCTACAGTTGACAGCCAAAGTGGATCCTGCCCTGATCGGAGGCATGGTTGTATCTATTGATGACAAATATGTAGACATGAGTGTTGCCAGTAAAGTGAAGAAATACACTGAACTCATCAGTGCCACTGTTTAAATAGCATATTTATTCATCAAATATTTAGTAAAAGTAATTACATATATTAATTTAATTTGGGCATTTTTGTTTAATTTCTTTTGGTTAGTTCAAGCTGTAGGTATTGAACTATTGTAAACCAATAAAAAATACTAAAACTAACAATCTATAGTATTCTATTTTACATGTAAGATAATATTGCTAATAATTAACCTTGGTGGTAAATTACTATTATTTACAATATATGACACACCTGAAATGACATGCTCAAATGCTTTAAGGTTTTTTTTATACCACTGAGGTGGCAAACAAGCATACGGCCCACCTGATGGTAAGTGGTTACCGTAGCCTATGAACGCCTGCAATACCAGAGGTATTCCGCGCCGACCCTGAAGAAACCTCTTTACCCCCCTTTTGAAGAACCCCATGCTGTAGTCTCTTGGGAAAACCTCGGCAGGGAGCTCATTCCATAACCTGAGTGTTCGTGGGAGAAAACATCTCTGAAACCACATTGTACGCAACCATTTAGGCTGTAAGGTATGAGGGTGCTAACATAATGCTTTTTTTTTCTATTCATGGAAAAAGAAACCCCAAATCAAGGATAATGTAATATGTCCAAGTAATCAAGATTACAACAAGAACAATGATATTATAACAGTTATTATTTTTTCTATTTATGCATATATATGTATAACATACACTGCACTAGATGCAATTTTTGACTTGACTACCAAAATACTTTATTCCTCATCTAAATTATAGTTTTGAAACATGAATTTGAGAAAAAAAAAAACATGGGTTTTTTTAATTAAATTCAAGTCTTTAATATTTTTAAATTCTCCTTTAGGAAGCAATTCTTGTACCATTTTGGGTATTAATTAAAAAATATATTCATGTACATCTTGTATATAGGTGTGAATATTAAATAAACTAATATTATTTATTTTTCTATATTTAGACCACAATTTTACATACATCCCTAGTTATAGGTATACAAAAAATATGTCAATTGATAATTTTCTAATTATGTGCTGATATATATTACTATTGCCAACAATAAATATTATTGATCCTACACATTGAAAGACATGATAGCATTTAAAATACTAAAGTACTGCACAACATAATTGAATTCAGTATCATGGTGCTAATAAATAATATTAACATATGATATTAGCATAACTTTTGTTATATTATGATAAAAATAGTTTAACTAGATAAACTTTTAAATTTAGTTTATATAATGAGGTAGGATTCTTTCAGATGTTTTAAAAAATGGGATATTTCAAAATTTTATATTGAACCAAGCACTTTTTGTTTGAACATACATTGACAAATGCCTTCTTAACATATTCTTGTGCAACTGTTGACTCAGATATAACTTTTCTATAGTTACATTTCCATAATTATAAATTTTACAACCTGTAAACCATCAGATATACATATCCAATAGATGCTCATTTGTAGTGCTGCTCTTTGTTATATTACAATAATAATGATATTTTTATAGTGCTATTTTATAGGTTCAAAGCCCACTTAATAGTGTCATTTGGTCTTCCAGATTTTCATCTAAATAAATTATAAGAGTTGTATGCAAAAAACTGATGATATAGTTTTTTTTTTTTTATTTTTTTAATAGAACTTTATTTAACATATTAATATAGAGGATTTCACTTACTTTGCTAGCAAAAAATTCTCCAGTCCTGACTCATTAAAAGACTAATCTTTATTTAATACATATAGAGATCTATAATTACCTGATTACACCTATGCTACATATTTATTAATATCAATCCATAAAAATAATACTAATGGAAAAATAATATCAATAAATATACACAATAATTAAAGTTATTAATTTGATAATGTCTATACTGTAATAAACATAGGAAACTTAACATGTGCCCTCTGCACTTTGAAATTAAAAAGGCAAGTACTCTTAAATTAAAAATAATACTCTCAATCACAACACTGTTATATTTTTTAAATTCAACAAGATAATTTTAATGAATATTATAAAATAATGAGATCATTAATTGAACATTTATATTAACTATATTAGATTATTCTTCAGTAGGGGCAGCATCACCTTTAAGAAGAGCATTCTCTGCTTCCAATTCTGCTATACGGGCTCTTGCTGCCTCGAGCTCATCATCTCCTCCATCAGTACCTAAATGCTTACGTACATATTCCAAGGCATCTTCTGGTTTATCGGGCTCTTCATAAAGACTAACCAATACTTTCGTCAAAGCATCCATTACACCGGCTCTTTCTAAATATCGCCGAAATTCTTCTCTTTTAGAATCGATTGGCTGGAAAATATTAATTATTATAAATAGTTGTTATTCTAATATTTAACAAAATCTGTATCTACCTAACGTAAATAACAAAGCGCACTAGAATACTGTTATTTGTGGATACCTTATATGAAGACATATTTCTTTTTGTACTTTATACCGTAGTATTAATAGGGAAAATGAGAATTAAGAATAGTTCAATGTATAAGTCTCTAATAGAAATTACAATTGAAAGAAATCAAAGAAAACAAGATAGATACGACTGTCATCCGTAATTTTTATTCACAATCGCTACTTTCTTTATCTATGAACGTCAAGAATAAACGCAAAAATTCTTAGTGTCAATGATAGCCCAACCCACACAAAAAAAAAAAACATGTACAATAGCATCATAGTCATAGCACAGAAGTACGTAGAACATTATAATAAGTCTATATCACAGACAACATAAACTTAAATTATACCTAAAAATTATATAAATAGAGCGTACATTTAGGACTGGATTCTTAAAGTTAGGTTAAATTTTTGTCAAAATGAAACTAAGAAGAAGGAATTACATAGGAGTGATAAAATTGAGAATTCATAGTAGCCGTATAAGCCGTATAACCTTACCAAATTCAGATACAACCTGCTTGAATACTTTCTACATAAACTATGCCGAATATTTATTGTCAAATATTTGACATATCAAACATTTTCTTTACACTAGTCTGCTATGAATTAAGAAAAATAGCAACTGAGGGTGTATTTTTCGTCCTCTTTTTATTAATTATATTTTTATAAGAAGAAAGGAGGCAACCATATGATTTACAGTTTTTATTTTACATTCCTTTTGCAAACCATATTGACCACCTATCAACCTGAATTTTTTATTGGGCCTATTTATATTATTATATAATTCATTCATTTGTTCAATATTATTTATAAATTAATAAATATTATGAATTTTACGAATTAAACACTAAACAATGACAATAAGAGATCAAACTAAAATAAAACTGTAAGGAGCACGTGCTCTGCTCGATGTCTTAGCGGATTTAATAATAATGAAGTATAAAGATAAAACTATTCCACAAATAATTCAGATGGCAGCCATTTGCTTCGCATTTGACAGTATTGATGTTAATTGTGCCAACTTATGGCACTATTGTTGTTATATCTTTCACTAAACGTTGATATGATGTTTTTTGACCAAATCCATACATTGAAAACTAGTAGAAATGTTACACAAGACTGTTTATCAGCTAATTGTTAAATTAGTTTTTCTTTAAACAATGTTCTATATACTTACGCATACATTTTATCTATATTTAATATAGGAGTTTTTACGCACCAGAAAGGAACAAAAATTATAAGACAAAATACAGAACTCATAAAGGAATTACTTATAACCGATAAATATCTTAAATTTAAAGCATACATATAATTATTCACATTTTTAGTTTTGCAAGAATACAAAAAAATTCCCCACAAGTGAATTAAAATTCCCGAAATGATGATTATTATTTGACCGACTACTTTCAAAATCGTTATCCAAGGATTTATATGGATTTTCAGATAACGATTTTAATGTTTCAAATATGGATTCTATGTCAGAATTAATCAAAATGGCTGCAATTTTTATCTAAGACGATGGAAGTATTTATTTTTAGCATTAAGAAATTAAACTTAAAATAAAATATACATAAATATGTTTTACATTTAGTCAACTTAAATAGAATTAATTAACTCATATTTAACATTCCTATATTAAGGTATTTTCAAAAACTCGCATAAAATTAAATTGATTCCACTTCGATTAATTCTAACATCAATACACGTTTTAAATCTACAAAGATTCTAAGATATTCGTATGTAAAGAAATCAGTTAAGTAAAAAGTATTTAAAACGGCCGTTACTTTTACTGATATTATTCGTGCATATTTATAGTATTTTTTTATTATTTCAGCCGTTAACTGTAAATTGCTAAACATAAGCCTTCCCCATAAGGGGAGTTTTGTCAGTAGTTGCTACGCTTAGCAGGCAGGTTGGCAACCGCAGTTAGGTTTATAGATATATTGTAAGAAGGACACTGTTGCCCATCCTCGCTCTCCTTAGTCGCCTCTTATGACACCCACGGGAAAGAGGTGGTACATTCTATGCTGGGGCACACATGGCGAATATTTATAGTATATTCGCCATGTGTGGATCACAAATACTGTATTTCAGCTAAGCTTCAAAATTTTACTACTTTTTAAAGCAATATAAAAAGATTATTAAGTTCTATCTATCGCATTTTTATTCGTTATCTAAGCATTATTCTTAATAAATAAGTAATATAATTAAATATATAAATAAAGTTAAATATTATAAAGGGTAATTCAATACTAATAATATTTTAAGTTACGACCTTTACCTATTTACCTTAATCTAAAAAAATATTTTCTAATCTGGTAACACTGTCGCGTTATATCACTTGTATGAAAAATTTTACATGCTTTTTTTAAAAGCATTTGTATGGAGACACTCAGATTTATATCATAGGCGTAGAATACCGACGGATATATATATTTGTCAGATCCGTGAATATTCTACGACTATGACAATATAATCTAAGGTATACTATTTATTATGTCAAGGAATACTGGACCAAAATAAAAAAATTACGTTATTCTCACTCTTTGCCTTAGGTTAAAATGATTTTACGTAGGCTGTGTACTAAGCTGAATAAGTTAATATAGTTTTTAATTATCTCACGGGAAGTCTTTAATTTTCCGTGATTAAAAGTATCTAAAATGTTGCCCGGGGATGTAATGCAATATTTCATTTAAATAGGTGCAACAGTTTCGGAGATTAGCTTGTAAAAAGAAGCAGAAATAATTTTTTTTAAAAAATGTGCATGTGTTCTATTTCATTTCTAACATCCCCTTGAATCGGATTTTAGCGCCTTTTTTATGTAGAGACATTACACTTCTACAGTTTTATTATATGTTATATGAAACAGGTTGATAAATTAAAATGCTTAATATTACAGCTCTCTTTTATCACGTCTTCATCGGTAGGAAAACAAATACGCCACATATGTATAGATATTGAAAAGAAATGTAGTTGAGCGCTGTTTGTTATGTATATTACAAATTGTAGACTTTTTTGTTCTTCTTTTTAAGAGTATATCATCTACTGCTATCACATATTCAACAAACCATGCCGGCGTTCGTAAACAACTGCAATTTCAAAGTGTCCTCTTCACTTCTGTTTGAACTTCTTTGTCTTTACATCTTGTTTCAGTTTGGTTTTAAAAGGTCTTACTTCTATCATTTCGACATTTGTTCCATTTTTTGTACCAAAATCATTGTTAATCAGTTCGTAATGGCTGTCGGTTTCATTTGGGTCAATGTTAGTTTTTAATTCAGTTGTTTCTGTGTATCTTTTATTTTTTCAATATTATCGAAGAGTACATCTAACCTGTTGCATTTATCTATATATTTACTTGAATTTAAATTTTGTTTATAGAAAAATCTAGCAATTAATTCAACCTTTTGCAAATTTTTTTTTGTAGCTTTCCTAATTTTAGAAACAAACAAGCCTGGATTGCTTTTCTCGCATTTTTTTTCCCGTTTTATTTTTTTTTTGGAAATCAATGTGTTCACACATTGATTCCGAATACATTAACATGATTTGAAAGGCGTTTTCTTTGGACTCATTTTTCAAACAGTGTTAAGTTCACAATACTTTTATTGATACTTCTATTGGATATTAATTCCATTTCAAATTATTAAGTCTTTGTCTTTAGACACGGAAAACACCGATAACAAACTAAATTAGAGCAACGGCGATAAGGCCAGCGCTACCATGTTGGATTTTAATACGCTTTGCGAAACGTGGGTATATGGAATGATAAGCATTTTGTTATTTAAATGTAAAAGAACAAATAATAGTAATTAATATTTATTACTTTTAGCCACATATTCTAAACTTGTAATAATAAATGTATTTTAAAAGTGAATACATATCACTATTTTAAAATCAAGTATGAGCAGTTTTTAAAATTTGATAGCAGCAAATGCTTACAAAACTATGTTATATAAATTAAACAATTATTAACTGAAATAGCGTTTTAGCTAAATAGTGATATAGGGTGATAAAGAAAATAATGTATAATTAGTAATTAAGGTTACATTAGGATTCCTCATCATCACTCCCAGCAGGTTGTTTTGGTTTTGGTCCACCTGCTCTCTTCGCCATGATAATTTGATCCACTTTGAGGATGGTTGTGGCTGCACCAACTGCATATTTTAAGCCCCAGTCTTTGAGAACATACAAGTCCAAAATACCTTTTCCTTTAGCATCACAAACACCATTGGTTTCAGATTCTATATCAAAACCAGTAAATTTATTGCCCTCCTGAAAACACAATTTTCACATTTTAAGTAATTATTTACACAATGCTATCCAAATATTGATAAAGATTACTAAGAGTATCTATTTACTATTTAATGAAATAGAAAACATTTGGATCTGTTTTAAAGTGTCATTCTTTGTTTCTAAACTAAAACTTCTGTATGTATGTTTGTATGTATGTTCCGGCATTACACAAATATTATGGCACCAAATTGGATTTGATTTTCAGTTATTTTCTTGAAGTACTAACATAAAATTTGGTGCATGTTTTATTTTTATACACCATCTAAAACTTTATTGGTGTTTCTATTTTTGAAACTATGTGTATGAAGTAGCAGGCAAAAAAAACTTTACTGTAAAAATAGATCTTGGTGATTAATAAAATAAAATACTTTCACTAACCTATAAAGTTAAAATTTTAATTTTAGACATTGGCTTAAATAGCGACACCAAGTTCCAATTGAGCTATTTTATCATTTGGGATAAAATTCTATCAAGCAATACATACAATGAATTTATAATATTAAGAAAATTTATCCAAGTTGGTCCTAGATTAGGCCTCAAGTAGGGTCCTCACAGTGTAAAATTTAGCAACTTTCTCTATCTCTATTTGACGTTATAATGTAAGACTTGTCATGTTACCAGTTATGTTATAATATAAATCAATATAAGCTAAATTTAAGAAAGAAAGTCAGAACTATTTTACATTATACATTTAGTTTTGTTTTTTTCATATAACTAGGTTTGGCAAACAAACATAGTGCCCACTTGATAGAACATTAATAGCATAGACAGACAATGCCTAACTGTAGTGGAAGGATCTTAAATGTTCAAATTCATAATATTTATATTATTTAAAAATAATTGATTCAGGTTTCTGCATGGAAAATTGTTAGCCACATTAAGGCACCTAGAATGTAATGAAGGTAGCCTAGACATTCTTGATACCCACATATTTGTATTATCATCATGAATGTCAGAGACTAGATGAGTGAAACATAATGGGGGTGTCAGCAAAAACTTGCAGCAGAAAGATAAGAAGTGTTTGGTTTTATTATTATTAGTATACACTTTATTCTTACTGTATGTGCTTTGTAGATATTGTTCACCACTTCAGTAGCATTAGCTCCTGAGTTGTCTGCTAATGCACGTGGAATACTCTCTAGAGCAATTGCGAACTTTCGAACGGCATACTGTTCAAGACCCGGAAGTGTATCGGCATATTTAAGCAGTTGTTGGGCCAATTCAATCTCAGTGGCACCAGCGCCTGCTACAAATCTGAAAAAAAAAAAAAAACAAATATAATAAAATCATTAAGAACCATGCTAACACAAATGACCATACATTGATTATAAAATATATTTAAACAAATTTTAACTAATTGTATTTAGTTCTATTGTTTTTATTATAAAATGTTATTATAAATTAAACAAATAGTGGAATTAATTCAAAATCTATCAAGAGGTCACAACAGTGAATTAAAGCTCTGATCCTTAGTTTAATTTATAATCTTATAAATACAAAAATTTGGGAGAATGGATGGATTGATGGATGTTTGTTACTCTTTCACGTGAAAACTTAGATTACTTTATGAGCTACTTCAAGCGGATAAAATTCGGGGGAAAAAGATAGTATAAAATATACTGTTTTATAAATCTAAATCATTAGTACACATACCGCCCATCCCTTGCTATGCCTTTGAAAGTATTGACTCCATCATCAATAGCCCTTTCAATGTCATCCATATAGTTATCTGTAGATCCTCGAATTACAATTGTTGATATACGAGACTCTGAAGTTTCCATACGGAAAACTACTACACGTGTATCTCCAACCTCCTCAACTTTAATAGTGTCACAATAGCCTTGCTCTTCAGCAGTTGGAGTAGTGAGTCGAGGTAGTACCTGAAAATATTATATAGTAACTAATATTAACAATCTTAATATATACAAACAAATGTTTGCCTATGGAAACCTAAAGGAAAACAAAGTTATAAAGTAAAATCTACATACTCTACTGTCACACTATAGAAAGCTAGAAACATATGTATCTTCAGTTTTCATTAGGTGGGCCGTCAGCTTGTTTGCCATTCTAAGTTGTATAAAAAAAAGCTTACACCATATAACCTAGAGTTTAGAAAAGTTAGTTAGGCAAGATATAGGTTCCACAACTATTCTTAATAGATGAAAATTTAAGCACAAATACAAGGTATTACCATAATTAATAAAGAAACATTTAAACTTAATTATATTCAACTAAAGATAATGGCCAAATTATAAGAATTATTTAGCTAGGTAATTTATAAGGTTTAAACAAAAAGTGTAATTAGAAAAATAAATTTCCTGAAAAGTGGATTTTTCATATAAATTAAATATATGAGATTATTGTATATGTATTGAACTAAAAGACTTCATAGTTTGTATTATTATTACTTTTATTTATTGTTTGCCATTCTAAGCTGCATAAAAAATATTTTATAATGCAAAAAAATACTCACTGTAGCATTTACAGTCTTAGCTAAGCGCCGAAGTTCGAATTTAGAGGTAAGACGAACAGCCATTATGTTATATTTGTTCAGAAAATGTAATGCCATATCACCAAACTTTGCACCAGCAACTATGACTTTAACTCCAGTATCAGCAATATCTTTTATTTGCTTTTCAAGAAGTGATTCTTCACCTCTACTGAAGTTGAGAAGTTCATCAGCCGTTTTGATTAGTACCGTTCCTTTTGTCTCTGTTTGGTTGATATCTACAGGACATGAGTATATTGCGACTTTGGCTTTACTGACAGATGAGATGTCACCTTCTACTTCACGCTTAAACACCATTCCAGTTAGTACTTCTGATTGGAAAAGTCCAGCTCCAAGTATCTATAAATATGTAAAATGGTAATTAAATTCCATACATTGCAGCATTATGGTAATAGTAATATGTATATAGCCAGTATCTATTGTTTAAAAAAAATGTGTATAAATTTTTGGAATCAAAATCAATAATTATAATTTATTAATTGTGTTGTTTTTCCCCTATATTGTATAAAGCAAATAAAGTATACTTATTCATTCATTCAAATAATTGTAACTTTTTTATTATCAAATAGCAAATTTATAAATTACAATTTAATAATACCTACTTTTTTATGTTAGCCATATTGTATGAAGTATACCTGGCTGAAATCAAAGACTTTATAATTTTCTGAAGGGAGTGTCACCAGCAAAAAAGAACATTTTCACCAACGAAACATGGGTTGAAAAATGACAAAAAATTTTGGGTCTTCATACTAACACGGCACATTAAGCAGTTAAAATAGGAAACTCATAATTCTTTCATGTTACTGGATTTTAGAGTTACAAAATCTATATTCTTATATAATCTGTACTATGCCTAGATTAATCTTCTAGATTAGAAGATTAATCTATTATTAGATCTATTATTAGGATAGAATTTCACTTATGGTAAGTGTGATTATTTTTTATTAAATATAGTAATGTTTCCATACCTTACAAACTCTGACATTATCAACATTAAATGTAGTTTTCTCTGGAAGAATAGCAATACAAGCTTTGGCAACAAGTTCAGCAATGAAATCTTCACATCCATACTGCTTGGACATAATTGATGGTTTGATACCCTTGGATACAGCTGAAATATTTTTGTAGTCCTTAATTTCTTCACATAGTAGTCCAGGCAATATTTCCAGACATTTATCAAGGGCTCTTTCATATCCTTCGGCTATTTCACTTGTAGTTACACCTAAACGTAATAGCTCTTCAGCAGCTTCTAAAAGAGCTCCAGATAATACAATTACAAAGTTTGTTCCATCACCAACTTCGGCATCTTGCATTTGACTAGCCAGTACCATTAATTTGGCAGCAGGATGCTCAACGTCTAGTTCCCTAATAATAGTGCCAGCATCACTGGTGACAAACTGCTTATCAATGTGGTTAATAATCATTTTGTTCATGCCATTGGGACCATATGCAGAACGAACACTTTGTGCAAACTGTTTGCAAGCATTTATGTTTCGATAAACAGCTTCCTCTAAACCAGAGAACATCTGTGAATTAAAAAATGTGAATAGATATTTTTTTGATCAATCACAAATTAAATAATTGAATACTATCACAAATACTGCAATAATGGGGGGAAAGGGATTGTTAGTAATAGAGGCTGAGAATTTCATTGCTAGCAATATGCTATTGCTAACCAGGTCGACCTCCTCGCGGTTCTCCCTGGAAACTATCATGGTTAATTCCTGATGAATTCATCATGATGGGCTAACTGGCCTGTTTTCATTCTCATCTATCACCCTTCACTGGTGCTCCATCAGCGTATCCCGTTAGCGCAGGCGGGGTTACCACACCATTTTCACCCATCAAAAAAAAATACTGCAATAATTAATTTTGTTCTAGAATTATCTCTAAATGTTAAATACAACCTACAAACGCATTATTCATATTGAATAAAATTAACTTAAGAGAAACATTTCGTTAAAAAAGGATAATTTATCTAATTAGAATAAATTTTTAAATATAATATTTAATAAAGAAACAATTTAAAAAGAAATTATATTAAAAATATAATCATATTGGACATGACCATGCCGGATTAATAGATAATATTTCTGAATTACAAACTTACTCGTGCTCCATCTTTCAGCATCTGGGGTACTCCTGGAGCTTTTGGAACATGTAATGCCATTTTTATATATTAATGAAATCACGCAATAAAATTAAGAAACAGAAAAGTAAATTATGTGGATCGAAACAATTCTGTGAATTATGATTATGACTATATTGCATGTTATATTGCGTCTACAACGTCACTTTGAATAAAACTAACGTTGTCTAAAATCTATGCTATTTTTTATGCAACATTTAGAAATAGTTTTCTATCACAGCAAATTATATATAATTAGACAATTAAATAATATATTATTACTAATAGATACGAATATTTCAAACAGTGGATTTGAAGCTGTTTTTACAAAACTGTGTAGTCATTTTAATTTTTTGTGTATTGGTTCTAGTTGGTCACATACTTAAATTTTTTAAGTTTCATAAATACAAGAATGATGTCGGCATACTATATACATACATAACTAGCATTTTTTTTAATTTAAGAATGAGGCTAGTGTTGCCTATTATGTCACTAACGAACAAGAAATAAGAAGCTATTTTAAAAACGAGAAAGTTTTATAACAAAAAATCAAAGATGACTAATAATGAAAATTATCAATGTATAAAAAAAGAGGTATATAAAAACGTATACGCCTTTTAAACAGTCCGCTGAAGTAAATTATTCAAGTTACATGTCTAAGACAATTTGAAAATAGTTGTTGAAATGACGTTTTCTATGAAACTATGTTACCATACAGATTAATCATGGCCATCTTGAAATGGCGCCATGACAGTGTTATTGCGCCATTTCAAAAATAGCGCTTTACTTATATATTATTTTTAAATATTTAAATAATTGTGTTTTGATAAATTACGTACTAATAAATTAAAATATAAATAAATTTGTGTTTAATGATATAGTACAAAGAATAAACAACGTTTTTAACTTAATTTTCAATAGATTTGAAGCGCTGAGTAAACAAGTAATATCATCATCATCATCATCATTTCAGCCATTATCCATCCACTGTTGAACACAGGCTTCCCCCATAGACTGCCATAAAGAATGGTCCTGAATTACCTGTATCCACTGACTCCCTATAAATAATATACACACCTCAACACCGTCTAGGGATATTTTATATAAAGTTCTTAAATTCTAAAAACACTGGCCGTTTTTATTTCTTTTTGGAGATATTTTATTTTATAGATCTATTTTAACGATTTTAAATTTGAATTTGAAAAAATAATTATAACCAATTGATTGGCCTATTAGCTGTCAAGTTAAGGCCCGCCATTACTTTAGTATTCAGCCTATTATTCCCTGAAAACCATGGTTTTACCGTATTAATAAACGTGCTACGTCTTCTATTATTAGGATGAGACTTGGCCATGTGAGTTCCTCGTCTCATTTGGCTAAGTTAAAAATTGTGAACAATAATATGTGCAATTGTGGCACAGATGTGGGTGATTTGAATCACATTCTCCTAAATTGTCCTCTCTATGACCATTCTGTTCTTTTCAATTCCCTCCGTATTCCCTTACCTACATCAGTTCCAGTATTATTGTTTCTTGATAATTTAGAAATATATAATTTGGTTTTCTCTTTTATTGTTATCAATAATATTAAGTTGTAAATTTTCTTAGTTTATGTATTTTACATATACATATATATTTTTAGGGTTAAATATATTGTAATATCTATTTAGGTATCTGTCCTTTTCCTTATATTATTCATTATTCAACTTTTCTGATCCTCATCCTAAACTCCGTCGTCTAAAACTCCTTTACTAAAATGCTGTTTCCCAAACTTCACCTTTCGCGGATGCACTTTGTGCCGTGCCATAAGAAAGGAAAATAAAAAAACAATTGATTTGCCCGGCATTATTAGTAATCAGTAATCACTTATTATATTATACCTACAGACAATTATGGTTTGGGCGGGAATTAGCGTCGGTGGCAGAACAGGCCTCGTTTGGTTCAGAAATATGACCGCTGAAGAATACCGTAACCAGGTGCTAATACCAATTGTCCATCCCCATCGACTACAAATGGGCCATGAATTCACACTCATGCAAGACAACGCCCGCCTGCACACATCGCGAGTCGTGACCAGCTGGCTGCAGGAGCACGATGTGTCGTTCTTAAGCTAGCCCGCGTAATCACCAAACCTAAACCCCATAAAGCACGCGTGGGACATGCTCCAAAGAAGGGCTCTGAAGGATTTTTTTGCAAACATTGCAACTGAAGAGCAACATTCTTTGAATCTAAGCAGGACCTGGGACAATATTCCACAGCAAGACTTTGATCACTTGATTCAAAACATGAAAAACCGCTGCAGAACCGTTATTAATGTCATGAGTGGTTTTACTTACTTCTAATTTTTGTATCATTTTAAAAAAAATTGAATACTTAGCTTTATTTTTCTTATAAAAAAACATTAATCGTTAATTATATATAGGGATCAGTGGGTGTGTAACTTGAGATATGCTGATGATACTACTTTTCTTGCGCAATCAGAAAAAGACATGGATTTACTTTTGACACGTCTGGAAACTGTCTCTCTTTCGGACTCGAAAACAATAGAACCAAAATGATGATTGTGGACAGAGCTGAACATAATAGACCTGATGTAATGACAATCGGCAACTGTCGAGTTGTTACGAATTACGTATACCTTGGTAATAATATAATATAATAATATTATAATCTGGAAGAACCATAACATCACAAAGAATACCAAAATACATATAATGAGGAGTTTGATTTTCCCAATTTTTCTGTATAGTGTAGATACTTGGACGATCAGGCAACAAGAACGCTGAAAAATTGATGCTCAAGAGATACTGGCGACAACAGCTGCAAATACCTTGGACTGCCTTTCGAACTAATGTTTCCATTCTGAACGAACTGAAAATCAGAGAGAGATTATCGTCGACTGTTTAAATACGAATTCTCAAGAACTTCAGCCATATCATCCGGTATGAAAATTGTATGGAACGTCTAATTGTCAAAGGGTCGGTACAAGGCAAAAGTTCTCGGGGTAGATCACCAACACGATGGATTGACCTCATCAAAGCTGCCACACAACAGAGTATTGTGAAATGCTCTCGCTCGGTTGTGAGCAGAAGTAGATGGAAACGCATTAACATCCACTATCATCATAAAACCACGACTAACTCTGTCAAGAGTGTACGACTGAAAAGGGATTAGTGTTGTTTCTACTATTTTTTTTTATTTAAGTCAACAAACAGTAGATACAATAACAATATATAAACATATACCTATTATTATAAATCAAAATATGTAAAATGGTTGTGTGCAACTACTTGTACCAGGTCACTCAGAAAGTATTGTGAGAAAAAGGTTTTGTGTATGTGTGAGACTGGCCAGTTATAATTTATTTAAAAATATGATTACTTATAAGTAAAAATATTTACGTTCTAAATTCAAAATTTCCCTGCACATTTTTTGCGAGCTAATTAAAATTACCGTGTCTCATTGAAAAATAGATTTGTGTCGAGAACATTTTCGCACTATGATTTTTACGATTTTAAGTATCGCCTAAAACCGGAAGTATTGTATTATAGACTTCAAATGGCATTCATGGATGAAGGCCCTTCTAAGGCAATCGTGTATCGTTGGTATAATGAATTTAAGCGCGGTCGACTAACTTTGGGGGATGAAGAAAAAAGTGATCGCCCTTTGACGGCTGTTACGGAAGAAAACGTGCTAGCAGTGAACAATTTGATCCAAGACAATAGACGAGTTACATACCAAGAGATTCAGCATATACTGCAGATTGGATCAGGAAGCCTTTACGAAATTCTACAGGAGCGGAGGATAGTTTCACGCTGAGTGCCGCACAACCTCACCGATATTGAGAAGCAGGCTAGGGTGAAATTGTGCCATTATATGATAGACAAATTTGAAGCAGGCTCGTTTCGGTGTGTTTGCGACATCATTACAGGTGATGAATCCTTGTTTTATCAATACGATCCAGAAACAAAGCGCCAGTCGACGATTTGGGTGTTTCCAAACGAATCAACACTTACCAAAGTAAAGCGACCTAGAAGCGGGGGGAAGATTTTGATCGCAAGCTTTTTTAATTTGACTGGCTACTTGGTGTCAATTCCTTTACGAAACCAAAGCAGCATTAATGCCGAATGGTAATACTACCAAATGCTTGGCAGAAGTTTTCTCTGTTGTGAACAATAAGCGACCAAACACAGTTCTGCGGGCTACTGCTCCACGACGATAATGCACCCGCCAACACCGCAATCAAAACCAGGGACTTCCTAGATAGCACACCGGTCAAACTCCTGGGTCACCCTCCTTAGAGCCCTGACCTAGCATCGTGTGACTTCTTCTTATTCCCAAAAATAAAAAATCAGCTCAAAGGAATACAATATTCGTCGCCCGATGATGCGCTCTCAGCGTTCGAGCAGGCTGTAAACGGTGTCTGCAGCGGACTGAAAAGCGTTTCGAAAACTGGTTCAGACGCATGAAATTTTGTATAGAGGCTGGTGGAGAGTACTTTGAAAAGATGTAATAAAAATATATTTACCTATAGAACATTTTTTTTTTAGTGTCGCAAAACTTTCCGAGTGTCCCACGTACAAAATCGAATATATACATATACATAAATACTATGGTTGCTCCTATGTACTTAGGCATTTACGTCATTTACACGAGTTTTGAATGCAATGTGGTGTCAGCGGTCTCGATAGTGGCTCATTATGTAATTTAGAGGTAAATAATAGTGCTTCTTTATTGCCGACGTTTCAACGTGGATTCTTCGTCTGGTAGCTCGCGCAGTCTCTTCAGGTAGCTTCACATTGCTTCCATTAATATCTAGAGCCACCTTACACGCAGCACTCGCGGTATCCAAACCGTATTTGAACAAATTATAACTGATCGCGTGTTTTTAGTGTGCTAATCATTGGATTCCATTGTGTTGTTACTTGGAAAAGGAGCATTGAATTTTTTTTTCTGCGTTCCGTTGATATAAAGCCCGTGCCAACTGTTATAACGTAGTGAATACGTGCTGTGTTACGACGCCATTTCTAAAATTTCTATGAATAACGTTTTAGTTCATAGGCGGAGCATTTTTTAAATAATCAATCGGAAACAAAAAAAATTCTTCAATCGTTTCTGAAAATTGATAGATAATAACGAAGTTATGAATAACCAATTGATCTAATCTTAGTCTCCGGGGAGAAGAGATTATTAATAATGAGATTTAGTTGCTCAATTGTTAGAAATATAAATAAAACTGGTAATATTGATTATATTGGTATTAATAAAATAATAAATAATGCCATTCCTAAAATTTGTTTAATAAACTTATGAGATACTAGTTGCCACAGTATAGGTACTCAGCACCGGCCTTGAGAGAATATAGGAAAGAGATGGCGATCGGGAGGCACCGAGGTCCAAGGAGGACGCTAAGAGGGAGTCATTATAAAATTAATTATCGCCTCAAATTCGTCTTAGAAGTAAATAGGGCGGATCTCCGATCCAATTAAAAGGGAACGATTCCTTTTTTTCGATGTAGTAAAAAATTTGCACAGGAACATCAGGTAGACTAAGACCGGCCCTGATTACTATTAATAAAAATGTTCTAAAATATTAGTAGATTCATCAAATTTGCAGCCGTCACTAAATTGCGGACATTTCACAAATTTAAATACATGACAGAAAATACAAATAGGAAGAGAAAAGAAATTACAATTTTAAATATGCGGTTTTGAATTAGGTGAATCTTAAAATATAGTTTCACTGATTAAGTATTATTAATTTTATACTGTAAAAGTTTATTTGAACATGTATGTGAGAACGTAATAATAATAAATAGCCCATATTCTTATGGTTACATTCAGTTATGAAATTTACTGCCCGGCTTATGCCGAATTAATAAATGAATAGAAAAAATATTACAATGACAAGTGGTGGCGATCGCGTAACGACCGGATGTTTTTTTGTCACTCCTCCTGTGACCCGTGTAACCTTTATATTATGGAACAAGAACGACTTTGCATCCTATTACACGCCTCAATGACAATTATACTAGACTATATTTATTAATAAGTGATTTATTATGAATAAAATTTAATTTGAAATTTGGAACTCGTGGATGGCTGCAAACCGATATCTACTTATCTACACATTTATAAGTCTCTCTAATACAATTCTTAATACAAAACACAAAATAAGTAAATAAGTACCTACCTACTTACGTAATAAAATTTTGTAAGTAGAGCACTTAATTACTTTATTTCTATCTTTTACAGTTTCAATATTTTTTTATTATCTAGCGTTTTTCTAGTTCTAACATCACAGGTCAGCCCCCGATAAATTTTATTATAATATATATATATATATATATATATATAGGTACTTATAAAAAAAAAACTCATACAGAAATATTTATAGGAATCTGTGGACAATGGGAATATACTTTTGTATTTGGAAAATCCAAAAAAAAAAAAACAGAACACCTTATAATCTCATCAAGTCTGTAATACATACGTATGTATTATAGACTTGACGAAATTATAATGTCCATAATGTCAATATTTGTTTAATATTCATGAAATTTAATTTAAATTTTTGTAAATATCAAATAAATGGAATATGTACGAAATTGCAAAAAAAAAAAAAGAAAAAGATAATGGACTTCCCCATATATTGCATGTACAGAAGTACATATAAAATGTATTTCGTTTATTACAGCAAAATTTTTTTTGTTTCTTTATTAACGAAATTCTGGTGAATTATGCGATGGCAATAGCTACTGAGAAAACAAATCATACAACTAGTAGTTTATCTATAATAAAATTTAAATGTAAATACATAATTATAATACTGTATTCATATAAAAGGTTCAAAGGAACATAATTATCACATAACATGTGCATCCAAATTCATGTAATATTTAATGGGGACTGTTTCTTACTAAATACTACTCCAATAATAGAATGATTAAGATATAATTTTATTTTTTGTTTAAATAATTTTGGCTAAAACACTAAAGATAAATATTTAGTCTATTATGTAGGTAAGCTATATATCAGTTTACTGCTAGGTATTGTGTTGAATAATAATAATTCACTGCTAAATATCAGTTGTCAGTCTCGGATAGGTTATGATATTTGTAATAACTTGAGAATCTTAAGACAGGTATCTACTTTTGATACATATGTTTGGATGTAATTTATAATTAAGTAGATAGATAATATTGAGATCAATTTGTAATAAAAATATATTATTATATTTTATCAGTTCATACCATTCCACAACATATTCGAGTACATAAATAGTAATTATTAGTTCTATTACTAATAATTATAAAATTATTGTTTAATGGTATTAAATTAACGCTATTCAATTTCATATACTTAAGAGCATTCATACTTTAGCTTACCGAAGTATAACAATGTAGCAATTGTCTCTTTTCCGAAATAATTGAGCATTTTACTCGTTTCAGATTAATTATTTAAAAAGGGCTATGCTAACGAACTAAAACTTTATACATAGAATACGTTGCATATAAATATATCACTAAAAATTGTCCTACTTCAGATTTTACTTTGGAATTTTTCAAATACATTTTTGCCATCAAAATATTTTTTTTTAATTAGAATTTTATTGCATAATTAATGTTTTAGTTCCCTAGCAAAGAATTTTTTAAATAATCAGAAATATTAAAAATTGTACAATAGTTTTTATAAATTGACAGATAGTTAATTGAGACGTTGCCTTTCATAACTTTTTATTTCGGTAAGCTAAAGTTATGGATGCTCTTAGTTTATAATAATATGAGTCTATGCCATTTATTTTGTATTAATCGCAAGAAAATATGTTTTCAATATATATCACAGTATGGATCAATTTACCGAAAAGAAATATATATCTTTTCAATATTAGTGTTAGAACTGCATACAGGCAAATTTTATGCATACAAACATAATTTTAATACTACTTCAAACATAAATCAGTATTCTGGTATGACTGTTACATAGATTCTGAATAGATCTTTTATAAAAAATAATCAAATTCATTTAAATGTGAATGTGTTGCGATTCTTAATATAGAGCGCCTCTTAACAATACATTGAATGATCTAAATAGATGCGGATAGGCGGGCATGGACATACACACAATAATTATACATCATTATTATAATAGTAAATAAATGCTACAAAGTCACATTAATTGGCTACTCTTCAACCTAGGATACCCTGTTTATAAGAAACCAGAAAGACCTCTTAAGGAACAATCCAAAATATCCAGACCTCAGTCACTTCAGAAAATATGTTTCCTAAATTGGTCCTAACATGAATCGAACCCATGTTCATGTAAGAGAAAAAAAAGAAATGCAAAATTCTTTCAACTATCCCTCAGTGAAGTTATGTATATTTATACGCTAGTAATACATATTGGCAAAACATTATAATTTCTGACATTATTTTAAATACACACACAACACTATTTACATGCTGACATGTAGTTGTTTATGAACATATTTTTTATTACTTATAATAAAACTACCTCATGTTCATTTTCAATTAAAAAAAAATAATATTAGAGATTTGATTTGGCACATTCTCTGTTATTTTATGTGTACATGTATTTTTGTACAATTGATTAGACTCTAACTTCGCCAATTTTGATAATATTTTTATATTAGATAAAGAGAAACAAAATCTTATATTATTAATCTGTGTACTTAATAATAGATAATGAACAGCGTTTAAAGAAACTGATCCACAGTAATTTGAGTATAAAGTGTGGTGTAAATTATTGTAACTTATTGGTTTTTATTATCATTCCAGATATATTTCCACTATAAACGAGGATTAAATTTTTACACCAATACACATACACGTATATAGCTAAAATTCAATAAGCCTACATACATATAAACGAAATAAGTCTCGTTTTAACATAGGTACCTTATATATTAAGTAATCTAGGCTAGGACATAAGTGAGAAGCTGGTGGTTACGATATCAGAAGAGATTCCTTGGTGGGGGCACTGCTACGACGGCGGCGCCAGCGCGGCCCGTGGTTAGTGGCGCCAACTTGCGCCAACAATTTGCCTCCGAGTCGTACATTTCCACTACGCATAAATACTGCACTCCGTCGTATCCACCTGTTGATTTGTATAGACAGATATGCTTGTAATTGTATTCCCTGATGGGGTAGTCAGAGACATGTAGCTTAATCTATAAAGACTACGTGTATTACGCTGCTATGTATTCTCTGTGCTACTACTGTATGGTGTAAAGATGTGGATTTGACGTTTGACATGTGGGCACACTGTTGTATTCTGTAAATCTTACGGCATGACCGAGTCACAAATATTGATGTATTAAACAGCCTTTGGAAAAAGTTGGCGCTTCTGAACACCGTTAAGCATTGGAAAATGCCATACTTCGTTCACGTCATGAGAAATAAAAGTACAGAATATACCAACTAATCATACAAGACAAGACTTCTGGTAAAAGTGCCGGGAGGAAGCGGCACTTCTGGTTTAAGATCTTGCGGGAGTGGTTTGACTGTAGCATCATCTGACTCTTCAAAAATTAAGATTGCCCATATATTGCACAATCTTCGATAGGAGTGGAACTCAAAGAAGAAAACATATATTTTATTACGTTTGGATTAATAATTTACTTTAAATTAATTAACAAATTAGTCATTTCCTGCATGAAAGGGGGAAACATAAAGGAGTTGTCTAGTAAGACAGATTAGAGAGTTTCGTTTACAACTCAGATCTAGGTTCTTGACTGATTCTTGGTATGACTATGTATAGCTAACGATTTAATATTAAGTAGGTGTTGCTTACCAACAGCAACGATTCGGTCTCCGAGTAGGCATGATCCTATAGCGTCTCTTCCGTAGGAGAGGCGAGCGAGCAGCACCCACGAGTCGGCGACGGGGTCGTACCGCTCGACGCATGCCAGGCGCCCGCCTACAGTGTTCGCGGGTGCCTCGTGTCCGCCCAAAGCGTACAGGTAGCCGCCAGCCGCGCAAACCTAAGTCCATTATTTTACAATTATTATTCATCAGCGACCCGTTTCTACTTCAAACGCTGAAATGTAGATATAAACATTTTAAGAAGGGTGACTCAAAAGAAATCGGATTTTGTCATTAAAAAGTTATTTATCAATCTTTTTACAAAATTACTTCAGTCACCTACAAAATACTCTCCATTAAATGCAATGCACTCGTCAAGTCTCTTTTCCTACTGTTGGAAGCATGTTTGGAATTCTTCAAGTTTGATATTGTTCAGTGCCCTTTGCGAAGCTGTTTTTACCACCTTCCCATCATCATAACGCTTCCCTTTTAGCGGTTTTTTCATTTGTGGAAATAGGAAAAAGTCGCACGGGGCTAGGTCCGGCGAATACGGAGCGTGGGGAACGACAAACCATCTGATGAGATGCCAAATAGTGGGTCACTTGTAAGGCCGTGTGTGCGTGTTGCACGTCTCATGTGCAAATCCTCACTTAAAATTCGCTGGCACGAGCTCCAACTTATTCCTGTCTCTGCTGAAATTTAGCCGATCGTTTGGCGACGATCATCGTTATTATTTTGGCGAACTTTTTCAATGTTCTCCTCATTTCGTGATGTTGAAGGGCGTCCAGAACAAGCTTGGCCTTCAACATACATTTTACCACATTTAAAGCGTCCAAACCACTCGAGAACCTGTGTGCGGTTCATAGCGTCCTCCTGGAAAGCCTTCTGAAGCATTTGGTGTGTCTCTATTGCAAATTTTTTAAGTAGGAAACAAAATTTCACACACATTCTTTGTTCTTTTAAAGTTGCCATAATAACTTCGCAGGGGTAACCCACCAACAGTCAGAGAAACACAACACCACACTTGCACGTTCAGCTTTACACTGATGCCGTCTGCACAGTTTAATGAGTCTCTACTAACTCCATCTAGCGGGAGAATTCTGTACTACATCTACGAATGACGTCATATGTGAATGGCTCCATAAAGATTTGAACGATCATCATGATATTTAACATACACGTACTATTTGGGATGGAGGGGGACATAGGCAACTTGTTATCCCGATCAATCAATATGACCCGGTGTCACGGGTATTAGCGTATTTAGGATATTTTTTGGGAAGAGACTGGTTTTAAAAAAAGGCGCATATGTACTTTTAGATACGTTTTTTTTATACAACTTAGAATGGCAAACAATCTGACGGCCCACCTGATGGAAAGTGGTAACCGTCGCCTATAGACATGAACAGTACCATGGACATAACAGAGTATACCGTTTCGCCCATGCAACCCCCCATGCGTTGCCATTCTTAAGGACTCAGATGTCTTTGCGATGCATGTCCTGCCCCTCCTCCAATATACCTATGGACACGGATAAAAACTAGTAAAGAAGTGAGGTTTTTTTTTTTTTTTTATGCAACTTAGAATGACAAACAAGCTGACGGCCCACCTGATGGAAAGTGGTAACCGTCGCCTATAGACATGAGCAGTACCATGGACATAGCAGACTATACTGTTTCACCCATGATACCCCCCATGCGTTGCCATTCCTGAGGACTCAGGTGTTATTCCTCTGTACCCTGTAAATTCACGCCATATCCCACCCTTCAAACCGAAACACAGTCATGCAAACACAACTGCTTCACGGTTGAAACACGAATGGGACAGAGGTGCCCAAGCAATCGACTTTTGTACAAAGTCTCCCTCTGGTAGCGCGGACTAACGCTGACGCCGCCGCGGCGGCGCGTCATGGGCGCGCAGTTGGTCCAGCGGTCGGTGGCGGGGTCGTAGCTCTCGACGGAGCGCAGGCAGGCGCCGCCGTCGCGGCCGCCCACCGCCAGCAGCCGCCCGCGCAGCGCCGCCACGCCGCACGTGCTGCGCGCGCCCGCCATCGGCGCCACCACGCTCCACGACCGCGAGCACGCGTCCCACCTGCACACGCGGGACGAAACGGACTGCTAGTAGCAATACACCCAACCAGGTCCACCTCCTCGCGGTTCCCCTTGGAAACTATCATGGTTAAGTCCTGATGAATTCATCATGATGGACTAACTGGCCTGTTTTCATTCTCATCTATCACCCTTCACTGGTGCTCCGCCAGCGTATCTCGTTAGCGCAGGCGGGGTTACCATACCATTTACACCCATCAAAAAAAAAAAAACCTGCACACGCACAACATAGCTATATACACGATTTACACGTACACACGTTTTACAAACGAAATATTTTGGATGGCGAGGCACCAGTGGAGGGTGATGAAGAATTCATCAGGAAATAACCACGATAGTTTTCAGAGGGGGTCGCGAGGAGGTCGAACTTATATCTTGCTAACAATGAGTGAAAATGGAATGAAATCCCCATCTGTGCTATCGTTATACGCCGATGGGATATCAGTGGGGCATGATAAGTGAGGATGAAAACATGTCAGTTAGCCCACGGTGTCGAATTCCAAAAGAATTAACGACGATGGTTTTTAAGAGAAACAGTGTGGAGGTTGCATGTTAAGATATATCGTTAGTAATGGAGCTATTAGACCCTATTCCTTACAATTCTTTTCCCACAGCAATGGGGTCGTTGAACATCGTAACAATCCCTTCGCCTCAAACAAGATATTTACCGTCATTGACGCATTGAAGATTATGTTTTTGCCTATTGGGCCTGGCAGCAACAAAAATATATAGTGCACATATAGCATAGCTGAAATCACCGGTAAGGAGAATTCGCTTCCCTTTACACTCACAAATAGATAATTATTTATTTGTGAGCTCCTTATATATTCGTAGGAAGAGACATAGTTTCGATTATTAGTAATGGGGACCAATAGCCCTATTGCTAGCATTATATCCTATTAGGTTGACCCTCATGTGGTTCCTCCTGGAAACCAAAATGCTTATATACTTTGTTAATACTTTGTAATAATGGCCAATCTGATCTGACAACTTTCTAACTTATTATAATTATTTTAATATTTTTAGAAAGTTTAATATTTTCGCCATCTGAACTAGTAGCGGTCTTCCACCGTGCGTTTTTCAAGTCATCAACTTCCAGCAGCAGTATTTTCGAACCGATACGACATCATAAACTTCAAGAAAAGAGCATATTCCTTTTTAAAAGGCCGGCAGCACACCTGCACTGCGTTGGTGTTGTGGGTGATCATGGGTGGCGGTAGTCACTTACCATCAGGTGAGCCGCATGCTCGTTTGCCCCTTGTGTCGAAATATATATATAAGTAAAAATGTTATTTATAAGAAAATTTACCTTTCTACAGAATTTAAATAAATCCATCCGTCGTGACCTCCTACGGCGTACACAGGAGAATTAGGGCCATCCCCCAAAACAGCAACACCTAAACCGTGGCGGTGAGTGTTCATTGGTGCCAAAGTACTCCAACTAAGTGATGTCAAGTCAAAACATTCCACCTGACATGGAATGAAAAAGAATATTTAGTATGTTTTAGAATAGAATAGAATTTTATTGCAAACTGTGTACATACATATAGCAGTAACCATTGCTTTGGATTTGGCATCAGTATAAACAGTTATACCCTATCGGGCATGCAACAATTTAAGAACAGGTAATTGGCTAGCAATTACATTAACATCAAAACATTCAAATACTATCACCTTAAATAAGAATTTACTCTAAATAAGCAGTCATAGGGTACATTAAATTTATAAAAAAAAAAATGTAACATAATTCTGAAATAACTTACTGTATTTAAAGTTTTAAGTCCATCTCTACCTCCAACAACAATCAATTTGTTTTGCATTACTGCAACACCAAATTGTAATCTTCTAGCACCCATCCTCATAAATGGCGTCCACGTATTAGTCCTCGGGTCATACATTTCCATATTACTAGCACCCTATTGAATAAGATATAAAATTTTAAAATAAATAAATTATTTTCTGTATACTATTTTACAGGTTCTTGATATCATGTGTACTCAGTAAACAGAGAGACTGTTTACTCGAAAATAATTTAAGATAAAAAGAAATAAATATTATAAATTACTAGTTGTATCTCGTGGCTTCAACCACTTAAACAGTATTTAAAGTATGCTATTATCTAAGTTAGCATTTAAACCTATATATGTTTAAAATTTTATTTAAATTAGTAGTTCTTGTCTGAAAGACTAACAAACAACCATCTTCACAAATATTACATAAATTATTAAATCTTACTTTGTATCCATCCATGCCTCCAATGGCTAACAATCGCCCTATAGTTGATGTTCGTGGTCTAGTTCTGTGGGAGAATAGAAAAGATCTGCGCTCAGGCAACAAGTGCCATTTTACTGCTTCCATGATTAAGGATTGGCATTCAGGTACATTACCACAAGCTAACTCCACTTTATCGATAAGGTACTGGAAAAAAAATTGTTACACATATTACAGCAAACAAGAAATCATGACTACTTAAAATAAAAATTGGGTAAATATATATCCATAAGGTACACTGATTTGTTGAAAAAATTGGCAATTGAATACATCTTGTTTTTTGGGGCAATATATATAGTGTCTGAATAATGTAACATTTTCATTAATGATTAATGTCACTTTTATAAAACGAAATTGATCATTATAAATTTGTATCAGTGATTTATATTTTAATATATATGATTAATCTAACAATCAACAATTTTACTATACTTTTACATTTTTCTATTATATACTAATGATATAAAATTATAGAAATAGTAATTGATTAAATGGTAGTAACAACCTAATTCATACCTCGGATGAGAGTAACGGTAATTTAATAAGTTTCAGCAAAGTTGGCAAATGAGATTCTCTATTAGGACTATCATGTTGTACCCATGTCATGAGACTTTCAAATACATTTTCTTCAGTAACAACATTGAGATCATCTGATTTCAGTAGATTAGCCAACTGGTCAGCTTGTAGAGACAGAAATTCTTGGTGTTTCACCACCTATGTATAGAAAAAGTAAAAAAAAAGGTAAGTCCTGAACCTTGCTATATGACTAGTAATCCCATACCAGGAATTCCTTTTTATGTTGTCGCAGATATTCTATAAAATCGTATTTTACAACATCCCAAAGTTGGGCAAGGATCCCAACCTTAACTGTTAATCACAAATTTGTCTATATGGAATCTGTATCTCCCATTTCCATGGGCTATTTAGGAAATCCTTTCTGAATGAATACTTATGTTATAAAAAGGTACAGCAATTTCAATTGTGCTTAGAAAGATTAATCAGTCAAAATAGTTTTATACACATTAAATGCTTCTATTTTCGAAATTGTTCATGTTTATTATTGTTTAAAGTATATATTTTTCTAAGGTAAAACATAATTAAAATTTATATGTATACTAATATGTTAATTATGTGAATAATATATAACAAATCTAAAATAATATAAAAAAGGAGTGATTTTTTTGTTTGTAATGGAAAAGGTCATTTATCTACATATTAAAAACTCGTTCATACAAAGTTGTCCCAATCCTATTTTAGCAGAAAATTAACAAACGATGCATATTTGTAAGAAGTTAGTAATGAATTAACTACCTATTCACAAAGGGCATTAGTAATTTCCTTTTATTTCGCGAGTTACACGTGATTTAATAAAAAATTGTGGCAGAGGACTGTTTAAATGAAATCAAGAATACATTTTTATCAATTGTAATCAATTAAACTCCTTTTTTTTCTATTATTTAAACATAAAGAATATTATACGATTAAATTGTTTAAAAATAAAATTGCTAAGTGAAATATATTAGGATTACTCTACACAACTACACAAAAATATTTAATTTGGCAAATAAAATTAAACAAAACAATTAATTAATAACTGAAATTATAACTAGTGGGTGTCAATCTTTATAATTCAGGATAGTATCTGGATAACTGGTCCTCTGTGTAGCCTCGAGGACTGTGTAACAGAGGACAGTAATTTTTACACAAAGTATCATAGTAAAAAGTAATTTAATATTTTGTTAGATATTATAATAAGAAGTTTCAATATTTACATGGAACAATTGCTCCATTACCAGAGGAATGTCAAAGTAAGCAGTACATGCATATGACTTTTCTATACACATAAAGCTGACAATCAATAACTCACGTTTAGCTTTGTTTCCTAACAAACTTCATAATATTTTGTTACATGTCGAAATAATATTGACAGTGAATAGTTTGTTTTAGGTGCAATTTTTAATTGTGCCAGGAGATTGCAGTAATTATGTAGACAATATTTATGTTATTAATAAAAAAACAATAGTTATTAATAGAATTAAAAACGTACTGAATGTTATTACTGTATTTAAAGATATAGTGTCTGTATCATACATATGTTTAAATTCACTTATATTCAAAAAGTAATTAAATATTTATCATAAGTCTTGTCATTCTGGAAATGGGACATACCAGAAAACTGTGTTTTTATACTACTAAGGTGGCAAATAATCATACGGCCCGCCTGATAATAAGTGGGTGTAGTCTCTTAGAAAAACTTCGACAGGGAGCTCATTCCATATAACCTGAACGTTCATAGGAGGAAACATCGTTGAAACCACGTTGTATGCAACCATTCAGGCTCTAATGTATGAGGGTGAACTCTCTGTGGACGGCGTGCTGCACGATGGTTGAAAGTGACAGTAGGCATCACATTGTACGCTTCCTCTGAGTACAGGCTTTTGCATTAATGGTAGAACACAGAAGAGTAAGGCAAAATCTTTAAGACTTAAGGGTTCTTACAGCTTGTAAGCCTGTGACCATCAACAATTCTCATGGCTCGTTGTTGCACTGGGTCAAAGGGTTCAAGCTGGTATGGGTGCTGGTATCTAAGTACTCCCATCTACAAGCGACAGTAATACTTCATGTGGGGCCAGATTTGCGATTTATATAGCATTAATCATTGATTCAGCGCAAAGCTTCACTTGATAAAACACATCAAGTTTTTTGGATATTAGCGGTGGCCACAGAAATGTATATCGCTGAAGATGTCGACATCAAGGATCCTAATGCTTTTAGAGATGTTATGAGACATATCCTCGAATTGTGGAGCCACAGCAAATGGGGTCTTTTGCAGTGAATGTGCAAGTTTGCATCTTAGCAGGGTTAAACTGGACTAAGTTTTGTCATTCCCAATCAGAGACCCTAGTTAACATTCTCGCAATTTCAGACACAATCTGCTCATGATTGTTCTCCATGATAAAATGAGGGACATTGGTACATCCCATTAAATGGACATCCCCAGTACTGTCATCTACATAACCATGAATATAGTTAGCTCATTATTATTCATTGTATCATCAGCCAAGTATACACTGGATCTTATAAACCTTGCAATGCTAGTCTAAAAGTTAATAATGATTGTCCTGTTTGTAAAGATAAGTCAATAAACTAATAATTTAAAATTTCTTTCATTTATAGAATGTTACTTTATCAGCAAGGAACATACTCTATACTTTATGTGAAAAAAAAAGCAAAGGTAGGTTATATGTAATAAATAAAAAAAAATTACCTGCATAAAGTGTTGGTATGTGTATTCCAGAGCACTTTTGTGTAAATTCATGCAGGATTGTTGTTCAGCAAACAGTGCAATACCTAAACAGTTACATGGATCAAGTTGTTTCTTTAGAAATGCACAACAAGCATCTGTTACAGAATTCAGTTGCAGCAGGCTTGCCGTTGAGAGAAGCACTTCCACAGTTTCTTCCCTTAACTCTGTAAAATAAAGTAAAATTGTAACAGAAAAATTACAACAAAACAAAAAAAATTATGTGTATGTAAACTACAGTTCTAATGAATTTATTTCATTAACTAGCTATACTGCTTAATATATTGTTAGTACTTCTGATAGGATTAACTTATCTATAGTAGTCACCACTGATACAGATAACAGACAAGATTCATAATGTGTCTTGACTGGACACATGACAGTAAGGCATTTACTATATGAGATGGGTCTATCTTTAGACACATTGTGCAGGTTATGCAGTCAGGAATCAGAATCCATGGAATACCCGATGTGCAACTGTGATTTGTTGGAAAGTATATGTATAAGTCTGCTGGGGAACAGGTTATCCAGAGCCAGGACATCTTAAAACATGAGACAAAGCTAAGGTAATAAATACATAGAAACATGAAAGATCCAAATGAATTGACATGCAACAGCTTAGCTGATTCCATAATGCAAATAAAAGATCTATCTTATTCATAAGGAACTAATGTGACAAATTTTTTACAAAACAAATCTTAAGTACATACTTTTTAATATAATATTATTATAGTACATATAAGCAAACAGCATAAGTTGAATATTTAGATGAAATTATACCTACCTATAGTTCCTGTGTAACAGTAGCGCACAAGAGCTTGTAATGCCTGTGAATCCACTCTCTCAAGAGTTATTTCTGTTAGCTGGGCTTCCCTCAATGAACCAGTAAACATAGCTGCAAAGTATTCACTGCAAGATGCTAACATTACTTTGTGAGCTGGAATCCTGATGTTCAAAATATTACATATTGTTACTTATATGCAGTTTATTTACAACAGGTACTTAATAATAATAATAAACTCTTTATTGCGCACAATAGAGATGTATACAAGGAGTATTTATACAAAATGTGCACATACAAAAGGTGGCCTTATCACTAAAAGCAATCTCTGGTTACTTACACAAAGAACTGATATGAATGTTCTCTTCTATTACTACATATAAATTTATTTTATTATTTAGGAGTCATAATTAGAAAGAATAAAGTATAATTTTAATATACAATATATAGAAACAATTTTTAATGCCAGAACTTATAAGTTATTTATATTTGACTTTAAATTCTTGACAACGATACATTTTAATATAACAAACCTATAAATAGTAAACAGAGAACACAAAAGAAGTCATGGTTTAATGATACTTAGTTGTAATGGGACTTACCTACATCCTCCAGCAATAAGGGCTACGTCACATAACTTCTGAGCTTGAAAATATTGATAAATATTTTTGAGAGTGCTATCGGAATGTCCTTTATCACAATAGAATTCATCCTGGCTCGAGGTACTTGATAGACTTAACTGACTGAGTTCTCGTGGCAAGCCTTCGTCGATAGAGGTCGTAGAAATATTGTCTTTTGAACATTCTGGTTTTTGAGAATCACAGCCTGACATGATTTTTAGAATTGGAGTAAATATATAAGTTCCTTTTTAAAAAGGAAAATGTGCGATCACTAATAAATAAAACAACGCATCGAATGAAAACAAAGACATGTCATGTCACAAAAAGCAATATTGTCATGTGCAAGCCACGTCACTTTGAATACGAAAATGTCTCCAGAAAACTTATGTAACTATTGCTTTAAATCAGACATCTTTTTATAAGATTCATCGACGTAGATGTTTTAAATAGGCATATTGTTTATTCTTCATTATATTTTGGAAATCTGTACTTCTTTATTAATATTAGGAAGTTCAAAGCATACCTAGGCCAAAGCCTAGGTAGGCTTTGAACTTAGACTCAAAGTCTAAGTTTAAGCAGATTTTAATATTAAAACTATTTGATTCGAACTTAAATATCGATAAATATATAGAACATTATCATATCAATCACTAAACTCGGTACTAAAACAATTTTAGTAATTTTTTTTTATTTTAAAATTATTTTAAAAGTAGAATCTTGTCTCAAGATCAAAGACTCATCGCAAAATAAAATTTTATCCCATTGTTCCCGGGTCCATGTAATGTGTTCCCTACATTATTCATTTCGACGAGCGCGATTTTTGTGACGTATCGGCGGGCACCTAATTGGCCGTCGTGCTCGTAGGCCATTCTCATGCAATCGATTTCGCACAGTTTGGAAGCTAACAACAACACCACTCGAATTTTGTAGTCTTAAACTTATTATTTCTCGGGCGGTTAACATCGGCTGGCGTTTTGCAGCCAATTGTATGTATCGATCTTGTCGTGTGGTTGTACACCTTCCTCGACCTGGGTGCTGTTCAGCAGGATCTCCCGTGTTAGTGTAACGCTGATGAAGACAGCAAATAACGCTTCTGTTGACGCTATAAAATTCGAACAAATACATTCGCTTTTGAATTTATAAAAAAAAATGATACTCGATATTTTTACAATCAGTCAGTATGTCCTCTAGATCAAAAAGTTTACATAGGTATTACCTACTTGGTAAGAAATGATATAATAATTGATTAATAATTTGAAATAGTATATGTTGCTTAGACTTGTTTAATGTGTGTATATTAAATTGAATAAATATGCATAATGAATGCAATAAATTATTTAATATTATTAATGTTATTTAGGATACATCACTAGACTTGACGAATTGACAGGAGTCAGAAACGCAATCTCTGAGCGTCGGGACACCAGTAATATAAAATTTGTCACAGACAAATAATTGACATATTAAACATTTTCTATATAGCAGCCTGCTATGAATTTAGAAAAATAGCAACTGATGGTGTATATTTCATCCTCTTTTTACTAATTATATTTGCATAAGAAGAAAGGAGTCAACCATATGATTCACAGTTTTTATTTTATCTTTCCTTCTATATAATTAATTCCTTGTTCTTAGTGAAAATTTGTGGAAATTCTTTCCGAAAAATACATTTTTTTATTGTTTTATTTAAAATAATGTAATCTATGGTATTATGTCATAATATAAAGAAATGATAATATTTTATAGTGAAATATTATGAAATATCAAAAAATAGCAATGTAATATTCCTATTAAAATTCTATATTAATTAAATATGTAAGGTCACGCCTCAAGCGTACAAAAACTACCTATAAGGAAGCCGCGCCCCCTGTAAGGCTAGGCTTGCATTGTATCGTTGACGTGTATAGTTTTTCCGTTCCGTGGCTATTCATGATTGTTAGATTGGACACAATCACCACTTTATCTCATAATGGATCTAAATAATCATGATGGGTAGGAATTATTTATACTGTAACAATAACGATTGCCGATTACATCTGTAAGTATATATAATTGACTAATAACTGTGTAGGTGACTACGTAAGTAATATACTACTGATACTATCAATTAAAGATGGTTAGTTGGATTAAGAAATGAACAAATGCACTGAAGAAAATAAGAAATAACATCCCTACATTAGGGTTTCGTACTCAAAAAGTATTAATGAAACTCTGTTACTAATAACTGTGTTACATCTAAGCATGTCAAGCAAGTTGTAAAATTCATAGAATAAACTGCAAACTAAGAATCGTTAATTATACGGTCATATATAAGCTGTATAGGCTAATCGGGCCATAAATACTATTACATAAGAACTTTTCTTGTTTTTAATTTTTTAATTAGTTTGAATTTGGAACACGTTTATTATTTTAAAAACTTCTTTCGATTTCGCGTCATTTCACATATTTTTTCGTATTCATTATCTAATTACAATATGGAATGGGGTGGTACAGAAAACAGAATTGCAGTGATAGCCTTGCATAAAATGGGTATGGAGCCGACGGTCATGTTCTAGACACTTCAAAAGCTTGGTATCAGCCGTATGTTCCTATATCGTTCTATCAACAGATACAATAACACTTCCTCTGTCAAAGACCAGAAAAGATCGGAGCGGCCGTATGCTGTTAGAACTATAAAAACTGTTAATGCTGTTAAAGCCAGAATTCGTCGAAAATCCTAAACTAGACAGCCCCTAAATCAATCTTTACAATTAAAGACAGTGGATACATCAAAACGCCTTCTGTCGCGATACGCAGGTGAAAGGCATACAAATATTCTCTTTACCCACGAAAAAATTTTCACGATTGAAGAACACTGCAATAAGCAAAATGATAAAGTGTACGCTCACAGTTCTAAAGAAGCTGTTTAAGTGGTTAGAAAGATGCAACGTAGTCATCATCGTGTTTCAGTGATGGTTTGGTGGGGCGTGTTTTATCAAGGAGTCACAAAACTACATTTTTGTGAAAAAGGAGTGAAAAATTCAGCTAAAGTGAATCAAGATACAGTCTTAGACCCGTAACCGTAGTCGTAACCGGTATAGGTGTGACATGGACGTTAGACATGATCTTAGTCTTGTCCATGTTCATCTTAATCCTCCAGAGATTACTATGTCATCGGCAAATCGAAGATGAGTGATGTATTCGCTATTGATGTTTATAGCATATTTTTTTCACTCCAAAAGTTTAAAAACATCTTCCAGTGCAGCCATGAAGAGTTTCAGGCACCCTGCTTTACAACTTTCTGCACTGAGACAGATTTCGTACTTTGGTTCTGTGCTCGGATAAACATCGTAGTCTTATTGTACATACACTTTAACACTTTGACATACCTGTAGTCAATCTGGCACCGCTGGAGGGCCTGTAGTACCACCTATGTCTCGACTAAATCAAAGGCTTCCTCATAATCCACAAACGCTAGACGTAGTGGTAGATTATACTCTTCGGTTTTCTATATAATCTGCCGTAGTATATGTATGTACTCTATTATGCTAAAGTTTAATACCTTTCGGAAGCCAATTAGTTTGAGTGGCTGATAGCTGTCGAGTTTGCGCGTAAAACAATTGCTTAGGACCTTCGAAAACAACACGTAGACGCGATTTAGAAGGTATATTGGTCTATAGTTTTTTAATAGGGTATTGTCACCCTTCTTGAAGAGTAGTACTACCGCACTTCTGCACCACGCCTCGGGCGTAATCGTAATAAATATTTAAAATTGAAGTAGAACAAAATAAAGTAACTAAACATAAATATTCCTTTTATTGTAAATGTTTTTTATAAAATTAAATTTATATATATATGTACAACACTAATTTTTTTTTTATTTATGTATTTCATTCTGTTGTTACTTCGAAAAGGTAACATGTATATCAGATTCTATTTTTTTCTGCCAACTTTTATAACTTAGTCATTACTTGCTGTTTAGTTGAATAGGTCAGTGAGATAGAGTGAAATTCTGAAAATAGAATAACCGAGTTTGATATAGTTACTATTATAATAAATGCATTTCAATCAATTTTAAATATATTTTTTAGTGTATAATAACGGTATTGTAATTTGTTTAATTCAAAAGTATTAAAATAGCAAAATGGAAGGCGATAGCTCCGATTCATCAAACACTAAATCAATTCCTGGTATTCCTAAAGCTGTTTTTGTAGTAAGTGTATTATTTGTGGCTAAATATTATTACATTTTTTATTACAATTTAACTCAATATTGTTGCATCTTTAAAGAAGGAAAGAAATTATTTTTAGGTTAGACTAACCTAAACACCTGTTTGAAGCTTCCGATTATAAAATGATTATGTGTTAGTAGGTTACGTTTAAATATTATTTTATGGAATCTAAATCTTATAAATTATATTGAAAATTATTGGTTAATTTTTTTTTATAATATGGAGGTGCTCATTTTTATATGTAACAACAGGAATCGTAAGTAATCTTTGAAGAGAGTGAAACCAACGAACCTGAAAATATTTGCCAATGAAATATAGGTAGAAAATGAAGACATAATATTTTCATACCAATGGTATTCAGTTGAAGAGTTAGTGAGACACAAAATAACATGGGTTTTTACTTTTACATACCATTATCAACCTCAATATTTTGACTTAAACCAGTATGGTCCTATCATATTAAATACTAGGCATGGGTCTGCTATTTAGAGGAGAATGATATTAGTCTATTGTTACAAGATTGGCTGGAACATATGGTCTATAAAAGTACTACATTAAAAATGTATAAGTTTCTTCATTCATTCCAATCCAATAATAATATCTCCAATCTAAATGATTGGAGATATTATTAGCGGTCACTAGATGGACATACATTCACCAAATAAATGTGTTGAAAAAGCTCTAAATAAAAATTACTTATGAGTAGTAAGATTTAAATTATTTATGTAAAAGAGGTCTGTCAGAATCAGAAAAGCTTTGGCATTTCATTATTTCTGCTTGAAAAAGAAAAAAAAAAGATATTTTGATAAGAATGGTGCCCCATCAACAAATTAGGTTTCCTCTTATCTCAATAGGTGCTAGTTGAAAAATCATTGCTAATCTAATACTTCTAAGCATAAACTAAGTGAAAAAATTGGTTCTGTGTAGCAGCACAATCTAAAATATGAATTTATTGCTATCAATGGACAAAAACACATTGTTATTGTATAATAATTGCTAATTTTAATTATTGTGACTGTTAACTACTGGAAGTTTTGTTATGTGAATGACAATGACAGTAATGAATATAAAAAATGTAAAATTTTTACAGATAAGTATAAGAACTATTACAGCAGGTAATATGTAATAATACTTGTATATATTATTATTTTTCAGGATAATGTAGACGAGTTCATGAATTTGCCAGAAAATTCTGGTGGAGTTGAGAAAGTACTAAGAAGGCTTGATGAACAACATGGTAAATACAAGTTTATGGAATATACATTGGCAACTAAGAGACGACGTCTTAGACAACAAATTCCAGATTTAGCTAGGTCACTTGAAATGATTGAAAAATTAAAAATGCAAAAAACAGATATGGAAACTAAATTTCTGCTCAGCGATCAAGTATTTGTTAAGGTAATGTAAAGTTTATTTTGTTGTTGTTGTTGTTGATTGCATAATATACAGTACATCCTTTATTTTTGGTTTACAATTATTTTATTGTAGGCAAATGTCCCAGCAACAAATATTGTATATTTGTGGCTTGGAGCAAATGTTATGTTGGAATACTCTTTGGATGATGCTGAAAAATTGCTAACATCAAATATGGCAACAGCAAAAAAAAATTTGGAATGTATTGAACATGACTTAGATTTCTTACGGTAAGAAACAATATTCAGTTTTTTTTTACATCAAAAGAATAATGTGAATAAACATTCAACATATGTATGTTTATGTAATATAAATGATCCTAAAAAAATATGAAACATAGTTTATCTTTATCTTTCATGGAAATTTATTCTCTCTTTTTCTATATTTAGTTATAGATTAAAAAAAAGAGATCCTTTGTGAGTGAGAGAACCAGCTCTAGATTTCTAGAAAATTTTCTGTTTGGTTTAGTTTTCTTTAATTTACTTTTTCTACATGATAGTATGAGATCAGTAATACTTCAGTTCAGTATTTTCATTAATTAATATTCAGTACAATTCAGTAACTTTCAATCAAAATTTTCATCAAGTAAAGAAATTAAATAATATATTCATAATAGGATGTATCTTTCTTATTTTGCAGTGATCAATGGACAACAACTGAAGTTAATATGGCTAGAGTATATAATTGGGATGTAAAGAGAAGACAGGCTGCAAAAGCATCTAGTTAATTGATGTTGTATTATTTTGCATTGAGCTTATACTCTTCTCTCACTATTGTATTAAATATTTTGATGATAGTAATATGTTAATATTTTCGCATGCCTTTATGTTAATAATTATCACATTTAAATGCAAGTAACAAGCATATGATACTTTAGAATTGCTTTTAGTTATATTTATATTAATGTTGTACCTACACTAAATATAGAAAATAAATGTGGTATCTTTTTAAAAAATATTTTGTTTATGTTGATTATTTAATGAAATGATTTTGATGTTTGTAAAATGCGAATCTCATCACAAACATAAATATATGAGGGTCAAGTTCAAAATTATGAATATGTGGTTTCGACTTTGCAAAAAAAAAAATAGATCTATATGGGTGTCAAATTCGTATAGAAAATCTTAAAATTACAAATTTTAAAAGCTAATTCTTGAGTTTGAATTACATCCCAAGCGGAATAAATGCATTGTGTGAAATATAAGAATTTATAATACATATTAAGTAGCAAACATAGTAGATTGTAGTACGTTCGTACGTATGTTCTTGTAAATTGTAAATTTTAAGATTTTCTGCCCAGAACTTTGCACCCATATAGATCTCAATTCTTTTATGGGTGGAGTCGAAACGACACATATTCGTAATATTAAACTTGGTTTTCAATTCACATTTATGATTTCGATAAAATATTATTACTTATAGTAGAAAGTATTAATGAATGTTTATCATTAGCTAAGCGACCAGCCCCGGCTTCGCACGGGTGCAATGCTGATACTAAATACACCTACCTACTACAGAATGCCTTTATAAATAATGTTTAAAACTTTTTTGTCATTAGACAATACAAACATGATAAAGTGCTAATAAGGCGAAGTGCGGCCTTCGACGCGCTTTTATATAGTATGGGCATGCGCCTTTGGCCGGGCTGGTACCGCCGCACCGCTATGTCCCTGCGTTTTAAATCTGTAATATTTTCGGAAATATTAATTTAAATTACATGTTGTAAAGGGCCATATAGATCTATATTAAATGAACAAAGTATTTAAGTACTTAATTGGATAAAAATTATTGCTGTATTGCTTAAAGTCACTTCGTAAATAAGTCCTTTTCCCCCATTAAAATGTAAACGGTAAAAAATAGTTATTGTGGGGTATCCTTAAGAGATAGACATATGCCATCGCGGACTTATTGTTGACCTTTTTAAGGTGTACAATACTGTAATACATTATTTTGATTTATCTCGTGGGGTTCAGCAAGCGTTTGCAATGGAAGCGTAAACAATATGTTTATTTACGACATCACATTAGAACCTTTTAAAGTTAGCAGTATTTGCATGTATTATACATATAAATCTTCCTCTTAAATCACTTTATCTATTAAAAAAAACAGCATCAAAATCCGTTGTGTAGTTTTAAAGATTTAAGCATGCATAGGGACGGACAAACAGCGACAGCGGTTTGGTTTTATTCTATGTAGCGATGATGATGATGCAATGTTATTAGTAAAATTACTTAATTTTTCTGCGTTCATGCTGTATAACTTTAAAAATTATTTATATTAGTAAACCAATTTTCATAAAATTTCTTTGGAACCAATCCGAAAGAACCTATGGTAGAGAACCTGATAAGCTCTTTCGGATCGATTCCAAAGAAATTTTATGAAAATTGGTTTATTAATATAATTTTTCAATCCAAATAACTAGTTTTGACCTTTGAAGTCGGTGTTTCATTATTTTGTGAAACAAAATCTTATTAAGAGGCCTTTTACATTTTTTGTATAAAACAACGCAAAATCAGAAATTTGGACCTCTGGTTCTAAACAATTAAAGCTTTGATATACATTTTGATTCCTGAATAATATAGATAGATAACTAGTCTTAAACACAAGCTTTTTAAATTGTTACTTTTCTCTTTATTATGCACTCATTTCTTTCTAATTTCCAAAGCCGTTTATTTAAAAAATGCTAAGAGACAGAAGTTTGGGGTCGATTTTCAATAATAAAGAAACATAAAGTTGGTATTATATTGTTATTAAAACTTGGCAAACAAGATTGTCATTTTTTAAATTTTTAACCCAAATACCTAAGTAAATTGAAGATCACTGAACCTAATTTTTTTACCATAATTTGACAAAATCATTTCAAAATTTCTCATAAATACCATGAAAAATTTGCATAAAAAATCATAATATTAGAGTTCATATATTTGTAAACGAGTATAAGAAAAAATAATCATAAGTTTCTAGGGAAAAAATAAAGAACCATAAGAATTAAAAACTGTTAAAAATGTATAAATATCGTTGCGTCAAACGTAATTCCTTAGTCGCGCGGTAGCGCTTGACAAGGTAACATTTGTGTCGTTTTATGCCATGCTTAAAACACGATGTCCAGACGCATGTGACGTTGCGAGTTACATTATAACGCGACTAACCAATTTTGATACCGTAAGTCAATTTTAATCATTTTTAATTAATATATATTTTTACGGTTGATATATTAATGACGTTATTTAATATACTTGCTGTATTTATTTAATTGTTTAGCATACCAAGAAAAAAGTACAGTTTTCCGACAAAAAGCAATATCCAGCTACACTAAAAAAGGCGCAAGAAGTAAGGTACTTATTTTCCAAACTACAGTATATTTTTTATATATTCATTTAATTAGCCATAAATTAATGTATAACTCTGGACTTATTTTAGAAAGACAGATAATATAAGTGAGGATTCTGATAAGGTTTCATTTACATCTCCAGTATATACAGTAAAAATATAGAATCATCATAACAATTTTAATTCTACTAATTATTTTTTTTATTTTAAACTACACATAGTCCTAACGTTTTTTTTTTGTTTCTTTTAACACATATACAAATAAATACTTCTTCATAAATATAATCCCATCAGAATAATGTCAAGGTTGCAACGCAGTTCTGCTAAAAAAAGTTGTGAGATTTCATGTAAAACCAAGTTAGTCTCATTTATAGCGACTATATCAAAATTATATATCTTTATTTCTATAATAATTATAATTACTAGGCATATAGATGGCAACATATTTTACTAATAAAATACTTTAAATATTTTATTTTATATTTATTCCTGAATGCACTGTTTAGATTTTTTATGCAACTTAAATGGCATACAAGCTGACGGCTCACCTAATGAAATTTAATAACTGTCAACTATAGACATGAATATTATCATGGACATAACAGAATGTACTCTGTCGCCCATAATACCCCTCATGCGTAACCATTCCTGAGGAAGACTAAGGCGCCTCTGTATTCTGTAATTTCATTGCCATATCTCACCCTTCAAACTGAAACATAGCCACGTAAACATAACAATGTCAGATAGATACATGAATGGGACAGAGGTACCGAAGCAAACGTGCTCTGTCCCATTCGTAGAAGTCATTAATTTTATTAAAATTTTCTCCTCTTGGTGATTACATTTACATAGTAATTGAAATAATAGATTTTGTATTAGATTATTCTTTTATAACTACGGCGCTGTGTATTTGTCAAGTGAATATAATTATTATAAAGATTTCTAATATTAATACGATCACTATAAATAAAACTGACTTAGTTTTACATGAGATCTCACAATATAACTCTTGTAGTGAAAGAATTTTTAATTTTTTTTTTTGGTTTTGATGGGATCTCATTTCTTTTTTTTAGATTATTCTCCTTATTTTTTTCGGATTATATACTACACAAACACAATGCGTTATTTGAATAAATGAACGTAATTTTTAATTATTATTTTCATTTAATAAAAATTGATAATAAAATATCAGTATTTTTCATTTTTTCCTTCCGTTATAAGTTAAATGCTAACTAAAATTAAAAACTTGAAGTTTATGAGTGTCAGTGATAAAATTAAAGAATTTTGACAAGTATTATTGCTTCGTAAACTATTCGGTATAATTATTACGTATTTTAGCAAATAGCCAGTTAAAAACAAAGTTCTTGCTTTATTCACAATGAAGTTACAGAGGGGTCAAAAGTGCGGTAAGTCGTTTTGAGAAAAGGATAAGACGGCCGAGGTCGCCCTGGCAGGGGTATGGTTGTGCTACCTGATTCTAAGATAATCCCTGATATATACAAAAAGGGCGTTTTATTTTTCATAACTCTCAATCTCCATCAGAACGTATATTATTTGAAACAAATTGTCTCAACTCAAACATCGACTGCACACACTATCATTAAATCTCAGAATATCATAAAATGTCATATTAGCCGTTCTCTTGATATGATATAACAAACTAATAGAGAGATACCAAATTTTTAAACTCGTAAACAATTTGATGCAATAGTTTTTGTGTGATGGACAAATATATAAACAAAATTTCTAAAAATTATAGTTTTATTATATTACTAAAATAGATACTACAAGAATTTTATTTTCTAATAAAACTTTATATTTTACTTTTTGTTTCTCTGTTTGTTTGTTTATACGGACTATAATCTTCGAAACTGTTGGACCGATTTAGATGAAATTTTGCATGGTGGTTCCTTACATTCCTGGTCAACACTTTTAATCACGGTAAATTAAAGAGTACCCGTGGGATAGCAGTGGCGGGCATCAGCTTGTAGTTAGTAAATTATCTTATTTTGTCTATATTATTTGCTTACTTAAGTAAAATATTTAGAACAAGTAAATATGGCAATAATATATCCGACTGTTTTATTTAAATTATCTTGTATTTATTGTTTGTGATTTTTGTAAGATATTTCTAGTATTTAGTGCAATAAAAAATATTAAAAAATAAATTTATGTTTTAATAATTTCGTCTTCCTGTCCTTAATCCAATTAATATTATTAACATATTTTTACCCATACTATCCAAGGTTTTGGGTTTTAATTTTAGGACCGGCCGCCTGTCTAACGTCATCTCTCTGGGTATAATATATATGGGTATAACAATAATAATAAATTATGGTCATTGTTAGCACTTTGTTAATTATGACAAATCTAACGACATGTTATTTATAAGAATCCAACAAGTAGTTTAGTTTATTTAATTAAGTGAAAAATATCACATTAATAAATTAAAATAATACAAGTATCAAAACTCTTTCAAATGTAATCCATACCCAATTCGGCTACACGTTTATTTGCGATTGCGTATGTGTGTTATAACACATGTGCAAATTAATGCGCTTTAGTCAAATTTGAGCGACATGATTTTGTAATAGGCCTCTTAATATTATAAATGTAATAATAAGTATGGCTGAATGATTGGATTAATATCCAATTCTTTCTATAAAAAATTACTAAACAAATTTTAAATGAAGTTTGCTACATGGGTAGGTTGTATCCTGATTTAGCGCATAGGGTATGCGCTAAATCAGGATATACTTTATGAATTTACTGATTAACGCCGGCGAAGTTGCGCGAAACAGCTAGTCTACTAAAAATCCAAATTATTTGAGTTTTAAATACATATATATTACACCTTAGTTGAAATATCAGTTTGAAATATTTCCGAAAATATATATTTAGGTATTACTTATTAAAATTCTCATTTCAATTGTGACTAACTTGTAGGTTATATAATTATACGGAAAACTTAAGAATAAATATTACACACAAAATAAATGAAAAAAAGTTCAGGTGTAGCATTGTGTACTAAATTTAGTGCATTTATTTTTAAACGTTTATAATTTGTTGAGCTTTCAGAATAATCATCATCATTAAAATGTTTGTTATGTTCGTGCATTGTTTGTCAATTTCCATTTGTTTTTTTGGTGGCTCGAAATAGTATTAGTCCATTTATTTAAAAATAATCATCATTAAGAAATCTAAAAACAAGTATTAGCTATTAACGGGAAAAATAATGTCTTTAAAAATAATATCGATATTTAGTCGATACAGGTGAATGATCCAACACTAGCGGAGTTCTATATTACGATAATTCATTTGGAATTTCACAGAAGATCACATAAATAAATTTTGCTAAACTTAAATTTTGTTATAATCTATAATATGATTATTAAAAACAATTACAACTTTTTTTAACAACACTGGCAAACGAGCATGTGGCTCACCTGATGGTAAATGACTACCGCTGCCCATGATCACCTACAACACCAAAGGCATTGCAGTTGTGCTGCCGGACTTTTAAAAAGGAATATCCTCTTTTCTTGAAGGTTATGTTGTAGTATCGGTTCGGGAATACTACTGCTGGAACTTGATTGAGATTATAGAGTGGTTGAGCGTGGAAGATAGTGCCTTGAAAAGCGTACGGTAGAAGACCACACACCGAATAAACTAAAGTTTCATCCCGACCAGATGGTTTGGATGAAACTTTAGATGCACAGAGATGCAACATCTCTACGCAGTTTCAGTGGATCAAGTTGGACAGTAAGATCATCAATGATTCGAGCCGCCCGACTTTGAATGCGGTCTAACGGAAGGAGCTGGTACTGTGGCGCTCTTACGTACAAGTTCAAGCGGTGTTTCGGCGTGAAATACTGTCTCACTCTACTGAGCACTCCTAACGTTTGTCTTAGTAAAAAGAGGATGTCTTACATAAACATCTTAGCCTTTTCCTTCAGATGACCGCAAAATTTGACGTTGCAATATATATCAACGCTAAGAATCCTTAGACTTATCAAGGGACGTGCTCTGAAAGTAAGAAGATACAACAAACGGCATCTCTTTTGCGGTAAACGCGCCGACTAGTGTTTTTTTTTAAGGTTAAATTAGACAAGATTGTGTTTGCCCCAGTTCGAAACTTGATCGTGAAGTTTTGATTTCTGATACAAGTCTGTTCCGCCACTCATTGGTATGTGCCCGCAAGATCTTTGCATGACCGGTATATAATGCATCTCCTGTGCTGTTATCCGCATAGCACTGAATATTACTGATCTGTGACATATCATTGATATGCAGAAGAAACAGGGTAGATATCGGAAATAGTACACAGCCTTGCGGGACACCAGCATTCAGAGGTTTTAAATTCAAACATGCTCCGTCGACTACGACCTTAATGCTACGTTCCTTGAGAAAACTAGCGACCCAGATGCACAATCTTACAGGCAACCCAAACGAGGGTAGTTTCGAAAGCAGCGCTTTATGCCACACCCGATCAAAGGCTTTCGGAATATTCAGACTAACAGCTAAGACCTCTCTCTTATTCTCGATTGCCACTACCCATCGGTGTGTTAAGTAAGCTAAAAAATCACCGACTGAACGTCACTGGCGATTACAGATCAACTGGTACTCTTGTAAGTACCGGAGCCGGAGTTTCTATGAAATATAATAAAGTGAACTTCTATGAAATACAGAAAACTCGTCTGAGTTTTTACTTGCTTATGAAAACTTAAATTATCAATTAATTTACAATTATCGAAAGAGTCTGAATTACATCTTGCACTATACAAGCTATACTTATTTTATTTAAATTGCAGTTTGTAATAATAATCGAAAATTAATAATAGGAATATTTCAATAATTTTTTATATTTTGTTATGTTAATTATTTGTCAATAACAAATTTAACATAACTAAATTATATATTCGACATCGTTTATGTAGATAGTATGCAAGTAGGTTGTACCTGAATTTTGTATATGGCCGTATAATATTTTCTATATACTACCTTGCTATGAATTGAAAAAAATCGTCCTCATTTTACTAATTATATTTGCATAAGAAGAAAGGAGGCAACTATATGATTTACAGTAATTTTTTTATCATTCCATCTATGTAATTCCTTGTTCTTAGATTTTCATACACTAGCCTGCTACGAATGACAAGAATACCAACTGATGGTGTATCTTTCGTTTACTTTTTACTAATTATATTTACATAAGAAGAAAGGAGACAACTATATGTTTTACAGTTTTTATCATTCCTATGTAATTTCTTGTTCTTAGATGTGTGTCATCTTGATCATGACATTTACTTTGGCATATTTGATTGATCGGAAAAAAAGGCGGGAAACTCGAATAAGAACAAGCGGGTTTTTTAAATTTTTTTTATTAATTTATAAAAACTATCTCTATCAATTCTTATTATTGAATAAAATATTATATTTTCACTAAATTCAGTGACAGTAATATAATTAGCATTCATGGGGAAGCGCAGTTGTAGGAAAAGGAAAAAAAAAGATGACGATTCAGGTGATGTAGACCATGAACCTTGTAATGACAAGGATATATATTCGGAAGATACTTCTACTGACTCAGAATCTGAAATTGATAAGGCCGATAAGTATAAACCTTACTACGTCACAGATTATATTAGAAGATATCCCGAGGAATCCCCTGGGACAGAATTTGTTGTCTTTGTAGAATCCTCAGATAGTCAGAAAACCATTGGATCCAGAGACTTGCTCTCACTCTCCTCCTGTTTAAAACGTTTTAATAAAGGGGTAACTTATCTTAGATCTATAAATAAATTCAAAATCGGAGTATACTTTCAAAAGCCAGACTTAGCCAATGCTTTTTTAAATAATAAAACTTTTTTAAATGACTACCATTTTAAGGCCAGTATTCCTGCTTCTTCAACAGAAGTTACAGGCGTTATTAGAAATGTACCTACAAATATATCTAATAAAAAAATATATACTATGATATCGAGTTCTAAGAAAATTATTGCTATTAAAAGAATTTTAAGAAAAAATACCTTGACTCATGGATATGTGTTACAGCCAACTCTAACCGTGACAATTACTTTTGCTGCATCTGTATTACCTGAATATCTGGATATTGGAGGTTGGCGCCACAATGTCACTCCATATATACCACCAGTTAAACAATGCTACCGGTGCTTGAGGTATGGACATTTAGCTAAATTCTGTAAGAATTCTGAGCGTTGCAGCATCTGCAAAGGTGAGCATAATTATAAAACTTGTACAACTGGAATGGAAAACGCTATTTGTGTACACTGCAATGGAAATCACACAAGTGTTCACCGCAATGCCCTGTTAAACAAAAGAAAATTGCTGAAAATAGATCTAAATTCAGACCTGCTTCTTTTGGAGATATACTTAGCACTGAAATATTTCCTAAACTGGGTAACAAACCTAAAAAAAATGTAGACCTAATTTCAATTCTAAATTCTGATAACAAGAGTTTATCACTTTTAATAGAAAGCATAATCAAACTTATTTCACTACATAACACAAAGAACACATCTATTAACACTAAAAGTGTTTTGAATGTGTTATATGATACTTTTGGTAATACACCTATTTCACAAAATTCAATCGAGACCAATTAACTATCATACAGTGGAACGCTCAGAGCCTACTGAGCAATCGACTTATTTTTACACAATTTTTAAATGAACATCATATTCACATTGCTCTCATCTCAGAAACTTGGCTAAAACCACATTACAAATTAAAAATTAAAGATTATTGTATAGAACGAAATGATTGTGGTAATAACCACAATGGAGTAGCGATTATTATACATAATAGTATTAGATATAAAAAACTTCACTCTTTTTTCGACAATTCTTTGCAAACTATAGCTATTAGTATTGAAGTTAATAATTCTTGGTATTCAGTTGCCAGTATTTACTGTCCTACCAATAGTACACCTAGTTTTACTAAAGCCAAATTTAAGTTCTTTTTGGAGTCTCTTCCTAAACCCACTATCATATCTGGAGATTTAAATGCACATCATACTATGTGGGGTTGTACCTCCACTAATACAAGAGGTAAAGACATTCTTGATTGTTTAGATGAATGTAATTTGGTACTATTAAATGATAAGCAAGTTACTACTGTTGGCTCTCATATTTGGAGACCCAATGGCCTTGATTTAACTATGGTATCCCCATCCATATCATTAAAATGCGAGTGGTCGGTTCATGATGATCCGTTAGGAAGTTATCACCTGCCGACTTTTACTAAAATAAACACAAAGAACTCTTCATCAACTCCGTCAGGTGAACAACATGCTCCTATAGATGAAGTTAATAAACTTTTGTTAAATCGTATAAACCTACGTCTCGTTAATTGGGATCTTTATTCTGAAACTGTTAATCGATTACTTTTGGATTTCGAGTATGATGTCAATGAACCCTTAAACAATTACAATAGGTTCTGTAAAATTATTTTGACAGCTGTGGAACGTTCCGTTCCACGTAGGAACTTATCAAATAGCGGTGCAAATACTTCAAAGAGGCACAAACATATTGCAGTACCTTGGTGGAATAACAGGTGTGCGACAGCTGTCAATGATAGTAAAGCGGCTTACCTTAGGTTTAAACAAAATCCAACTCTCGATAATCACATAAATTTTAAAAGAGTTCAAGCTGTTAAAAAGTTAGTAATTAAGCAAGTAAGACAACAGGGGTGGCAGGAATTTTGTTCCAAATTTAATAGATTAACACCAATTTCCACTGTTTGGCAAAATATGAGAAAACTAAATTCAAAACATCGTCAAAATCATTTTAAAGATATATCATGGGTCAATGATTTTTTACGCAAATATACTCCTGATTTTGTACACTCACCTTTTGATGACAAACAGTTTAATTCTGTTAATTCATGCCCAAAATTTCTCACTGACCCATTCTCAATTGATGAAATATCCAGTGCAGTAAAATCTAGAAAAGATACAGCTAGTGGCCTTGATCGCTTAACATACAATATGTTTCGATTGCTGAATAAAATAAACCTTACTAAACTCTTACAAATTTTTAACGATTTATGGAAGGACTGTATTATCCCACCAGAATGGAAAATGGATTGTTTGATTCCAGTAATTAAACCCGGTAAAGATCCTACAAATTTCGACTCCTATAGACCTATAACATTGACGTCCTGTGCAGGCAAATTATTCGAACAATTAATTAAACAGCGTTTAGAGTTCTTTATTGAAAGTAATAGTATATTACCATCGAATCAATTTGGTTTTCGCCGTGGATATTCAGCGCGCGAAAGTTTAGCGAACTTCTATGTCGACCTTAGTACTGCTTTGAATAACGATGAATATGTTCTATCTGTTTTTTTAGATGTCGTAGGAGCTTTTAACAATGTAAATTTAACAGTTCTATCTTCGATTCTATCCTCATTTCTTCCAATGAAACTTATCGAATGGATTTATAATTTTCTTAGTAATAGAGAAGTGTATGTTAAAGTAAATAGTAAATTAATAGGACCTAGGTTAAGCTCTAAAGGAGTATGTCAAGGTGGTATTCTAAGCCCGCTACTATATATTTTATATATCTATAAACTTAATTCAATTTTAGGAAACAGTGTGAACAACTTGCAATTTGCCGATGATTTATTAATTTATATAAAAGGAAAGAATATTATTGATATGCAATTAGTGTTAAATGAGTCATTAAAAAGACTTGAGAAATATTTTTATCTTCTTTCCCTCGATATTAGTTTAACCAAAAGTAAAGTAGTTGTTTTTCATCAAGTTCATAAATATGTTCCATTAATGAATATTATATACAATAATCAAACTCTTCCAACAGACTGTAGCGTTAAATTTCTGGGGGTAATTTTTCATCAAAATTTAAAATGGGATCTATACGTTGATTGCTTAGTAGATCGTGCTTTAAGAGCCACTAATATAATAAGATCTGTAATTGGTCGTAACTGGGGAGCTGATCCTAAAATTATCCTTTTACTTTACAAATCTCTTGTTAGAAGTAATTTTGATTACGCTTTCTTTTGTTATGCCTCAGAACATAAATTAGTAGAAAAACTCGAAAAAATTCAAAATATGAATTTAAGACTTATTTTAGGTGCTATGTATACTTCTCCAATTATCTCAATGCAAGTAGAATGTAATTTGCCTCCTATCCTTCTTCGTTTCGAATACCTAAAACTCAAATTTCTCTTCAAAGTTTTTTCAGTTTCCAATAACCCACTCATACTCAAATTATTAAATTGCCCCATTTCTATGTTTTTGAATAAAACTATTATCAATGATTTGAATTTACGAGATGAATATAACATCTATAGTAGTAAGATACTTCCTTGTTATAATGGCCTTTATGAGAGTAAGTTCTGTAAGATCAAAATTGTTATACATAAAGACATAAAAGAAAAGCACGATATGTATGAGACTTTATCAGAATTTATTGACTACAGGCAGATATATACAGATGGTTCCACAAATGCACTTAGCACTTCAGTGGCTTTTTACGATTTGTCAAATAGATTTGGTCACGGTTATAAAATTTCAACTTTGGCTAGTATTTACACAGCAGAAGCAAAAGCTATATTTTTAGCATTAGAATACATAGAAAAACAGGTACTATATTCGAAATGGATTATAATTACAGATAGTATGAGTGTTCTTATGGCATTAAAAAATAACACAATCATTTCATCATCAAACTACTTAATTCAAGAAATTCGTAATAAATATTATCATCTCTGTACTATATATGGAAAAGATATTATCTTCATCTGGACCCCTTCACATATTGGAGTGTTTGGGAATGAACAAGTAGACACTTTGGCTAAAATTATTAATTCAAGTGCTGCTCGTGTTCAAGATTTACCCCTTTGTTACTCAGATTGTAGTATTGGAATACATAAAATCGTTACAACTAAATGGGAGGAGCATTGGACTCAAATATTACAGACTAAAGGCAAATGGTACCGCAAAATTAATTGGCGTATTGGAAAACCGTGGTTCTGCAAAGGAAAGGACACAAACAGAAAATTTTACACCAATATTTGTAGATTACGAATCGGCCACGGACATTTCAACGAACACCTGCACCGAATGGGCATGATCGCTTCCCCATCATGCACATGGTGTAACTCAAATACAGCCCAATCTCTACATCACCTTTTTTTTGATTGCTCTGAATTTGTCATTCAAAGACACATTATGTTTGACGAACTTAGGATTATCTTCAAAAAACCCGAAAATATCCCGCACTCAATCCCGCTTCTCTTAAGATTTCCTTCTTGTTTTAAAGCTATTTTCACTTATATTACTACAACATTCAAGGAGCTATAAGAATACTTTTATTGAATTGCAAGACAATGATTTTTTATAATTATTTATTTTTAATTTGATAAATCCACTGGTTTAAGAAAACTCAAGAAAAGATATTTATGAAAATGTACTTACCGGATTTGACAAATGAAATATTGAAGATTATGACAATAATTGAAGCGACATTAGAAAAATAAAATTCCAGACAAATTATCTCTTTGAAGACTAGGCAGCATGGTCTCCGACCTTAGCCTGTTCCAAACGGAACAAACGTACTAAAAAAAATGATCGAGTTGACAGTGACAGTAGCTTTTATCTTCCTCCTTTACGATTTTTTACGTATTTTACCTAAATTTCAATAATTATTACTACTTCCAGGTATGTTTGTAATATAAAAATGTTTGCAAACACGTACGAATTAAATTCAATATATGTAAGCGCATAAAATTACTATTGTTTCCAGGTGCAAAATCTGAGGTGTACGGCTACGCCCATTTTCATATTTTCCCGATTGTTTGATTGTGTTCAACATAGGCCTATCAGACACTGCCGTTATGGATATGATGGTGTCAACGTTGCAACAGCAGCGTGCTGTTACAGAACAGTTACGACGGGAAGCCGCCATTAAGCGTATTCCTGTTTCTGTGGCTGTGGCAGACATTGTCAAGTATATCAACGAACACGAACAAGAAGACTGTTTACTCGTTGGTTTTTCGAGCCAAAAAGTCAACCCTTTCCGTGAGAAGAGTTCTTGCACAGTTCTATAAAAGTTGTGTGTTTATGTGGATGTCCAATGTTTCAGATGAAAATTATAAAATCATACATTAATGTATAATTGTAAAAGATGAATAATGTGCATACTATTACTGTCTCATACTTTATAAATGAAAGTAAGCAGCTATCATTTCCATAAATTTATTTGTATATTCTATCAAAAAGTGTTAATCTACAATATTTTTGTGTATCTGAAAAATAATATATCTCTTTTTAAAAATGTTTTATGTGTTGCAACAGATTAAATTGTACAATTAATTTTGTCCAGTTTGAAATAAAATATAAATACTAAACTATTTATCTTATGTTGCTACATCTAGATTACAGAATACAAATAAAATTGAGGTATATTTTGTTTTATTTAAATATCTTTGATTAATTACTACCTTTAATAATTATACATTTAAATTTTTACAAATTAATGATTTTAATAATATGTATGATAATTGTTTGTTTGTTTTTGGTGAAATTGTCATGAAATTTGTCAATAAATGACGAGTTTTTATTTCAGTAATATGGACAAATTCATGGACAGAATTATTATAATATAAATGAAAGGTTTAATGAATTCCAAAATGTGAAAACTTTCTGTTTTCACTATTTCAATTGCTAGGTATGTTTATCAAAATGGAATTTAATGTTTTTTCAAGGTTAACAAGATGGGTCTTTATGCACTATATTGCAATATGTAGTTACTTCTGACCTTGTTATCATGTACTATAATGCTCTATAGGCACCCATACAGTCTATATGGGTTATCTCTGGATTTCATTGTTAGATAGCCTGTTGTCATCTTTAGATTAAAATATTGTAATGAAACCACAAAAAATTGCTTGCTAATAAATGTTATTGTGCAATAAAATAAACAGTACAACTTAAGATCAATTCCTCTATAGGTAAATGTTATTAAAAAGTAAAACAATTCCATATTTAAATATTATAATAATATCAACAGAATACATTAATTCTTAGTAAAGGAATCCAATGAAAATAGTTTGGGCTGAATCTAGTTATTTTGCTGCTACAGGTCAAAATGTCTTTATTATAGTGATTTTATTTTGTTATTCTAGGCACATGCTTAGTTGGCGCCCTCTGGACTGGCACCTTAGCTAGGTATGTTAAGAGTATTTTTAAGGTGTCTATCAAGAATTTAATCAGATCTATAGATGCAATTGATGACCACTAATAGTATAACACTTGCCTTTGTAATTGAAATGTTTTCAAATATCAGGTATCTAACATATAGCTATTTAAAGTTAATTCAGATGTACATATTAATTTTACTGTTTACATGTTAATATTTGCTACATTATGGTAATTTATCTAGTGTTGCAAATACATAAAGAAGTATATAGGAAACAAGTCACATAAGTAATAGTATAAACTTACATTTTGTACAAAAGTGCAACAGCATACAATGTTTATAGAGTGCAATTAAGTATTCATTCAATTTTGTTGGTGTTGTGTTTAAGTACAAAAAAGGTGGATTGGTGGTGAAAATAGATAAGCTTCTACATAAGCAGATGTAGGTATACTACTATTACATCTCTTAAACAAACATATCTAATGTATACATTTTTCTTTATAATGTGAGGATTAAACTGTGAGAATAAAAGTATTAAAATATATATTAATCTAAAATTCTAAAAAATTAACAAGGAATTATCTTGTTTACTCTTTGGTTAAAATAAAAATAATATCATTCATATCACATAATTTCTACAATTACAGCCCCACAATATATTATGGATTACAAGTAGGCATGCTTAAATTTCAACTTATGGCAGTGGAATTAAATAGAGGAAAACTTTTCAATATTAGTAAATACAAATGGTTTGAGCAATTTGGAATCAAAATAATTAATCTTATGCTAGGGGTAAAACTATATAAAAAACATAAGTTTACCAACTATCAGTCTTTTGAATTGATGTTGTTTATCAACCTTGTGGCAATTTGTCCCTCAAAAGTTTACAAAAAAGAAAATTTTTAAATTGTTTCTCATATCTAAATCAAAGGTTACTTATGTTCTAGCATATCTATTGTCGATTCTTTTATTGTTTTACAGAAACAATATTATACTATTATATTTAAATTAAAATGCTTAAATAGCCTTCGGTAGATAACATAATTCTTACAAAATAAGGTAAAAGGCTGATGTTTATTATACAACTAGTTTAAACATAATCAGAATAAATATCAGCGACTTCACTGTCTTGTTGTGTGGTAATGTTAAGAGTGTAAAGTAAAATCTTATAAAAGTAAAGTTTACAAATGAAATGATTTATTAAAATTATTGGATCCTATTAACCATATAAATACATATTGGAATAAAATCAAATAAACAGGATATAAAGAATTAAAATTATCATTTTGAATGCTTCATTATAAATAAGACATGAAGCCACTGATTTAATTTTTTTTCTAGAGATTGTTGTAGGCACCTAGTCTTATTTGATATAAATCAATACTTAAAAATAATTAGCACATGTAAATTTTACAAAACAACAATGAAATAATTATTTAGACTTTCTACATGACACTTATTTACTAAGAATTATATTTTTATTACAAATAACTATATCAATTTCAGCTCATATTCATAAGATTGTCTTAATTATAATTTTATTACTACTTCATCACATACCTACCTGCTTATATTTTAAATTTTCTAAATAACTATAGAATATGATCAAATTGAATGTATGTTTATACTCATATTGTAATACTGGTTACAAATATAGTATTTTGTAATTATGATGATTTATAAATGTACAGTATCTAGGTAAACATATAAAATAAATTGCACTTTTAAATAAAGTGAACTAAATATTAAAAAATGAATTTCCTAGCAGTACAAATTTGTGTTGTCTATTACAAAAAAGGCCTCATTATTTTGGTGTATTGAAAAAAATTATCAATACTAGGTAAGTACCTATTAATTCACCTATTTCAGTTGATTGCTTGATTTGCAAATGGGAATAGCTATTATTTGGAAAAGATAGTAAATATTCTTTGTAAACTTTTGAGATAAGTACCATCCCTTAAATAAATTGAGGGTTATGTTAATAGATTACAGTACATGATACTTGTCTGACTGTCATGTTGCTCTAAACTCGTTCCTGTTTTGGTGGTGTAACATCTTCAGTTCCATTTGCAACACTTTGATGGTAGAGTTTTAAAAGTTCCATAGCATCCTGTGCTTGACGCTTCTCAAGTAATATCCTAAAAATAAATAGTAACAATCCATGTTAGTATGTGTTACTTAACAATAATTTACTTCTTATCTTTTGAACAATATTTGTATTTTAACAAAAATAATAATCACCATATTTTAATTACGTATCAAATAAGATGACAAATTAGAGTACTTAAATATGAAGAATGTGATTAATTATATTTGTAATAAAAAAATAATTGTATTAGGAAGATAAGTTTTTTTAATGGATGGTAATAAAATGGTAACCCAGCCTGGACTAATGGTTTACACCGGCGGAATTCTAGTGAGGAATGACAGGTAAGAATGAAAAGGCAAGTCAGTTAGCCTATCGTGGTGAATACACCTGGAATTCAGCACAATGTGTTTCCAGTGGGGATCACATGGATATTGACCTGTTAGGGTATATTAAGAAGATTAGTCACCTTCCTGAGGCTTCCTTAATGTGTTCCAAAATAATCCTGTTATCTCTATCTGTCACTATATCAGCAAGACTATCTGGGTCCATGTCAGAGAGTAATTCTAAATCCTGCCCACCAAGAAGAGATATATGACAAAGATTGTGTTGCAAGCGACCAACCAAGCTAGCGACTTGGCCTTTATCATCTAGTGTTACTTCATCCGTTTGATCAAGTGATACTTGACATTTCGGCATATTCGGCGCCCACTTTTCTTTTCCATGCAATATCATAAGGGAAGTGTCAGGGTCTAAAGTAGAAAAGTATTCTTCGTCATCTACTTCAGTTCCATCTGATTCTAGCACTACTGTCAGATGTTCTGCAGGCAGACCCAACTTATCGGGCACTTTCGTAAGTAAATCTTCCAGTGACGACGCCACTACACCTTTCTTTTTGTCTCGATTTACATCGCATATTTTGTAAGGTTTAACACCATCGTTTTCCATTGTTTTCAAAAATTATATTAACGTATCTAAATTATTAATATTTTAGAGAAAATGGGGTACAAAAAGAATTATATCAGTAACGGATGTGAATATTCAGTCAGTGAAAGGCAGATTAGGATTTCTAAATTTCAATCTGACGTTTAGAAAAAATTGCCAGATTCGAATATTTTTTTATAGAGGTACGATTTGATTTTTGTAAATATATTATTATAATAAATAATAAGATGACAATTTTTTTTTATATCACTACAAAAACGTGCGGTCGCTCTGAGCTCTTGAATATCACTATATTACTCTCGCCCCGGCTCCCACCCACTCAACGAACTGTGCTTCACGGACGGGCAACAGCAAACATGTATATTTGTCGCTTTTCGCTGATAATAACTTGGCAGGTACTTATCAAACTAGACACAAATCCAACTTTTGGTAGTATATTAGTTTGAAAATCGGCCGTAGATCAGCTTTTTTTTGCCATGAAATTTCAAACTTTACATATATATGTAAGCTTTTAAACGAGAAAAAATAGGTGCCTTGATACTTGATTTTTTATTAATTGACATACGGCGGTGAGCCGTCATTGAGTGACCATAGTTGAAGATGAAGATAGGCAAATAGTTTAACGTAACGGAACCTAATCAGGAATAAATCACGATGATTATCAGGATATCGCAGAAGTCTATAGGCGACGGTTACCACTTGCCAAAAGTCGACTTTACAGCGTGTATATTGCGAGCATAAGAACCAACTTGATTACTAACAATCCCTTACCCCTAGATACTTGATATTAAATACCAATCTATCATTATAGGAAGGAAAGGGATAACTAGTACTGTGGTTGAACGGCCCTATTGCTAATAACTCTAACAGGTCGACCTCTACGCGGTCTCTCCTGGAAAGCATAGTAGTTAATTTCTGGTAAATTCGTCACGATGAGCTAACTGACCTGCTCCATCCTCTTATACCTCACTGGTTCCCCGTCAGTGTATACGGACAGCGCAGATGGAGTTACCATTCCATTTTCTCTCACTAAAATAACTCTATCAATATTTTTTTGTGATTTTTATTTTATTACAGATTATTATGCAATAACTATATGGATAGGACAGTTCTTAACTTACCTGAGGTTCCTGAGCTGAGCAATGGAGACTGACGTTTGCCTCTTCTTTTACTTTGCTCATTATTTTGTACTAATTTCGTAGAAGTTTGGGGTCATCGTTCATTAATAAACTAATATAAAGTTGATATGCTATTAACCAAATTGTTATTTTTTTATTTTCTATTAAATACCTTAGGTATTGATCTTAATTGAATTGTTTCAATTTAAAATTTTCTCATAAATACAAGATTTTTGCATAAAAAATATATAATAATAAAGTTAATACATTCGTTAACTAAAAATAAACAATAATAATATTTAAAGATGTAAAAACTTCATTGCGTAACTTAAACTTGAAAATTGCCATTTTCAACCGACTTCAAAAAAAGGACGTTCTCAATTTGGTTGTATTTTAGATTTGGAAAATTCTTTTTTTATCTGTAAGAATATATCTACAGCTTGGTCCCATTGAAATTTTATCAAAATCAGTTTAGTAGTTTAGTTTTGAAATCAAAATAACTGGTTTTGCCACAATCGAAGTCGGTTTTTTTTGGAACACAATCTTTAATTATTATTATATAATACTCCTCTCGTGGTCCGAGCGAATCGAAGCGAGCGAACCTTTTTCAAAATGAGAAGGAGAAGAGATCAATAACGGATTATCAATTTATCATTAATTTCATCAAGTACCTAAATTGAGAAGAAAATGTCAGCACATGAGATGTCCTTGTCAGACTTGGTATAAAGTATTTTACAACATGGGTGCAGATTCACTTAATATGAGGAATTTCCTAAAAAAATGTTGATCATTGAGATTAACTTGTTGACGGTTAGCACGATAATATAGCTACGTGCTACAAGGGCAATCGAAAGGGTCACGTTCGGTCAGAGTACGGCGCGACGAACTAGGATCAATAGAATAGGTTGAACCGCCCCTGTACCTCAAACCCATCCCCTACCGCAGAATGCAGTCTGCAACTTTAGTTTTATCACAGTTACCTGTGGTACCTATATCTAAGTACTATACATATATTATACTTAAAAAATACTAGTATAGCCGGCAAACGTTCCCTTTTATCCCCTTACTGTTACTTATTCGATCATTTTTTTTTATCGGGTAAAAACCATCCTATCTCTCAATTTAGAACAAATAATGCCCATTTACAAAATTACATTAATAGCACTTATTGATACTGGATTGTTTTTTAGAAGATATGAACATAGGATCAGCTATGAATGATGTGGATATATTGTTGGTATTGATTATGAATGATACAAAAAGCAATAAGTAGGTATATTATCTCCGTGTGGTGGCCTCGCACCTGTACTTCTACATGGTGTAGCAGCTTTTTTTATCCCCAAAATATTATAAGAGGGTCATCTATGGTATACTAATGATTCTTTCCACAGTCATGTGGAAGAAACCATAAGTAAATTGAACAAAACATTTACTGAATACAGAACAATTTTTTTAGCTTTGAAGCTAGTAAAAAAGGAAGGTGCAGACATTAAACTTTATATGGCGGTATGCGTATATAATAATGTTTGTTATTTATCTAATCGATTTTGATGATTCTTCTTAATTTTCAGGTTTACTGCGTGTTTATACTAATTTTACATATTAATTATGTATATGATTGGTGCGTGGAGATTTAAAAAAAAATGCATACTTAAATGAAGTTCAATGATCGGACTGAATTATACCTACCTGTTTAGTGTTTTTTTAATGGGTAATAATGAAATAGTAACTTCGCCCGTGCTATCGATATACGCTGGCGGGGCATCAGTGAGGAACTTAGAATGGCAAACAAGCTGACGGTCCACCTGATGGAAAGTGGTAACCGTTGTATAATATAATAGTTGTAAACAATGTATATAGATATTTTTACGTGAGTATATAAGTATGTATATTATAAATAATATCGTCCATTTTATACTTTATCTATGTAATGTATATAATACCCAGGGATTATGTAGAATACCAGTTATGTAGTGGACTAGTAGTCCACCAGCAACATGTAAAGTAGATTTTAAGAATCACTGCACTCGTAAATATTTATTTATTCTTAGGTAAAGTTATATTAACTGTTATTTAAAGTATTTACAGGATATTTCCATTTATATTTTTGACCAAGAGATGTGGAATCCTAATTCTCCAATAACCAGTAATCCCGGGGAAAATTTATCGAATTTATTTACAGTTTTTATTTATTCTAACAGTTGTTCATACTGTTCGTCAATAATCGTCGTTATCCCATTCTGTTCTCATCTTTTATACACATTAACGACTGCGTATTCGGCATTGTATAGAAAATCTAGGCAAAGCATAAAATAAATAATATTTTATACATACTTAAACGTTTTAGCTATTCTATATATTGCTGCTATCGCAATCTTGTCGATAATATACCCGTACATAAGGATTTTCACATTTGGTTCTCTCAATCTACACCCTAAGGAAAGGCATAAATATAATATAGTGACTAAGTAGTACTAACCTATAGATATATTTTTGTGCTTTTGTTGCTATTTATAATTCCCATTGTGTAAACTGATCTCTGTACAACACAAGCTTCATTTCCTTTGCTGTGAAGTATTTAGGTCGAGGTCGTATATCTGACCTCAAGCTTTCGACGATACCTACTTTAGGTATAATACTATCCGCTAAATTAGTAAAATTTTATACATATCAAACATCTGCGTAAATCTGATGAATTACATTTTTCAATTATAATACTTTTTTTTTATGCAACTTAGAATGGCAAACAAGCTGATAGCGCACCTGATGTTCTAAAATCTACCCTGATGTGAAAGCTGCCAAACGAACGAGAACAACGGCCTTATGACGAAAAGTTCGCTAGGCAAACAAAGATTAACGATATTTTAACGCCTTATCCCAACAGCAATCTCATTATGAAGTTTTTACGATACATAAATAATTAATTATACTAATTACACTGTAGTGATAAAGCGTACACAATATATATTCAAAACATTTAATCAATAGACCATCTATTTTATATAAAAAAAATTTAGATTTTACGTTTCCAATTTACAAAGTGTGAGTGTATATAGTGGCTGTATTTCCATTTGAAGGGTGGGATATGGTAGTGAAATTACAGGGTACAGAGGAATACCACTTAAGTCTTCAGTAATAACAACGCATGGGGGGTATTATGAGCGAAACAGTATACTCTGTTACGTCCATGGTACTGCTCATGTCTACAGGCGACGGTTACCACTTTCTATCAGCTTGTTTGCCATTCTAAGTTGCATAAAAAAACTACAACAATAATATAATAATATAAATAGTTCTAGGTAGTTATAGTTGTAGTTTTAGTTGTCACAATTTTAAGTATCCACGAAATCTCATAGCTTACGTACCAAAGGAATAAGGCGAAGTGAAAACATTTTTTACACTTATGAAGAACTTTTAATAAAAAAAAACACATATCAAAATGAAATTACACACTGCACAATATATGTATATGAACTACTCATTAAAGTTGAACTAAGATATATTGTCGTACTTAAATGCACTTACAAAATAACAAATTTGTATATATTTGACACACTTACAGACATAATATACTTGTTGAAACGCAACATTATGACTCCTCAATAAACACTATATACAGTAATATATGAAAATGTATTAAATTTATACCTTAAATAGGTACTCATTGGTAGGTTGATATATAATCCTTCTCAAGATATATATGCTTAAATGATTTACATATATTATATACGTATATATATATACACACATATATAACATTAAATATGTTCTTATTTAAAATGCATGCATCTAGGTATTTGTATTGTCTTAAAATGATAATTAACAAACAAACAAAGCACATAAATATATACTAAAACAGTTATCTATTTTCTAATTACAAACTAATGAAGTATAAGTTCAGTGATGGCTATTTCACTCGTTTATGTCAAACTTAACATGTATTTCACATTTTTATTTCTTATTAAACGCGAAAATGGATCATGGGGAAGTGTGTGGCTGACAGACTTGATTGAGAGCCAATAATTACTTATATATATACAGGTTGGAAACGTTCCATGATCTATCTTATTCGATTATTCCTAAAATAAGTATTATACTCGGAATAGTAGAACTTTTTATTACAACAACGAAGAAACTTGGATAGAATTAGATAATTATACAGGTACAAACTGTTGATTTTTTCGCTTTCTTAAATACACAGGGTTCGATGTAGCTTTTTCGAATAAAATATTTGTCGTCCTTAATAATATGTCATATAATACTCTATATCGACAATGAAAAAAATCTTTTATAAGCGTAACTTAAGAATATATGAAAATAGTGGAGTGCTTACGCTTTTTTTAGGTCGTCTTCAATTTCAGTTATGGCGCCCCTCGTTTTTGCCGCTCTGGGCTTAGATCAGGGTGTACTCTGTTAATACTCATATTACGCTTTCAGCGCAAGAGAACTATTAAACTTGACGGGTTATGCAAATGAAATCCTATTATGATTTTTTATCCCTTAGGTTCTGTTCATACATTTAGTATGACTTAAATTTCATTGAAATATTTTTAATATCGCAGTTCCTATGACGACTTTATGTAAGCAACAAGTTTATTTTGGAATTGTACATGTTGTAATGTTTATTATCAATTTTTAAATACTCTGGCGTTTTCTATGATACTAGGAATGTTCATAGAAAAATGGTAGTTAGAAAAGGATAAAAGATCAAGTAATGTGAGTTAATTAAGAATTATAGAACAAGCAAAAATGGAAAATGTATAAGTTGATATTGAGAATTCTAAATACTATTAATATAAAAAAAAAAACACGAAAGATTGTAATGATGGGTAGATAGATGGGTAGATGAATGGATATATGAAAGTTAATTATTTTTTTATGTAAAGTACCAAACGGATTTGAATGAAGTTTGGTACACGGGTATTTATCGCCCTAAAAGTTCAAATTTTCACAATGCATCTCGAACGTCTTGTATACTTTAGGAATAATCATGATAAGAGTGCCACTATGTACGTATAGGTAGACCAGTATCATATAGCTTTATTCACTGTGTTAGAACATAATATAACAAACCAATTTAGAATATAATATGAAAATAAATATATATAGAGTACTGATAGAGAACCTGCAATTGTTAAAAGTAGCTTTATCATAAAAATATTTTCAAAAACCTGATATAAAGTAGCAAATACAGAGAAACGGTAGGTTATATATATATACACACTATGTATTATCGTATAGTATTGTAAATCTTTTTTGTGTATACTTTATATTGGACACATTAAGGAGATTTGACATACACTGGTGACCTTAATCCCGTCTCTTACAGTCAACCTTTGGAAGCTGAAAGAAAGCTATAGAATGTTCATGGAAAAAATTACACAGCTAAAGATAAACTTACACTATAACTGTATACACATAAATTATATACATACATTAATAACAATTGGCTCAATAAAACAGGAGTGTCACAATAAAATTTTATGAGGCCTGCTTTAAAGGATTTTCATAATAATAATATGCCATCTTCAAGTTATTGAAGAGTATGACTTTTTGAGCATAACATTGAGTATTAAAACAAGGTAAATTCATAATCAAGTCATTACTACATTTCATTTGGGTATCAATCTCTCGAAATCAAAATTTTACATGAAGGTGAAGTGGATACGATGAATTAAAAAAGACATTAAACAAAAGAGAAGAATGTGGACACTTCTTTGTAGGTTCATAGGAAGGCACTTGAGTTGACTGCGATAACCGGATATATGGTTGAACTTGCGAAGCTCGAAATAAATGTATTTAATACATTGGCTTTGTAGTCAATGTATTAAATACATGTATTTAAGTTGTAGTTAAGCTTTTGAATCAGTTGCTGTGTGGGATCTATATGAGAACATCAGAAAAGTCTAGGAGAGGATGGAGAAAAGATTGAAGCAATAGCAGTTCCCGAAGGAAAGAAGTTCCGCAGGCGTCTTAAAGGGTATAGCGTTATACGGATTTTTCGGTTTGGTTCGTATGCACCATATAAACACAAATATATTACATATATGATACTCACAAATACATATATAAAAGATATTTATATATATTAAATACAGTAACTTACATAAAGAAAGTATGAAGTTATTAAGACACAAGAGATTGTGTGGATAATTAATTATATTAGGTGTTATTCTTAATAATAAGATAGGAGGGATAATTAATCAACAAACAATAATGTTCTAAAATAATGAATTGGAATATACAGCATTCTTTAACTGATTTTATAAAAAGCAAGAAAACTTTCGGAGCACTGTGGATCAGAATAATTACTAACAAGATTTGAATAGTGTCATTCATTTTCATAATTAAGAACTTGTCAGGACCGTGGCATTTTACAAATCAAGATAATATTTGACGACAGTCTTCCTTTACAAAAAGGTTTAAGTGTACATGTTTTTAGATGAAAGCTATCTTCTATTAGGAATATCGACTTACTATGGGTTGTTACATTCGTTTCACTAACGAAGCGCCTATGGGAGCGTGTTTAAGTGGAAAAGAGCTTGCCTAACTGATCAAGAAACTTGTATAAACTTAAAAACTTATGTAGCTGTGTGAGAACTACAACTTCGTAGCTGATGGCCCGTGGCCTCATTTGGTAAAAGGTTAGGTAGATACATATTTCACAAATTGATGATTAAATTACAAACGTGAGCGATAGTAAGTTGTATACATAGTCATATTATATATTTTCAAAGTATGAGTAGAATATTTAATAGTGTTGATTTGAACATTTTAATATTCCTTTAATCTGAGAGATATGACTCGAATGGTTAAGATTTAATAGCATGCATAAGAAAGAACAGAACGCAAAACGCTATTATTCATCAGGTTTACAAGGAAGTTCCGGTTGATTATTAAAATAGTTAAGTAAGCATTTTTCTCCTTAGTCGGTATAGAGTCCTTCATAGAGTGAGCGTGGCAGATGCTCAGCCAGCAAAGACTTAAGTTTCTCCCTCGGCGACACTGGTGTATAGCGAGCGAGCGGAAAAGTCCGCGTAACGCCATCACTTAGGGCACGTGTCACAGCTGTTAGGTCTGCGTCCTGTATTATGCAAATTGCTTGTTGTATATTAATTTTAGTACAAAATAATTTGATTTCAAGTAGGAGATAAATCATTGAAATAAATACCCTGGGTTAAATTTAAATTATACGCTTAACAAAAACGTTGTTATATTTTAAGATTTTGAGATCTATGGACATCCCATACACTGTCATTTCTGAGGAATATTGGAAAGTTTGCCAATAGATTAAAATTGCATGGTACACTCGCTTATGCTAATAGCTATGCCTCAATAGAATATAAAACGATGAGGATGAAATCAGGTTAGCTCATCATTGCGAATTCATTACGAAAAATGTTTTTACGTCATGGCTTTGTTCCTGTCTATAAGATGACATTAATAGATATGCCGCTTGCTTGTTTAGTATTTTGACGTATCATAGAAAGAGAACGGTTTCAATGTACCAATATAATAGGATTAGTAGATATTCAAAGACTGTCAAATTCATATTCAATATTGTCGTGGTTGTTACTTACAGCATTTTTGGTGTATTTCTCTAGGCTGCGCAGTGCTTGTTCAAAGTAGTCTTCTCCATAGGCTCCCTTTTGTTCATCGCTCAGTCTTTTCCACATATCGCGGGCTTGTTCTAAAAGTTTTTCTTCGGATAACCAGGCACTGCCCGTAGTATATTCCCCAGCGGCTACTACAACCTAATAAAATATATATAGAGGAATAAAAAAAGAAATTGGACCCATTCCAGTTTTTCAATTTACGTTTGGGAAATATTTTATTTCAATTGTACATATTGTAACAGAGAAAGATAATTTCTTTATATTTAGTTACTTTATATTGGGTATTGACGTATACAGATAAAAACATTCTTACGCAGTGTAAGATGTGAGTGACGTGGGTTACCGCCCTCGGCCTTGCGTTCTGAGGGGCCTCGCGCCCTGTGGATTTGTTTTATTTTTTTAGAATTTTATACCTTTTTGTAAACTGTTTTTTTACATTACCAAGACTCCTTACGTAAAATGTATCTTACCCATATCTAATTTAGGTCTTGATTAGCCACAAAAAACAGCATATCAGTATTTTAATGTTCCTTGGGGTCCGTTTTCGACATGTATCGTATCCTGCCACCAGAATAGAGTACTCGTAGAGATGTAAATATATACTTACAACATCAACACCTCGTGGTTTCAGTTCTCGACGCAAGCAAGCAGCGAGTGCATCGAGTGCAGCTAGCGAGGCAGCATGCACGCCACGCACTGGCGCAGCCACATGTGTCAGAATCGATGATGCTAGCACGACTCGACCACGGGCGCGTCGCACTAAAGGCAGCATCACTTGTACTAGTCTAGCTGGTCCTGGTTCAATAAATGTCATATTCAATAATTTTTTTATACAACATAAAATATATATAATAATAATATAATAACTAATATATATATATATATATATATATATATATATATATATATATATATATATATATATATATATGTATAGATTTATAAGACGGGAAAATGAAAGGCGGAACTAAGGTATTAACCTATTTATTAAAATTTACTTACTTTTAACTTAAAATTTATTGACGTTATACGTCAATAGCGCCATCTACCTAACAATATTATTATTTACACTTGCCGTAGCTTCGTAGCGGTGCTACAGCAGTAGCAAGTATTGTGAAGGTGTAGTTTCTAACTTACCCAGTAAGTTTACATCCATTGCACGTTTGACGACCGAGAAAGGAACCCATTCCAATTCGCCGAGAGCACACCACGATTCACAGTTAACGATGGCCCACAGACCTTGAGCGCCCTCTGGTAAATGGTCCACAATATACAGCGAAGCGGACAGTATCTGGTAAGAAATAAGTTACAAATTAACTGGTAGATATCGTTAGCAGTTTAACTTGATAAAAAGCAATAACTTTTTTTCTATGAGCGAATATCTAATTATATATATATTTCCTTTACGCATAATTAGGAAAGTCTTCTTTCATAGATAGATTTAAACTTATATTAAAAAATACATATTAAAAGTATTTTTAAGCATTATCTAGTACCTGTTATATAATTGCTGACAAATTGAAATACGTAAAATAAACGTTTTAATTAAAATGTAAAGAAAGTTATATGTTTTTCTTATCATACAAGTTTTGCTGAATTAGGTTATTGTAGTAATAGAATTTTTGCAAACTCCAATTTAGATTATTTATAAATTGGTATTTGTAGGAAGCACTAAATCAATTTCCCTACGGAGATTATACCACACCTTTGTAAAGCACATATGGTGTATAATTTTTTTATTATGCGTATTAAGTAAATAATGTTAGTGTTTGGTACTGAATAGTACATTTCTATTTTTAATGATTAATTTGATGATGATGACGCTTAATCTGTATTATATTTATTATTCTGTTAATAAATAAATAAATCAAACATAAACGCGATGGACTACTGTAATGCGTGATTAGACCACATCGTAAAACTGCGGGTCTCTTTACAATATAAAAAGTCATTGTGTGGTGTCTTCGGCAAGCAATAAGTTGAGCAAGCAAGGCTATATCTTGAACCAATTCATTGATTCTCTAAACTTATCTTGGGCATATGTATCCATTCTATAGATGAATTTACCGTTAGACAACTTCCGAATTGTCACTATAATTCGTCATCATACAAATAAATAATACTATTAAACACAAAAGATGTAGTAATAGAGACACCTAACGCTACAAAAAATACGATTTCCATAGGAACAGTAATTATAGAATTCATCTAGTACCATAAGGATATTTACACACAATGTTTCCAAAATTACGTCACTCTTTTGAACCAGACATAAAATAAACATGAATAGGCACAAAAACGTTATATCTACTTACATTTCTGTATACGAAAACGATTATACATTACCTTCCTAATTTATTAAAATTTTTAGTAATAAAAAAAATCTGAATTTATCTATTTTGCCATGTATCACACGTTAGTCAAATCCTATGCCTAAGCGATCTATCATGTTTTCATTTACTGCATGTACGATGAGTGAATATTTTAATATTTGTCTCAAATTTGTTAAAGTCTGTTTTTAGAATAAATATAACGTATAGTTACAACGATTTAATATCAGAGAGCGATTTATTACTATTACTATCTACTTTTTTGTGTAGTTATATTACACGATATACTATATACGTGAATTGTGAATAGGATTTAAAAAAGTATTAAATAAAAAAATTATGTTTTAATTGAAAGGGTCAAATTTGAAGTCGGATATTATATGTGATACATAGTTACCATGCCGTGTGTTCCTAGCATTGAATAGGCTACCACTTTTTTTGTGGGTATCGTAAGAGGCGACTAAGGTAAGTTAATGGTCGAGGAATGGGCAAATAAAAAGCAGCGTTCCTCTTAAAACATTATCAAAAGTCTAACCGCGGTTGCCAACTTGCTTTCCAAGCATGGCAACTATTGGCAAAACCTACCTTATGAGGAGGCCTATGTTTGGCAGTGGACATTTAATGGCTAATGTGATGATGATAATACGAGTACTTGTATTACATAAATATCCAACTAATAAAGAAAGAAAGAGGGTTTTTTTTGATGGGTGAAAATGGTATGATGACCCCGCCTGCGCTAACGGGATACGCTAGCGGAGCACCAGTGAAGGGTGATTAATGAGAATGAAAACAGGCCAGTTAGCCCATCATGATGAATTCATCAAGAATAAACCATGATAGTTTCCAGGAGGAACCGCGAGGAGGTCGACCTGGTTGGGTATATTGCTAGCAATGGGATTTTCAGTCAAGAAAGAGGGTTATGACCATCAGTAGAATGCAACTTGGCCGATATAATAAAGACAAATATACTTTTTCTGTTATTATGGAGAGGAAAGAAAGAAGAAGAAGAAAAGAAATAAAGGTAAAAATGTTGACGGTCCATCTGGTGGTAAGTGAAAATCGTTGCCTATTACATACATACGACCTACCTTTATTAAAATAATTACCTGTGTCTCAGAGGTGCAGTCTAGTTGAATTGTATGCAATCTTCCCGAGCAATCTTCCTTTAACATATCTGCATCTATATTTCCCGCCTTGTTCTGGAAGCCAGCGAATACATGGTATCCTAGGTCATCAAGTCTTCGTGCCAATGCATTTCCAAGGACATTGTCGCAGCCGGTTACTAATACAGCTTTTCCGGCCGCTGTTACCTGTATTATTAGAAAGAGAGTTACTTTTAATTCAATGAAAATTCAACATATAATAATTTGTAGTTAATTATATGTTTCTACGGTACTTAGTAAAGAACAGAAATAGACTTAGGTTATTTATAGGTATAAATAACGGGTCATGGGTCCTTAACAACATGTCACAAGATTGTGGGATTTGTCTGGGTGTTTTTAAGCGACTTCCAAAAGGAGGAGGTTTTTAATTCACCTGCATATTTTTATGACTGTTATACGATATCTTTGTTGAAGCTAACATACTAATTAGTTTATTATCAAAATTTTTAGTAAAGATGTAACTTTTCATCCGTAAATAATGATTATTCACGTTCAATAACGAGTACCGTTTAAAATTAAATAAACTTGTGGTTCTTCTTGTGAATTTTATGGATAGCTATACATTATACAGGTAATGTTAGTAAAATTTATTTTTAGCATGAAAATTAACCCTACTAATATTATAGCTATGAACGTTTTAAAGATGTTTGAGAGTTTGTTACTTAGTACGGATTTTAGTATACTAACAGACTATGTACTAAATTAATATATTATTAATATATTGTACCAGAGGGAGACTTTGTACAAAAGTCGATTGCTTGGGTACCTCTGTCCCATTCGTGTTTCTACCGTGAAGCAGTTGTGTTTGCATGGCTGTGTTTCGGTTTGAAGGGTGGGATATGGCGTCAATTTACAGGGTACAGAGGAATAACACCTGAGTTCTCAGGAATGGCAACGCATGGGGGGTATCATGGGCTCTGTTATGTCCATGGTACTGCTCGTGTCTATAGGCGACGGTTACCACTTTCCATCAGGTGGGCCGTCAGCATTTTTGCCATTCTAAGTAGTATAAAAAAAAATTATGCAAGGTTTAAACTCTTTTATCTTAATTCAAGTAGAGAACATCACAAGATACAGGTAGAGTAAAAACACCGCATTACCTACAGGATCATAATTTAAATATATTGTAAATACTATGGTTTAAAATATACCTACTATTTCTGACAAATGAGGATTAAAACTTCATCAGCTTGAGTACCTCTTATTTACATTATTGAATTTAGGATTATATAATTATGCCTCACAAATGAACTTGTTAATAATTATTTCATAATTATTTGTAATTTAATATTTATTTGGTATATTGAAATTATCATTTGCAAATGAGCGTTCCCTGCACTAGAGGGTAATGTGCAGACAAATGAATTAAGTCTTCGTTCAAAATAGACGGCGACAGCTTGATTGATGTCCGTTATAATAACCGCCGAGTGAATATTTTATTCAGGCAATTGTTGGTGCCTACCTATGCGTGACGCAGTGACGTTCGAGGTTAACTATTTCAGGTTTGCCTGATCGTTAATTCTTAATCTTCTAGTGCTCTCACTGTTCAAAGTCACGCACCAATCACAGGCTGTGTTTGCATATTTGGTCATTGTAAGCTTTTATGACGATTCTACCTCGTTTTGTAGATATAATTAAACATAACTGGCAGTTGATAAAATTATAAATAGTTATGCGTAGAAGTTTGAAAAACTTTTTTATTAAGTGGTTTCTTTCAAGAAGTAATAGTTACTACAGCAAATAACGAAGTTATAAGAACTTTATTTTTAATAATTGAAGGCGAGTATTAAGTTCTGATATAGGTACCTATAAAACCTATATATTTCTATTCTGATGTCGGACTATAGAAAATCGTTTGCAGTTAGAAAAGAAAACAGCAAGTATGAATTATATTTTCTTTAGTGGCGTTTATTCTGTAAAAACAGGACCATTAACCTATTTTAAATCGGACTTTCGAATGGATTGATGACGCAAGTGACTGTGTCGAGGTTGGCACCAGAGCACAGTTTATTCAGCATTTTGAACGTGTCCCTTATACGGTCCCTGACGTAACCTAACAATCAAACATATTCTAGTAATTATTTGTTAACAGAACAGTAATTAAGGTAAATATAGTTTCCCCTTAATGTAAGTATGGTACGCGTACGTATTTGTTTTTCTAATTTAATGTTTCAAATATGTAATCCACACGTTAGTGATTACATCCCGAAGCTAGTAATAAATTAATTATGATATACCTACTTATATATATTTTCTTTTGTATTGGATTCAATGGAGCGGCTGACCTTCAGCAAACAAGTAATATTTTTAAAACTTCAAATATAATATTCAACTTTATAAAATGAATTAGGTTAGTAGTCAGTTACGATAAGCGATAGAAAAATGTACTAAGTAGTAGTAATGTTGTTTATTGAAATGCTACAGATATCAGACGAACTGTTCTTTAATTAGAATATATAAATATATTACGTTTGAATTTTACAGCAGTGTAAATTCGTTTGTTAGTCATAGGCTAATCTGGTTGTATTTATAACGTACCTAGATATTATTTAATTAATTTAAGAATTTCTTTAATAAAAAAAAAAATTTAATTATGAGTAAGTTCAATACAATAAAAATTTAGTCGATTACAAAAATTATCATTGAAGTCGAAATAGCTGTAATTTTTGTTTATAACTTAAATTCATTTTGTATATATTTAAAAAAAAATATCTTTAGCTAGAGATTTTTAATAAGCAAAGAGTAACTTGAGAATCGTTAAATTAATATTGAAAAATATAATTTATTGAATACATTCAGAAACTTTACATATTATAACATTGCAAGAAGTAAACAAACATTTAATTCAAGTCTGGATATAGTTTGTGCGGTTAATACTAGAGGAGAATAGTATTATATGGATGTTGCCATATGTACGGGTCTAATATAGATATAGACATAATGCGCTATTTTAAAGATATAACAGTAGTCGATTAAGTCAATATAACTGGTACTAGAGATATTTCAGAATATTAATATACTTATCTGAAAATGGAACATTACAGTCCAATTTAGTACTAGTAGGGGCAACTAATAAAACTAGGTAAGTATAGACTTCTTTCATATTTGAAGAAACTATGTGTTCCAAAATGTTGCCAAAATATTCGTGAAATGATAAATTTACAAGTAAAAGACTTTAGACAGCATCCTCACCATTGTCCAAACTTTTTATTTTTAAAGATTGATAAATTATTGAAAATACATTATGATGAGAAATCCAGATTGAATGAGCTTTTACAAGGAATAAAATTATTATAATTAGTCATTAGTTTCCCTTAAGTTTTAACATTAATAATAAATTTATTTTAAAATTAAAATAACAAACAAGCTTACGGCCCTTGGTTGTAGAAAGTGATAATTTTGTTTATTTAGATAGGAACAGCCTATAGGATTATAGGTAATATTGCATGGGTTCACAAGATTCACTCCTAATTTTACAATTAGAGAAAAGTTATACAGACACACTAAGATAAACTAAACAGGTGTATCATTAAGTATGTATTAAACTACACAATAGTCCTTTCAGGTCAAGGCCAACAATAGGACTGAGGCTCTATTTACGACGAGTGTATATTTCTGTACTTGTAGACAGTTTCCTTGTACTTAGTATGGCGCGTACTAAACTTCACCCCAGAAAAATCACAAGGAATTTTGGTATTTACTTCGAACCATGTTATCTAATCTGTACCTTAATAAAGTTTGATGCATTGATAAATATATAAATTATGTATATATTAATAGAAATAATATATGTTATGTATATATAAATTTTATTAATATATACATAAAAATACAGTAAATGTAACAATAATTAGTTTTGAAATAAAAAATTAAAGTAGTTTCTGAGTAATATTTTTTTATCATTCTACTACTCAATTCGGAATGCAATTTAAGACTTCAAATATTTATAGTCTATTTATTTTTCTAGATTTTCTAATAAAAAAACAACAGTGGCTGCTTCGGGCTACGTGTTATTTAAGATATAAATCGTGTTGACTATACTAGATTTATATCTTAAAGAGTCTGTTACTCTGACACAATTCACCGATTATAATGGCTTTATCATATATCTATAATTTATTTGAAAAAATATATGGCCTCTTAATTGTTTGAATGCATACAAACAAAACATTTGTGTATAAATTTAAATAATATTTAGACTGAAGTTTCTGTGCAAATCCTTATCACATGTTTTTACAATACGTAGATCTTGAGCTAGATATTTGCTGTTAGGTCATTGTCATAATCAATGAGTATTTTACCTATAGATAAAAGAAGAATATAAGACAATTACTGATATTCTTGGCAGATGAGTTTATTTCAAGATTTCAGTATAAAAAAAGAAAACTTGTATTCTCAGTCATTCCTTTTACCAGCGTAAAAGAGAGTAGATAGAGAGAGAGAGATAATGAAAAATAGTGGAAACACAAAATTTTTTGTGACGGTATTTATATAGTATCTTAATTATAAACAGTATATCCATAGTATATGAAAATAAATACATGAGGTTTAGCTTATTGACGACATTTAGGTACATATAAACGCAGTCAGATGAACAGAACACTATATAAGGTTGTTGCACCGCCTACCCTTATCATTCAGTCGTTCACAGTCCACTTCTGAATATAGGCAGTCACATTATATCGGCATAGGGAAGAATTATGACCAACCGGTATCCATTGATTGTCGATTGATTAGTATGACATTGTCTATCAGAATTTATTTATAATATAGGTAATATTCTCCGTTACCTCACAAATATAATTAAATCGTAACTAGACGATGTCTGTACATGGGAGATATTAAGGAGCAATAGAAGCCATAATAATAATGTTTAGATTTCTTTTTTGTCTCAAAAATCTACTGCATTAAACTTAAAATGTGGTGTGTTTTATCTTATTGGTATTTAATTTGTTTTTCTACTTCTGAAATTCACGCATAGGAAATTGCGCGCAAATAAACTAGTTATAAATATTTTAGTCCTCATATATGAAAACTATCAATGTTACTATTAAGCGTCAGTATTAACGCTAGTTAGACCGTAATTTAGTTTTCATGTATTCCATTTGTAGAAAAGCTATTGTAGCTAATTCCCGTGAGACATGTGA